TCCAGTCGTCTGGTGTAGAACAGGGTCTCTGGAGGCTGTTTGTAACTGTGGTCACAAAAATCAATGTTCTGGGAGAACGGGAAGCAGCTCCATTTTTTGGGGGCCCTTTACACAGCTCAAAGTCTGGGTCCCAGGGTCCACCTTCATGTTCCACCAATGAGTTTGTTCACAGGGGGTGGAGTGTGTAGGGGATGTCCTGATATGTGTGTAAGGAATGCATTGTGTGAATCTGTGTTTGTATGTGTAAGGGCTGCAAGGTGTGTTTCTGTGTATGTACAGGATGCAGTGTGTGCGTGTGTAAGGGGTGCATTGAGTGTGTGTAAGGGGTGCATTGAGTGTGTGTAAGGGATGCATTATGTGTAAGGGTTGCATTGTTTGTGTGTGTGTGTCTGTGTGTGTAATGCATTGTGTGTTTTTCTGTGTGCAAGGAGTGCATTGCGTGTGTGATGGATGTCAATCTCTCCCCCCCTCCCTTGTCACTCTCTTCTCCCCCCTCTCGCTCCCTTGTCACTCTCTTCTCCCCCCCTCCCTCCCATGTCACTCTCTTCTCCCCCCCTTGTCACTCTCTTCTCCCCTCCCCCTCCCCACTCTCATAGCCCCTCCCTCCCCTGTCACTCTCACCCCTCGTCAATTTCTTTCTAACCCCGTCAATTTCTTCTCCCCCCACCAATTTCTTCTTCTCCCCCTCCCCATTTCTTCTCCCCCCTATCAATTTCTTCTCCCCCCTACCAATTTCTTCTTCTCTCCCCTCCCCTACCAATTTCTTATTCTCCCCCTCCCCTACCAATTTCTTCTTCTCCCCCCTCCCTTACCAATTTCTTCTTGTCCCACCCTCCGCATTTCTTCTTCTCCCCCCTCCTGCCAATTTCTTCTCCTCCCCCCCCTGCCAGTTTCTCTTCTCCCCCCTTCCCCTACCAATTTCTTCTTCTCCCACCCTCCCCATTTTCTTCTTCTCCCCCCTCCTGCCAATTTCTTCTCCTCCCCATCCCCTGCCAATTTCTTCTCCCCCCCTCCCTGCCAATTTCTTCTTCTCCCCCTCCTGCCAATTTTCTTCTTCTCCCCTGCCAATTTCTTCTTCTCCCCCTCCTGCCAATTTCTTCTTCTCCCCTCCCCTGCCTCCCCCCTCCTGCCCAATTTCTTCTTCTCCCCCTCCCTGCCAATTTCTTCTCCTCCCCCCTCTACCTCTGTTGTAGCGTGGCCGAGCCCTCTATTGGTCCGCGGGTACAGGGAGCTTTTGTACAGACAGCTGCTCCCTGTACCCGCGGACCAATAGAGGGCTCGGCCACGCTACAGGGAGGGAGTGACAGGAGGGAGCGCTGAGCGCTTCCCTCCTGTCAGCCCCTCTCCTCAGGCTGCGCCCGGGCGGTGCGGTCCGCCCTCATGGACGCACCGCCTGGGAAAAGCTGCAGTCGCCTGAGGCTCTCTGCAGAGTGCTCGGGCGGCTGCAGCATGGGGGGGCCGTCGCTCCTGGGGCTGCCTAGTCCGCCTAACAGGTAGCTCCGGCCCTGATTGAGCTGCACTGGGAAAAATATTACAAATAGGTAATAGCAACATTCACCAGGGCCAGTGCAAGGATTTTGGCTACACAAGCAAAGACACATTTTGCCCCCCCCCCCAAAACGCATCTTCGCCGGTGTACGGGTGTGTGTAATATCCCTCTTTTGCTCCTCATACCCATCCTTTTGCCCTTTTTCTGTTTTACCCCTTTTACTCTTATGTTGTTTATATTCCCCCATTTTATGTTTATCCCTCCATTGAGGTCCCTTACCTCTGATTTTTCTTTTACCCCTATTGTATCTCATATCCACCCTTTTAAAAGTGAATTTTAAATTTAAGTTCAAAATAACCAAATTGGGTAAGCTTTTAGTTGGACTACTCTGGCCTTCTGTTTGAAGTTTGACAAAAGTTGACAAAGGGAAGAGCTCCCATGTCGACTTTTGTTCAATCCCAGGAGCTGTCACAAATTACAGGTTTTGTCAATGGAGGGTCCAGTGTTCTTGTGTGTTGTACTATTGTGTATGCGCAAGAGTTCAGCAGTGACGTGGCTCCTGGCAGCTGAAGTTTCAGGAGCCTAAGATGACCTGTATCATGAACATGACAGCCGTAAGTAAGTAAAACTCACCTCTCCTGCACCTGTGGCCATCAGACCCCCACCAGATCTGTCCGCTTTGTAGGTGTTTGTGAAATATGCAAAGACCCCCAAAACTGATAGACTCCCAATTTTGTGTTTCTTACTTGCATCTTGTGTCACTTACCCCCATCACGTCGTCCCCCGTTTCCCAGCTTGTGTCTCCTACTCCCCCCCTTTGTGACTGTTACTCCCCCCATTTCTCTTACTCTTTGTTTCTCATGCTCCCCTTACATTTGTGGCTGTTACCATCTCATTAGCATGTCCTTGAAGATCAAGGTTGAAGGTCTTCTTTATCCTTCACCAAAACAACACAGGTCTGATTGAACTTGATGACATTCAGAAAATGATACAACCAACACAGACTTTGCTCCATCGCTGAATCCTTGGAAGTATAAAAAAATGGTAACAACGGTTACATTACATTGCTCGCTTGTTATCGTAGGCTTTGTTGAAGACGACAGAAGAGCATATTGTTTGCATTTCTTCTTTTTGTAACTTACTGGGGAATTTCTTGGCATAAAATGTTTGGTATTTTCCCACAGTTCTGTTTAAGCTTAAAAACTAAAACATGGAAGATAAACTCTGTTTCTTTTTTCTTCTAATATCCAAAGCTGTTCTTGATAAACCACACAGTAGGCAGGTTAGCTCATTCCGTATAATTGTTGTGATACCTGTTTAGTTTTCACTTATCAAATGTATTTCCCAAGATGATTGTCAGCTCACACAGCTTACTGTTTAACGAATAAACATTCTGGCATACATAGGGTTCAGTGGAGATCTCCTTACTAGGTAAAGAGATAGCATTTGCCATCCATATGAATTTTTCATATTTGTATTATCTTCTATATAGCCCAACAGTCCCAGAACCAATGAGACAGTCCTGATGTGCGACTCCAGTCCCATCAATCTTTTTTTTTTTTTATCCTTTTGAAGTGCTTCTTTAATCGCCAGAGAAATGCCCCCCAGGTGAGTGCACTTTTCTCTTTCTGGTTGCCTCTGATTATCAGTGATGTATTTGGGGATTTTTTTTCACTGAACATTGCAATAAACTGAAAACCAGCTTTTACAGTGTAGGATAAAATAACCATGCTGTAAATATAGCAGATCTTAAGATTTGTTCCCCCCAAGTCAGCACTGCAGTTTGGTTTTGATGTCACTACATTGTGTCAGTGACATGTCCCCACCCAGAGCCTTAACAGACAACTTTACAGTGTTTATAAATGGGTGTGAAAAGGTCTTATTCTAGTATACCTTCAGAAATGCCTGTGATCACAGTCTGTCATTTAAAGGGACACTCCACTGCCAAAATACAGAATAAACATAGCCGTCTAGAAGATATACACCAAATGAAAATCTGCATGCATTTAATTATGCTTTTTATTGTGGATATATCTAAAACCAACTTGCAAAACCGGCAGTTCTCTTGACTGTAGCCAGGCTTCCCCAAACTTTGACCCTCCAGATGTTGCTGAACTACAGCTCCCATGATTCTCAGCCTATCTATTTCATTCATAGAATCATGGGAGTTGTAGTTCAGCAACATCTGGAGGGCCAGAGTTTGGGGAAGCCTGTGTAGCCTTTGCAAACCCTCCCAGACTTTCTGTGGCTGTCCAATAACAGCCTTCCCAATGCAGCTCAATGAAAGTCTTCGCAAGACAGATGCTCTGAGCAATTGCTGCCTCTTGAGTTTAGCTCCACTAAGCTAACCAAACCAGGAAGTAACAGGAACTGTTGTCTGATTGAAAGCCAAGGGGGTGTAACCAGGTTACTTTATAAAAGTGTCAGTTTCTATTGAAATCTGCGCTTTTTGCAAAATGAAAAAGGGACACAAGAGGACACACTCTTCACGCATAAGCCTTTCAGCATTCTAAAGTGCTCTATGGGTCTGGAGTGTCCCTTTAAATTCTTTCTGATACATCTGGTATACATGCTTAGTTACCACCGTGATCCTGTTCTTTTGTGGCAAACCTACGGCATTTCCTGGCAGAGCTTTGATATGTCTGTCATAGGTTAAAAAAACAGGAGAATGGAATGGAAAATATGAACGCAGATGAAAATATGTTTATGTAGACTCCAGAACCTGTACTAAATCAAGCAGTTTTATGTCTAACAATTATTTCTCAACCAGAACTAACATAAAATCTCTAGAATGCTACGACGATGTTCTAATAAGTGAGAAAAGGAACGATACAAGCATGCATTTTTTTAATTTGCTTTTGATATCCTGTTTACGTGTTAAAATAGAAGTCATGTAAGCAGTCTATAAAACAGTTGTTTTTCACATGGTGTGGTATGGCTCTGAGTCTGACACCACTCCCTTCCCTGGCTCATTATATTGCACTTCAGACATCAACCTATTTCTGCTTTCTAATCCTTTTGGTTCTTGTTATACTTTTTAAAAATCAGTGCTTGCTTGTGCTTGTGAATTCATTTAGTGCCCATGTTTAATTGAAGGTGGAAACTGTATTTTATGGCCAAAGTCTACTCATGCGCACACCTCCCTTCAGGTACACTTGTGCAAGCATTGAACTCTCAGGCGTGAGAGAGCACCGACTTCTGTTTTGTCTTGTTAGCAGTAAATCTAAACAAAAACACCACAAAAACATCATGTTAGTATTTTAAGTTTATTTATCCTTACCTGTTAAACATATTCTTTCAGTTCACGTTGTTCCTTGGAGAGTCAGGGCCCATTAAATTAAAGAGACACTATAGTCACCAGAACAACTACAACCTAATGTAGTTGTTCTAGTGTCTATAGAAAAGGCAGTGTTTACATTACTACCTAGGAACACCTCTAGTGGCAGTCACTCGCTAGAGGTGCTTCCTGGGTCAGTGCTGCTCAATGTTGTGCTCTGCATGGAGGCAATGAACATTACTTATAGAGATGCATTGATTCAATGCGTCTAAATGAGGAGATGCTGATTGGCGCATGCACGATTGCCTCCCAATGCTTTTCTATGGGAAAGCTTTGGCTTGGCTTATATCATCAAGTTTGATAATCTGAGACAAGGGGCCAGTCTCAAGTGAGTAGATAACCTTTTACCTTCCTGAAGTTGGACTGGTGATCTAATTTGCACTATTAGATCTTTAGTGTCAGGAATACATGTTTGTAATTCTATAGTATTCCTTTTATGTTGCCATGTATAAAGATCTACAGCTAAAATGTATTTAGAAAGTATTCAGACCACTTAATTTTTTTTAACTTTTATTAGGTTGCAGCCTTATATTACAATTGTCTAAATTATTTTTTTTCAGGTGAATCTACACTCAATACCACATGATGACAAAGAAATAAGCAGATTTTCTCACCACTGCAAATATATTAAAGAGAAAAAAATGAAATTCCAACTTGACACAAGTATTCAGACCCTTAAGTCAGTACTTAATTAAAACACCTTTGGCAGCAATTGTAGCCTCAATTTTTTTTGGTTATGATGTGACAAGCTTTGCACACCTGACGTTAAGTAGTTTTTGCTATTCATCTCTGCAGATCCTCTCAAGCTCTGTCAGGTTGGATGAGGACCTTTGGTAGACCATGGACAGCCATTTTTAGATCTCTCTAGAGATGGTCAATTGGATTCAAATGCAGACTCTGGCTGGGCCACTGAAGGACATTTACAGAGTTGTACTTAGGAGACTCTTGTGTTGTCTTGGCTGTGTGCTTAGGGTCACTGTCCTGTTAAAAATGCCACAGTCTGAAGTCCTTGGCACTCTGGAGCAGGTCTTAATTAAGGATATCTCTGTATTTTGATTCCTTTAGCCCTGACCAATATCCAAGTCCCTGCCCCTGAAAACACCACCAAAGCATGATGCTGCCATCACCATGCTTCACTGTAGGGATGGTATTGTGCAGGCGATGAGTGGTGACTGGTTTCCTCCACACATGACTGGATTGAGGCCAAACAGTTTAATCTTCAAATCAGAGAATCTTTTGTTCTCACAGCATGCTGCTTTTCTGTTTTGCAAATTCCCAGTGGGATTTTATGTGTTGTGCAGTGAGAAAAGGCTTCCATCTGTCCAATCTGACATAAAGGCCAGATCTGTAGATTGTTGCAGTAAGGATTGTCTTCCTCATGCTTCTTCAATTTTCCAAAAATAATCACTGACGCTCACCCAGATTGATCATCGGGTTCTTGGTCACCTCTCAAACCATAGTCATCCTGCCACAGTTGCTCAGATTGGCTGGGCTGCCAACTTTAAAGAGACTCCTGATTGTTCAAAACTTATTCCATTTAAGAATTATGGAAGCCACTGTGCTCTTGGAAACCTTAATTACATTTTTTTCTTTTTTTATCTGTCCCCAGATCTGTGCCTCGACACAAATCTGTCTCTCTATGCTCTGCAGGCAGTTTATTTGATATACAGTTGTGAGACCTTGTATAGACAGATGTGTGATTTGCCAACTCATGTTCAATCAATGGAATTTGCCACATGTGGTCTCTAATCAAAGTACAGAAACATCCTAAATATGATCCAGAGACACTGGATGCACCTGCGTTAAATTTCAAGTGTCTCAATTCTAATGTCAATGTAATATTTCATTCTTTTTTTTTTTAGTAAACTTTCAAAGATCTGGAGTTTTCTTTGTCATTATGGGATACTGAGTGTAGATTGGTGAGAAAAAAAAAGTCGGCAGCATAATAAAATGTAAAAAATGAAAGGGTCTAAATACTTTTTGAATGCAGTGTATATCAGACAGACTGTAAGTTTTCTTTATGTTAAAAAAGCACATTGAGTTTTGCCACAAACCTGACCTTCCGTGATGTATGCTTCAAGTATTTCTTCATTCCTTGCTTGGGCAGTGACTCTGTTGTGAGGGGTGAGCCTAGAATAAAGCTTTTTCACAATGGCTTTTTTCAATAATATGTCTGGAACATAGAGCTTCTGAGAAACTATTCTACTTTTACTTATTTTACTTTCCAAGTTAGTTTAGAAATAATCGTCCTTTTCAATTGTTCACTAGTATTAAACGACCATTGTTGGCGAGCAGGCACAATTTTTTGTTATGTGTATATGCAAATATAAGTGTCATTCTTATGGGACAAACAGACAATGGAACCTAAATTCCCTTGCCCCTCCTTCGTACCATGATGGCCCCTTCTCCTCTGTATGTAGATTGTTTTAACACAGTGTACCTTGCTAAGAATGCTATTTTACTACCACAAGTATTTCCTGTGGTGTATGGCACAATTCAATGCTAGGAGTTGGATCAGAACCGCTAGGGACCCGATGGGTACTGTGTGAGGTTATGTTTTATATTAACGTAAGTAGGCCTTTATTTAATGTCCTTGAATGTAACTGGTAGTTGATTGATTGATAATTTATTTAACACCAATATATTCTGTAGCACTGAACAAAATGTATGCAAACAGGCCTATAAACTATAAAAAAAAAATTGGGATATAAGTAGTGTACACAAATGGGTCAAAAGAAACATATCCAGAAGAGAAGATAATTATCCGGTGTCCAATCTGTAACAAACTAAGGCTCTTTGATGCACGTGGGAGCAAAGGCTAGCCCATCTGGTCCGATCACACAGATGAGCTACTGTAGCTCAAATGAATAAAAAAAATGTAGTGCTGGTCCTGATGGAAAGGTGTGAGAACACACAGTGCATTTTCTGCGTACGCGACTGCATAGCCGCAGACCGGTCAGCATGCCCATGATCAGTGGCGTACATACCAGGGTCGCGGCTGCGACCGGGCCCGGCCCACCAGGGGGCCCGGCCGCCCCTGCGACCCGGTATGTACGCCACAGGGCCAGCCTCTTCCCCTGGGGGGCCCAGAAGCCGGCTGGCCCTGCTGACACACGGAAGGCGGGCGCGCGAGGGAAACTCAGTGCTTCCTCTTCAGCTCCCTCGCTGAAGAGGAAGCACTGAGCGTTCCCTCGCGCGCCCGCCCACCTGCCCGACCGGCCACCCACCCGCCCATGAGCCCAGCAGCACAACTGGACCCCAGGGAATCCCCCCAGCACTCCAAAAGGTAAGGAGGCTGCGGGGATTCAATTTAAAAAAAAAACAAAAAACGTGTGTTAGTGTGTGTGTGAGTGTTAGTGTGTGTGTGTGTGTGAGTGAGTGTTAGAGTGTGTGTGTGGGTTAGTGTGTGTGAGTGAGTGTTAGTGTGTGTGTGTGTGAGTTAGTGTGAGTGTTAGAGTGTGTGTGTGTGAGTGAGTGTTAGAGTGAGCGTTAGAGTGTGTGTGAGTGAGTGTTAGTGAGTGCTAGAGGGAGTGAGTGTTAGAGTGAGTGAGTGTGTGTGAGTGAGTGTTAGAGTGAGTGTGTGTGAGTGTTAGAGTGTGTGTGTGAGTTAGTGTGAGTGTTAGAGTGTGTGTGTGTGAGTGTTAGAGTGAATGTTAGTGTGTGTGTCTGCTAGTGAGTGTCAGCGAGTGTGTTACTGTGTGTGTTAGTGAGTGTGTTTGATGTCTGTTAGTGAGTGTGTTTGTCAATGAGAGTGTATGTTTTGTAAGTGAGGGTGTATGTATGTCTGTCGCTGAGTGTGTCTCTGTCAGTAAATGTGTGTGTCTGTTAGCTAGTGTGTATGCGTCTGTAAGTGTGTGTATGTCTTCAGCACTTACCTTTCTCCAGCGCCGGACTCCCTTGGTGCTGGGGATCCCTCAGCCTCCCAGCTCCGAATGCGACCGCGCATGCATTCAAACCGACGTTCAGTGTGCTCCTCTAGCGGCTGTCAGTGAGACAGCCACTAGAGGCTGGATTAACCCTCAGTGAAACATAGCAGTTTTTCTTAAACTGCTATGTTTTCAGCTGCAGGGTTAAAACTAGAGGGACCTGACACCCAGACAACTTCATTGAGCTGATGTGATCTGGGTGTCTGTAGTGGTCCTTTAAGTGTGTGTGCATCTGCATGCACTGGCGTACATACCTCGGTCGCAGGGGTCGCAGCCCTGTAACCCCTGCGACCAGGTGCCCACCGCCATGTGTTGCGGCCCGCGCGCGCGGGGGGGGAGGCACGAATCAATTTTTGCACCGGGGCCCCATGGGTCATGTGTACGCCACTGCCCATGATGAACGCTGTCCACCACTAAAGTGCCTTCAATGGGGATGTGAGCGTCAGAACTGGACCATGTAGCAATGTAAGAAAGTTGCCTGGTTTAAAGAATCATGTTTTTTTTTTTTTAAATCAGGTGGATGCCTGGGTGTGTGTGTGTTGTATACATGGGGAAGAGATGGCAGCAGGATGCACTATGGGAAGAAGACAGAAAGTGTTATGCTCTGGACAATGGTCTGCTGGGAAACCTTGGGTCCTGGCATTCATGTGGATGTTACTTAGACATGTACCACCTATCTAGAGATTGTTTGTAGACCACATACACCCATTCATGACAATGGTGTTTCCTGATGGCAGTAACTTCTTGTAGCAGAATACCCTGCCACACTGCAAAAATTGTTTAGCGGTAGTTTCAGGAACATGCCAAAGAGCTCAAGGAGTTGTCTTGGTCTCAGAATGTTATCAGATTGAGCATCTGTGGGATGTGCTGAAACAACAAATCCAATCCATGGAGGCCCCACCTCGTAACTTGCAGGACTTAAAGGATCTGCTGCTAATGTCTTGATGCCAAATACCACGGGACACGTTCAGTGGTCTGGTAGACTCCATGTGTTGATGGATTAGAGCTGTTTTGGCAGCACAAGGGGGATCTACACAATTTTCAGCAGCTTGTTTCAATGTTGTGGCTGGTCAGGGTATTTTGTGATTTGTCTCTTAATTTCTGCCTCCTTATTATTGTATTTTTTTTGTTTACTAAAAATGCAAATTGTTGTAGCCAGAGCAATCTTTTAACAGCATTATAAGACTGTTTTATGTGCCCTCTCTATGAGCACTTTGGAATATTAGTATCCTTGGAAATACTCATGATGCACAACAGCATGTGTATTATTGTGCTCTTGTTTCCAGAACATACATTACAAACCTTCCTGACATTGTTCAGTCATTCCTCAGTTGTTCCAGCTGATCGGTGCCAGCCACCAATGCCAGCCACTAATTTACAGTGTTCCCTCTGAGTACCCCGACTGACTGACCTACCAATGTTGACTTGTTGGATTGTCTGACCAAAAGATTTTCTTCCTGATACCACACCTGTCAATGAGCACTGTGGCTGTGGGAGCTCTGATTAAGCAGCTCTCAGACAGACATCATGATTGGTCTCTGGATGTCTCTGTGAGAGCCCCATGATTGTGGCTTTCATGTCCTTGGGGCCCTCCAAGGCATAAATCTGGAGCTCTGTTTGTTCCACCAAAAGGAGGAACTGATCTGATCCAACAGGGATTGAAGAAGAATCTTAGTCATGCAGAGCGTAGAGACGCTGAGAAGCTGTAATTGTTCTGGTGACTATCATGTCCCTTTAAAGAGCAGCAGAAAAAGAACCTTCAGTACCCTTTTATGAGGCATTATGAATGATTTTATTAGATCATTTTCATTATTACTATATGTGACGAAGTGCCCTTCGCCACTTGTGCCTGGAGAGGACTGCTTGCCCGCCTCTTGCCCTGTGACTATGGCCCCTGGGATGTATTGCCCTTTAAAGACATGATTTGGGCATAATGGATTTGTGTTGTGCTGCTGCTGGCCCTTTAAGAACCATCTGGGGACATACTGTGGAGTTACTGGGTGGCCACCATTTCCTGTATCAGAAGCACATGGTGAGAACAATGGATGGCGTCCATTTTAACTCACAGACACTTTTTGGACTTTTCAACACGGTGCCATCTTGCCAGTATTTGGTGCACAGAGACATCGTGCAGTGGTTTTGGACTATACAGCAGGGGACACATTATAAAGTGATTGTTTTTCATTTAGCCTGTATATGTTCTGCAGAATCTGCATTAAACTGTATTTTCCAAAGTACTGAACGGATCTGGGTGAATTTTGGATATGTGGTTCACCCAGATCCCCCGGTTCCAAGGATACTTTTTATGGGGTTATTGCATGTTTTGGGGTCCCTATGTGTTTTATGAAACCGTATTATTTCTGGCTAGCAGATAATTGAGCTTTGTGTATTGTAGAAACTCAATTATCTAGCCTGGCCCAGAGGAGGAGTTTTGTGTTGCATAAATTGTGAGTTCTGTGTGCCAGTAAATCAATCTTGTTCCAGCATTAAGCCTTGGCTCATGTTTGGGGGATTGGAGAAATACACTCTGGGGATTGCTATAATCACTATACTCCCCAGGGTATGATCACTAAGTTCTGCTAAGAGCTTGTTCCTGTTCCTGTTCTCTCTCTGGGGAAAGAGAGGTTCACCCACTGGAAGCTGGATCCTGGCCTTGGGTCCAGGGTGGGTGGAAACAGCAGAGACCCCGGCGCAGTTGCATCGCTGGAAGTGGGGTCTGCAGTGCTGATGGTGTCGGTTGGAGTGCTTGGAGTCCTCAGCGAGCACTAGGAGCATCGATTGGCGGAGGTACTCAGTCGGAGTGCCAGCGTTCCGTCACATTTGGTGGCAGCGGCGGGATGGCGTCCTAGTGCGAGGACCAGCAGCTCGGAGACACCGGTAACCTTGGAGTTACGGATTTATAATTGAGGGCAACGCTAGCCTCTGCGCAGCGTCCCTACCTACAGCAACATGGAGCTAGCAAGACCCTGGACAGCAGCCAGTGAATTGCAAATCCGCCTGTCACAGTGCTATGAGGGTGCTGATTTCATGAAGGAAGTAAAGGCGCGGCTGGTCTGGTTTGGCCCAAACCCTTCAGATGAGGTGGTCCATCAAGTGATGCGCCTGTTGAGTGCTGAGAACCAAGACGCACGGAACTACGAGTACCAACTGTGGAGTTTGGGGGTATTGACACCCCGTCTCCAGCGACAGAGTGAGTTACAGGGAGAGGAGAGCAGCGACCTCCCATCCCAGCGGCAGTGCACCGTACAGAGGGAAGAGACAACCGGTCTCTCTCCCCAGCGGCGGCCTGAGTTCCAGGAGGAGGTGATGGTAGATCCCTCCCCCGTACAGCAACCAGCGTCCTGGGGAGGGGAGGCAACCGGCCTCCCTCTCCAACAGCAGCCGGAGGTGGGCGACCTCATAGACTTGTCCTGGGGACACACAGAGATGGCAAGCGGAGATGGGACCGAAGTCTCTCTGCCGGCCCTACAGGGATGCTGGGCAGTCAGCCCAGGTCCCCAGCGGCAGTATAATATACAGGGAGAGGAGACAACTGGTCTCTCTCCCCAGCGGCGGCCTGAGTTCCAGGAGGAGGTGATGGTCGATCCCTCCACCTTACAGCAACCAGCGTCCTGGGGAGTGGGGGCAACCAGCCTCCCCCTCCAACAGCAGCCAGAGATACCGGGAGAGGGGAAGACAAACCTAACCACACTGGCGCAGATGGGACCGCGGTCTCTGTGCCAGTCCTACAGGGAGGCTGGACGGGCGGTCCAGATCCCCAACCAACCCCGCAGGGATGCCAGGAGGAGGAGGTAAGCAAAACTTCCCCTCCCCAGCTACATCCCAACCGGGTCCTGGGGGCAGTGGATGAGCCTGCGATACCCACTGACCCCCTCCCAGCAGAAGAGCTGGCCTCTGGGCAGAGCTCTGTTAGCCTCTGCCCCCCCTTTTCCCCTGTATCAGAGCCTGACTTACCACGGGTTACCCCAGTGGAAGAGCTGGCAGCAGGGCAGAGAGCCGCTGGCCTCTGCCCCCCAAGCAACACCAGCAGTTTGCCTAGCTGCACCAGGGAGACCGAGAGTGCTGCGCTGTCCCACTACAAACGTGAACCTACAGGTCAGTACCATTTATTGTGGGGGGGTTACTCTGCGTATTTTTCTTTGTGGGTGGGCTGCCCGACTAATCTAGGTACTGACCGGCAGAAGGTCAGGTACCTGTTTAGTCTTCCCCCCAAAGGGAAGATGTGTGACGAAGTGCTCTTCGCCACTTGTGCCTGGAGAGGACTGCTTTCCCGCCTCTTGCCCTGTGACTATGGCCCCTGGGATGTATTGCCCTTTAAAGACATGATTTGGGCATAATGGATTTGTGTTGTGCTGCTGCTGGCCCTTTAAGAACCATCTGGGGACATACTGTGGAGTTACTGGGTGGCCACCATTTCCTGTATCAGAAGCACATGGTGAGAACAATGGATGGCGGCCATTTTAACTCACAGACACTGTTTGGACTTTTCAACACGGTGCCATCTCGCCAGTATTTGGTGCACAGAGACATTGTGCAGTGGTTTTGGACTATACAGCAGGGGACACATTATAAAGTGATTGTTTTTCATTTAGCCTGTATATGTTATGCAGAATCTGCATTAAACTGTATTTTCCAAAGTACTGAACGGATCTGGGTGAATTTTGGATATGTGGTTCACCCAGATCCCCTGGTTCCAAGGATATACTTTTTATGGGGTTATTGCATGTTTTGGGGTCCCTGTGTGTTTTATGAAACTGTATTATTTCTGGCTAGCAGATAATTGAGCTTTGTGTATTGTAGAAACTCAATTATCTAGCCTGGCCCAGAGGAGGAGTTTTGTGTTGCATAAATTGTGAGTTCTGTGTGCCAGTAAATCAATCTTGTTCCAGCATTAAGCCTTGGCTCATGTTTGGGGGATTGGAGAAATACACTCTGGGGATTGCTATAATCACTATACTCCCCAGGGTATGATCACTAAGTTCTGCTAAGAGCTTGTTCCTGTTCCTGCTCTCTGGGGAAAGAGAGGTTCACCCACTGGAAGCTGGATCCTGGCCTTGGGTCCAGGGTGGGTGGAGACAGCAGAGACCCCGGCGCAGTTGCATCGCTGGAAGTGGGGTCTGCAGTGCTGATGGTGTCGGTTGGAGTGCTTAGAGTCCTCAGCGAGCACTAGGAGCATCGATTGGCGGAGGTACTCAGTCGGAGTGCCAGCGTTCCGTCACACTATAGTTTATTGAATATTTTATATAAAATATAAGCAGGGCCGGTGGAAGCATTTTTGGCGCCCTAGGCGAAAACAAATTTGCCACCCCATTTGCTTCACCCAATCATACAGACTAACACACACACTGACTTAAGTAGACACACACTGACCATGCAAATTGACACACGGGGCGGGAGTGCTGCTGCCGCAATGCATGTCTGGGAGGTGGGGCCTGGCAGAGTCTGTGGTGGATACCGCTGGACCTGTATTCTACTGGTCGCTAGTGAGCAACAATGTAAGTGTTTCCGTGCGCCCGGTAAAATGGCCGGCAGCATACTCAAAATAATCTAATTTGATGGAGGGGAGGGGGCGGCCGCGGCACAAACATAAAGCCAGGGCCAGCGCCCCCTCTTAAGCAGTTTGTAATTGTGATTTTACTAAACTTGGGACAGGAAAAGGATATATTTTGTATGTTTTCAGTACAGCTATTTGGCCTAAAATTAGAAATTCACACTGTAGACCAATGTTTCTCAACCTTTTATGGAGAAGTATCTTTGCAGGTCAAAAAAAAATTCCCAAGTACTTCTACCTCGAGAATGTAATTTTCTATTGATTTAAATTCCAAATGAAACGCATATACACTGATATATAAATTAAACCCGTATTGGATTAAAGATTAAAGTGCTCTGCTCCCTCGGGCGCTGTTTTTGTAATTCTGGGGATTGAGTGACGTCATAACCCGGCTCCTGGAAGAATGCAGTGATTCACAGTCACAGATACCTTGCTGCCCGGTTACAGCCTCCCCCGGACATTATATTTGGGCAGAGCAGGCACCTGTCATCAGGTAAGCAAGTGCCTCCTCTGTCTTAGCGCACAGCTGGACACCTCCAGGGGGGTTTTAAAGTGGCCAGCGAGCTCTCGACGTACCTCCTGCTTGTGCGTATTACAGGTTAACAGCCTGTGCTTTAGACAATAATCTTCTAAAATAGGAATTGTTGGGGATTGATAATTAATTTAGAGATTAACAGCCAATCTGAAAAAAAAATTTGATTTTGAGAATTTTTCCACTTTGGTTATTTTTGTCCACAATGTGGAAATTCATTTTAACCCCTTAAGGACCAAACTTCTGGAATAAAGGGAATCATGACATGTCATATGTCCTTAAGGGGTTAAATTCCTAAATCTAGTTGAACAGCTCAACTACATCCAATCTGTCACTTCTATTGAAAACGCCGGTGCGCTATCACCAGTGACCGCCAGGTGGCGCCATAAACACCGTGCGAAGTCCCCGCTGCCTGTGGGAGACCGTCTAGCCTCTACTCTATGGTAACGCTGGAGGTAGAGCGACTGGTGAGGGCTAAGGCCGCTCGTTGCTGGAGGACCCGAGCTTCACCCCGGGGGAGTGAGAAGAGATAAAATGGCCGCCGTGAGGCCGCCCCGGCCTGTCTGCCGTGTCCCAGTTCTGTTACGGACGGGGAGGTGAAGAAGGCGGCGGCCCGGAGGGGGGGAGGGTGGTGGACGGAGGACCATGGGCTCTCAGACTCTGCAGATCCTCCGGCAGGGAGTGTGGGCTTCCATCACCGGGGGCTGGTACTACGACCCTCACCAGAGCACCTTCGTCAACACCCTGCACCTCTACATCTGGCTCTTCCTGCTCTGCTTCCCCTTCACCCTGTACATGGTGAGTCCAGCCTCACTCACTGCCTGCCTGCCTGGCTCCATCATGGCTGCGCCTGGGCCTAGACACCCCCAGACAGTCCTGGGGGGATAATACTCAGGGTGATGCCCACCTACCTACATGGGGCAGGGGCACCAGCCAGGCACCTGCACCCCCAGACAGCCAGGCAAGTCCCCACCCCCTCCATGATCACCATTTTAATCCTGGGTTTTTATATTTTGTTATTCCCTGCCCCCCCCTTTCCTCCTGTGATTGTTCTTTGACAGGGTGGACCACTTTCTCCCTCATTTCAATGTCTAAAGCAGAGGAGGAAGGGGAGAGGGATGGATGAGCGTTATGGGAGTTATCCTGTCAGCCTTCAATATCTGGTTTTACTACTTCTTAGGTGTGTAGACTGAGAGAGAGACTGTGTCAGGAAGTAAGGATGACCAAAATTGTATCACCATGATGTTATAAAAATATAACCCCCCCTCTCATTTCAATGTCTAGAGTAGAGCTGGCAAACTTTTGGCAATGAAGCTGTTAAAGGGTTTGGGGGAGGGTTGTTGTAGCTGGCTGAGTGTGTAATTCTTCTGTTAGCCAGCCGTCGGTTTTTTTTTTTTTTTAATTTTTTTTATACAAGACCCCTAAGTAATACCCACCTACCTGCATATGGCAGTGACTGAGAGGCAGGATGTCCCACCCCACCGTGATCACCATTTTAATCCAGTTTTTTTTTTTGTTTGTTTTATACTCTGATTGTTCTTTGACAGGTTTTACTACTTTCTCTCTCATTAGTGTCTAAAGAGATGGTTACGTTTTGGCACTGTGGCTGTTAAGAGTTGACTGAGTGTTATGGGAGTCCTCCTGTCAGGCAGCCATCTCTGTTTTTACCACCTCCCAGGTATAGACTGAGAGACTGTCAAAGAGGTTGAAAATTGTCTAATCCTTATGTTGTAAAAATATAACCCTTCATTTCAATGTCTAAAACAAGGCTGGCCAAGTTTTGGCACCGTAAAATGGTTGGGGTGGTTGTTACACTAGCTGAGCGTTATGGGAGTTCCTGTCAGACAGCCATCTTTTTATTTAGAACCATTTCCCTCAGTATAGACTGAGACCGATTGTCTCCAGAGCTAAGGATGAACAAAATTGTATAATCCTGATGTTATAAAAAATATAATTCCACTCTTTTTCCTTTATAGTGGCATTGTGCATCATGGGAGTTGTTGCACATCAGTTTGAGATCTACCTGTTTGTCATCACTTGTTTAAGGCTTAATTTAGAACTTCTTTAAGAATGATTGTATTTGTGTTCACTTAACTAGCAAATTGAATTCCGAATAATGTTTACACTAAGAGCTACTTTGGAAACATTGCCTCAGCTTAGCGAACATGTTACCAGAAAAACATTGTTTGATTTCAATTTGCTGCACGTTCATAACAAGTTCATAGTTTCTTGAATAAATGCCCTGTTTGCTTGATATCTGCCAATAGTGACATTCCGAATTCTTGCATTAAAAGGCTTTGGGCTATGTTAGTGTAATGATATGTATAGAAGATGTGTGCTGTTATAATGGCAAAGGAACTGGTGGCTTGTTGTATTGAAGAGGCAGTATAATCCATGCAGTGGTTATGTTGCCAGGAGTCAATATGAACAAAACCAGTATATGTATATTTCTCTTGCCCATCTATGTAGAGGGGCCAGCAATGGGCACCCACGAATCATGTGTAAGTGTCAAGCTGATCTGAAACAATGCACGGTGCCAGGAGACTCCTTAGACCATAAATCATTGCACCACACTGTAGTGGTTATGGTGCTTAGAGTACCCGTTTAACAAAAGCTAATACAGTCATTACTTGCCAGGAATGGTATTGACTTAATCATTTGGTAACTTTAGCTAGTAGTTTTTGTGTTCACTGCCTACTGGTGACACATACAAATTGTCATATTTATGTTTACTTTTATGACTTGTCTGTTTCTTGATATAGATCCATTTCTCATCAAGATAATTCTACATTTTAAAGGCTACTTGTGTATATATAACAGTGATGACTAGACTGAAACATAAATCTTTACTGGTAATTTCCTGCATTTAAAGGCAACTGTGTTGGGACTACTGGGCTTGATATCCCATAAACCTAAACTTTACCTGAGTTTATGGAATATTTTCAGTGCTCCCTTAAACCAGTGTGTCCATTAAGAAAACTCAGTTGGTTACTAGTCAAGGTAAAAGCTGCAGTTTTGCAGCAAACAAGTAACAAACACAGGTGTCATTTTGCATGCGTTTGCATTGTTCTGAATGGATTAAAACCGCATTGGGGCCTCAATTTGTTCCTTGAGTATCTTTCATATGTTTCTAGGAATTGTAGGTATTTTTTTTCCCCTCCTGTTTTATTTGTATTCTGTTGTACTTGTCCCTGGATAGTTTGCTGTATTTTGTATCACTTTCTCGATATTTTCTTTTCCTACACTTCCTACGTTTAGAGGGACTTCATTTTAATGAATTAGTTTTGGTGCATAGACCATGTCCCTACAGCCTTTCAATGTGAAACATGACAAATTTTCCCCATGAAGCTCTTTGGTTTTTAAAGGTCTGTACATTCAGTGTCATCACAAAAATGTACGCTGGGAATGTTAATCATAGAGAAGCATTGGATTCAGTGCTTCTCATTGAGACATGTCTGGCAGATTAGGATTTGAACTGAGATCAGAAGAGGCAGAACCTGTCCTTGGACATTCTTGTATTGTTTCTATTTATATATTTTTTTTTCAATTACTTTTTTTATTGCGGCAACTGCACGTCAAACAAAGACAATACATTAAATGTCAAGGATAACAATTGTATTTAGGAAAAGTTCACAAAGCTAGTTGATGACTTATTTTATTATAATAAAAATTAAAACAAGAATGTGAAAAAAAAAAAGATAGCCATGAAACATGTTTAGGCTGGTGGGGCTACACGAGTCTGAATATTGGAGAGAACCAAATAGTGCACTTATAATTATGATTTAAGGCTCGATTTCTGTGACTGGCTATGTCTTACCAAGGGTGCATCACGGAAATTTTGGGGTGTGTAAGTTGAGGCAGATAACGGAGGACATGGTATATTCCAACCTTCAGCAAGAGTAATGATGGCGAGCGAAGTTTGGATAAAAAGATCGTAGCATATGATACATTGATTTTCCATGCATCACATATCTTTAAAAAAAATAAACAAAAAAACAGTTGAGCAATAAAGAGTAATGTAATAAAAACAAGAGGCCATGTTTGAAGATAGTCCCTGAGAGTAGATTATCTTTTTCTTGAGGGAGGAAGAGAACCACTTTAGATTCCACATGCCCATTGAAGGAAAACCCATAAGCTCATGAGGCACTTTAAAAATGCCCACCATCTTAAAGTAACACTATAGTCACCAGAATAACTACAGCTTAATGTAGTTGTTCTGGTCAGTATAGCCAGTCCCTGCAGGTTTTTTAATGTAAACACTGCCTTTTCAGTGGCATCCACTCACTCAGTCGCTCTGCATGGCAACACTGAGCATTCCCCATAGGGGAGTGTATTTATTTAATGCATATCTATGAGGAGATGCTGATTGGTCAGTGCAGTGTTTTGCCACAAAGGCACAATAGCCTCCTAATGCTTTCCCGTGGGAAAACATTGGTTTGGCTGAGATTGTCAATATTGATGATCACAGCCAAGGAGTCTGATTGGGAGGGGGGGATCCAGTGCTGGTGGACCCACACAGCGCTGGAATAAAGATGAGAAATCTCGACTTTTACACAGGTTAATTAGAGTTTGGGGGCCTAAATAGTGATATTCCAGCTATATTGACAGGAATACATGTTTGTATTGCTGTCACCATAGTGTTCCTGTAAGAAAGATTTATGCCTGTGTTGATAAGGACAATTGAAGAACAGAATAGTCCTTAATGAGTTGGTGATCTTGGTGCAATTAAGAGTGTTCCATACCAACCTCAATCAATTACTGAGTGACCGAATCCAAAGACCTCCTCATTTGTAGAGTGGATCTGTGTAACTCCTGGTAGAAAGTGAGGTGTGAAGAATATGGTGTCTTGCCCTATAGTGCTACCATAAAGCAACACTTGCCCATCAGGGCTTAAGGAGAAGGCCTTTAGATCCAAATTGAGAGCCATGTTAAGAATGGCAAGATGCTGAAACATAGCGCCAATATCTCAAGTATTGTTACAAGGAGTTGCCTGTTTTTTCTGGGATCTGATTCCGGGCCAGAGTTGGCTGTACAACCCCTGCTTTGTGGTCCGGTGATGGAGCACGCTTGCCTACTAGCCTGTAATGTAAGCTGATTCTTTACATGGCTCCTTGCTGGTCGAGGATTAAAAGAAAGGCATCTATCGATTACCCGTGGAGAGTTAAGTGGTTTTGGGGCAAAGAGACTGTCCCTGCAGAATTGATCTCACTGGGAAGGCAGTGTGGCTGTACTGAAACAGGCGTGCTGGGGGAAGAAAGTTGAGTAAATACTATTAATTTCCCCCCATTTAACAGGGGCGCGAACATCTTAAGTTATCAGAACCCCTATAGCATTAATAATGCCAGTTTGTATAGTTAACATTATAGTGTTCGTTAAACAGTTTGCATTAAATTGACTAATTACTGTTGGTGCAATTTTCCAATATAATGGTGGAAATTAAACTGTGACTTGATATTCACTATGCAATCTGTTTATTTACTGTGAAGACTAATGTCTTAAGTTGGTAAACTAATTATCCTTCACTTCATTTAAAGAAATTGCTAAATCTAAATGTCAGTGTTTGACAGAGTTTAGCAAATATGCTGTATTACGCAAATGTCATGGGGATTAAAGACGATTCATTTCAGTTTACTGTTGCAATAACGAACCTTTAGTATTTAGTAATTCCTGGTTAATGGTTCAAGCTAATATACATAGAGTTGGATCCTTAATTTTTAAAGGAACATGCTAATGTAATGAATATATTTATTCATAAAGTTAATGCTCCTTTTAGCACATTTAGCCCCTCTTCCCCTTTTTTGAAATCTAAAGAAATATAGCTCACCTTTAATCGACCTGTCTAGTTCTTGTCAAGGCAGCCACCTCACCCATCATTATATCATCACCCTTCGGGGGTGCAGAGGGACACTAAAGTGTTTGGCATAAAGTTTTGTATTCCTAACATATTTCTATAGTATTTCTTTAAGATGTATCTTTAAAGGAGATAAAACAAAACCGTGCTACAATCTTTATAGTGTACACCTTGATAATTCTCTACAGAATATAGCCAGTTTTATTTATAGTTATTTGTTATGGTGCTAGGAGGCAATGGGCGCAGTCTGTCTAGTCATGATTTCCCAGCATTTATGTCCCATTGAACGCTTTTAGGGTGCAGTGAGGGCCCTTACAGCATAATTCAGCTGTTTTGCAACTCTGCTGTCAAATTGACACAGGCACTCTGTCTTTTGCTTGGCCTGCTAACTGATACAATAGGCAGTTGTAATGCTTGGAGTGTTCATTTGTAATAAGCTTATATATTATGGTGTTTTTAAGTAAGCCGTGTTCTAAGTCTATATTTTCATCTTGAGTGCCTGTAGGTGTACAACATGTATCTATCAGTCCCTAATGCATTCTATAAGGAAGGAATTAAACATTTGCAAATGTTTCTAGACCGTTTGATGGAAATGAGATAAAAGGATCGAGAACACATACTAAGCTAGCTGGTTTGAAACAATAGTGTTATGGCATTAAATGGCAACTGTCCGTTCCCAAGATTGTTATTGTGTTCCTAGCTCAAATATTTAGCAAATGTAAAATTAAATGTAGAAATCCAAACTTCTGTCCTGGAACTGGGCGGCTCCATCTTGTGTCTCTGTGAACATAGGTAGAAGAGTAACAGAATGTTTATCCTCATTTGCATTGTGTGCCCTGGTTGTACCTGAGCTGAACTGGATTGTGATTTCCTTTGCTAAATCTTTAATCCAAGTTTAAAAGGAAACCTTGCACCACATGAAAAGTTGGTTAACAGAGGTTGACTAATTTCAATGCTTTTTAATTCAACTTTGTAATTTCCAGAGTTATGACAGTTATCCTTTAATCGTGCCTAAAAGGGACTTTCCAGACACCTATAGGACTTCTGCTTGCTGAAGTGCTTAGTGTAGTGTTTCCGTTTAAATTTTTTTTTTTTTTTTTTTTTTAAATGTAGATTTCAATTTAAAAAAAATTGGCACTTTTTTTAAGACACCCGGTCCTGTTACTTCCTGGTTGTTTAGCTCAGTGAAACAAAATTCAAGAGGCAGCAACTGCATGGAGTACCTGTCTTGCTTCTCATTGAGCTGAATTGGGAAATCTGTGATTGGACAGCCACAGATGGTCTGGGCTGGGTTCGGAGAGGGCTTGCTGAGACTTCAGGCAAGAAAACTGCAACTTTTAATTAAATACATGCAAGTTTTCATTGTGGGTGCATTCTCTAAATCTAAACAATGATTTATTTTATTTTGTATTTCAGCACTATAGTGTCCCAATGCTGTCTGGGATGAAAATGTTACTTCTGGTTTATTTATTTTTGATGTAATGATAAAGATCAGTCATAGTTAAACTTAGCACCCCAAATATTTGTGAGCATTGCTTATCCAGCCTAACAAGAATTTACCGTACTCCCTGCAGTGGGATTTTATTTTTTTTTTAATTAGAATTAGACTTTTTACTTTTCTTGGTTTAGTGCAATATTGTGAATGACACAATGCTATTAACAAAACTGCTTCTCTAATGCAGCCTGTTCAATTGTGCTCCTTTCTTTTTTACAATAAAAGGCACTCAAATGCTATTTTAACCTGTTACAACAGCTGGAAGGCATTATCTGGGTGTCTGTATGTGATGCAGATATTTTTTTTTTTTTCTTTCCATGAAAGATAATGCATTGTTTGTTGCCTAGGTTCTGCTAGCACACCTGACCATTAGTGCCATCTTTCACCACTGTGATAAGATAATGAAATAAATGTCTCTCAGCAAAAGGCATATGGTCTGTGCACAACCTATTTTATGAGACGCTGAGTCTAGGCTGTTGCAGAATGGTTCTAAAAAAAAAAAAAGATAAAGGTTAATAATAGCTAAACATGTCTAGTAACTGGTTTACACCTTCATTTGAAGAGGAAACCCCCTGCCAAATGTGAGTAAACCATGTGCAATATATTTTTAAAGGTAAAGTCTCATGGAAAATGACTGTATAAAGAAATCCATTAGTAATAGAATGCAATATAAGCTGCACTTTTCATCTCATGCTAATCTGGAGCTTGCCGTTTAGAATTCTCTGCCATATATTTAGAAGGAATGTTTTATCAGGTTTAGAGAGGTGCCTGGCATTGGGTAGACTTATTGTCATGAAAATGTAGTTGAAGTAGCAGTTTCAATGAATAATGGCCACCATTTCTGGGTATTGCACCTCAGCGTTTGTCAAAATGCGTGGCTTCCTCACAATCAAAGAATTGGTTCTTCTGCTGTATTACTATCTGTACTAATGTTTCCAATATTGACAGCACTACCTTTCCTCGTTAAACACTTTATTAATGGGCTGCTATGGCTGCCAATATAAATACTGGAAATTGTATAAAAGATTGTAGTTTTTTTTTTAAGTCAGCCATTTTGTAGTTTTGGCAATATACATGGAACACTCTGGGTGGTGGAGCTAACAGACACACTAACTTTGTGCCTTACTATTAAGTGGAATCTATTTCTTGGTGGAATTTGAGCACAGAGCTCGCCAGAATACCCTACTTATATACTAAAGGGTACAATGGGCCAGAAAACTGGAAGATTAAAGCGTGATAAAGGGCATACCAGCCAAGAATATTGGGGTGCTTCTCCAGAGCTCCTATTGGAGCGCATGGGACAATATGGTGCTGCATGATGAAGGTTCTTCCTTCTCTTCAGATGATAACTCCTTTTGACATGGGAAAGGGGGCCTCATTTGGCTTGATGCCAGGGACTAAACCCAATGCATCAAATAGAACAAGTAACCAATCCCCGAGGCCCTGATGGAATATATAGTGGCTGAGCTCCACACAAGTATCTCAGCGCACATAGCCCACTTTATGGATGCCATAGAGGGAGTCACCTCGAGGATAATGCTGATAGAGGCCTTTACTAGCACTCATGACTCCAGGTTGTCTTCAGTGGAATCGAAACTTGAAGAACTCCAGCAACACAAACTTGGTGCCTCTCTGAGGTTGGGTTTTTTGGAGGATTAGAGGAGACACTACAATTTAAAGATCAGTTATACTGGAGACTCTGAGCCTTATGGGCCTACCAAACTTAATTAGGTGACTTTTTTGGCTTTATTATTTCCCAAACAAGCCAAACTTATAAACCTGGAAGGCATGTTTCGCTTACCAAAAGCAGCTTACTGCAACTTTAGACCTCATTGTCCCATCAAATTGCTTCAGAATATGATAGACAGAAATTGGTATAATAAGGAAGGAATTCAGAATAAGGCCCACCTCCTTGCAGTGGCGAGGGAGAAAACGCCAATCCACATCAAAGGCTCTACACTGCTTATATTCCTGGGCCTAACAAAGAACTCTTTCTTGGCGTAGATCCCAGAGACCACCTTTGCAGGACCTATGAACCAGTGTAATTTATTACAGATTGGGGATAGAGTGCTCTTAATTACTCACCAAGGACATACCTACAGAGTGCGGAGGTATCAACCGTTGCATACACATTGGGCTTCCATGAGTCATCGGAAATGGCAGGCGTGTCCCACTTGAATCCTTCTAAAATCTCAGTGTTCACATCCTGCTCATCCAACACCACCTTATCTGCCCAAACTGTTTCTACTTCTCAATGAAGAGGAAGAAGCCCGGGGAAGCGGGTGAAATGCGTCACAGAGGACGTCATTGAGAGGCAGACCAGGATTGTCACGTGACTGGAGAAGTGCCAATACCAGGAAGTGACTGCAGGCTGTTGGCGTCTTGTGTATTGTCTTATGCTTTGCTGAGTTGTGGGTTCATTGCTGGCAAACCCACCACCAAAGTTTTTAACCTTTTTATGTTCAATAAATTGTTTTCGATACTAATCAATTGGGGGTCCTTGCCTCTCTATTCCTCTTATACTGCACAGATATACTAGATATATATCTGATTGAAGGAATCTGATACCTGACCTTAAGCTGTGGGAAATATGGCTCACAAGTGGAGCTATTCAAACTAAGAGCCAGGGGTGATGGGGCTCTGGTACATGCAAGTTCTCTCCCAGACATGCTATTGTATCTCTATCTCCGTGTTATCAGATAGTCTGCACTATATATCTTATTATTACAGATTTTACATTAGACACTGTATTTACTGTACTTTTTAGTAGTAGTATTCACTAAAGTCACCTGTACAGCTACATTAAGATGTAGTTGTTCTGGTGTGTATAGCCTGTCCCTGCAGGCTTTTTAATGTAAACACTGCCTTTTCAGAGTGTTTACTTTCTGCCTAGTGACACCTCCAATGAGTTACTCAGACGGCCACTAGAAGTGCTTCCTGGGGCAGTGCTGCACAGTGCACAGCACTGACGTTCAGTGTCTCCACGCTCTGCATAGAGGTGCTGAACTTTCCTCATAGAGATGCATTGAATAAATGCATCTCTATGAGCAGATGCTAATTGACACAGCATTTAAGAGAGGGGCTGTTGGCCACCTAAATGGCACTTTTAAAACTATACTGTCAGGAATACATGTTTGTAATTCAAGCACTGTCACCACTATAGTGATTTAGTTGTTATGGTGCCATACGGTGGTGCAATCTTTAGTTCTTTGCTAGTGGCAAAACTTTACAAGTACTGTGTTTTTGTTTTTTTGTCTTGTCAATTACAGTACTGACATGTCTGGTTTTACAAGGTAAACAATTGCAAGACTGCAACTGCTTGTCCTAACTTGTAATTCTGAGCTTAGCCAGAGTGGCTATAATATATTCTATAATTAAAACTGGGTATGCAAGTAGAAAACCTTTCTCATTGTTGCCATCCGCTGGTCTGGTAGTCAGGATGTGTATACAACACCGTGAGTTGCAATCCTTTCCCTAGATCACATCTTGTTTACGAGAAACAAAATGACCAGTCATTTAATCTAAATACTTCTAAACCGTTTTGTTAAAGAGGATCTCTCCGCTAAACATATGCAGGGATGAGAAAGGGACAGATAATTTATTCTACTCTATTGCCCTGTGAAGGGGGACCTAATGCGCATGTGCGTCAAGCACATTATACCCTCCCCATAGGAAAGCAGTGAATCATTGTTTCCTATGGGTATTTCACTAATGCTGGATGTCTTCATGCAGAACGTGAGGACTTCCAGTGTCCTTTAAGGGACACAGTCTGGTAAACTCTAAGCTAGAGTATAGTACTGCAATGTAAAAGTTTCTCTGGAACTGCAATGTTTAAATTACGGGACGAAGATGGACAGTGCACCCAGACCACTTTAATGAGCTGAAATGGTCTGGGTGACTAGTGTCCCTATAAAAAAAAAAATGGTGGAGAGGGAACTGGGTTCCAGGCTACCGAAGTCACATGTGCCAGGTTTGCAACTAGCCCTTGGCAGAAAAGGCAAATATCTCTGTGCAGTGTTTCAAGCTGCACAAACACTCATATCATATTGTCGACTTCTAAAAGCAGAAATGGTCATGTTGCTTGGAGTAACCCTTTAAAGCAGGGGTGGGGAACCTTTGGCCCTCCAGATGTTTTGGACTACATCTCCCATAATGCTCTTACAGAAATAATGCTAGTAAAGCATCAAGTGAAAATAGTAAAATACAGCACGACTGTTTAAGAAATGTATGTTAACCACTTAACTTATCACACATGTGTCTAAGCATGAATTGTTTTATTTGCCTCCCCCCTCTCCAGTTTAAGGGCAAAAATCTTGTATCCTGTAGCCGAGCCGTTGCTGAAGCACAGTAACTCTGGTATTACAAATACAGGAATTTAAATCCATTTTTAATCCTATGAACTTTATTTGGCTGATACTTCTCTGATTAGAGTAATGCCTCATTTTCCTTTTATATTTCTCAGATTATATGTTCTAAAATGTTGTTTCTAATTCAGATCACTTTGCAATTTATCTAAACAGATGTTGCAATTCTGTTTGTGACAAGGAGTAACAGTTATGTTTTTGTTTTTTAACACTAGGTCTCAAAAAATCTTAAGGAAGCTTAACACTTAAAGTAGCACTGCCGACTGTTAGACCGCCTCTCGGGGTCCGATTGAGGGGGAGTGGGCAGATAAAGGTGTGATATACTTACTTGAATCTGTCACTCGTGGGCGAGGCCATCTTTTTCCAGTGGGTCCTTTTCAGCAGCGCCAGGAGCTAAAGCGGCACTGTCATGCCGAACTTCCCCCAATCGATTCCTCTTCTCTTCCTCTCTCAGGTTCTGTTCTTCATTTCTTCCTGTCTGCTCTAGTTTTCTTTAAAACTTGAGAAAAAGTAGGGAGGTTTCCTACGCAGATACCAGTGGAGGAGCAAAGTGTGCTTTGTTACTGGTGGTCACAGCAATTTTCCCACAATCCTTACCTTTCCTCCCTGTTCCCGCAATGCTACCTGTCACTTAAAAATGGACGCCGGCAACACTGCCGAATTGTGTTCTAACGGTTTCTCCATTTGTGTTTGAACGCAATTCGGGACTTTGTTCGTGTCGAAACTCCGATCCTATTCATTGCTGTGGCTGCATTTTGCAGCCACTTAGTAGATAACTACCTAATTCCCATGGTATTAGCGAGCTATCTACTGAGAGACCTAAATTGGCCAATGGCTGCTCACTAAAAAAAAAGCCCTAGTACCCTAAAGGATAATGGGGGGGGGGGAAACCTATTCCCCAGGCCCAAACCCCTAAATTACAATGGGGAACCTGTCCTCCCGGCACCCACCCCTTGAGCGGTGGGTGGGGCTATAAAGATAATGGGAGAGACCTACTGTCCTCACACACCCCTGGGCGGCGGGTGGGGGCCCTAAGACAAATTCCCACGCTGTGTAAAATGACAGAGCACTCTGGCTTAAATTGCCTGCAGGGCGGGGCGAGGCTTTATAAGCTTTCCCCAGCCCTGCAGAGCGCAGTCTTTTTGCGCTCGGGTTTTTTATTTTATTTTAAGTTCGGGTATGATGGTTTTTTATTTGGCATTTTTTGAAGCTGAAAAATTAAGATTTTAGGAAAAACGTCAAATGGTAAGTTTAATTTTTTCTTTACAGGTTAGTTTTTTTTATTCCCTTTTTTAGGGTGAGGGGAGTAGGTAGGGGTTAACTTTTTTATTTATTTTTTTTGGGGTGGGGGGGTGGGTGACTAGGGGCTTGGGGACCCCTAGTCACCTTTGATGGGGGTGAGGGGGAATTTGTCTTAGTGCCCCCAACCGCCGCCCAGCGGGGGACGACGACTGTAGGTGCCCCCCCACCCACCGCTCAGGGTTGGGGTGGCGGGGGGAGGACAGTAGGCCCTCCATTGTAATTTATGGCCCCTACCCACCGCGCAGGGCTGGGGGCTGGATAGTAGGGTTTCAGTGAGCAGCCACAGGCAGAAATACCCCTACTTGCGGTTATAGTGTGTAGGGGCATTCAGGAGAATTTAATCTCCCTTATGCTATTATGGGGGTCATATTGACGGCGCCCTGAATATAGATACATGGCGGCGCCCTAAATATAGATCAGGGCAGAAAATAAAGATTAAAAATAGGTAATATTTGGGGGTCAGTTAGATGTAGTGGAGTCTGGAGGGGGGTTTAAAAAACAAAAAACAAAACTGGATTCGACCATGACAGTGCCGCTTATTGTCACTGTTGTACTCTCATACGCACAACAGCAAAGACCCAAGATAGTGACTTAGACACTTTAGGGACCCATTATCAGGGCGGCCCATTGGATGAGCGAATTGTATCAAACAGTGTTTACATTGCTCTGATGTAAATGTAGAAGAGGAGTTAGCATTTCTGGCTCTAAAAGTGAAAACTTTGTAATTCTGGCTTTTGGGAGTTAAAGGGACACCAGTCACCAGAACTACTACAGATCATTGTATTTGTTCTGGTGTGTATAGTAAGGCCTTGCAGGCATTTTGTAGTAAATGCTATTTTCTCAGAGAAAATGCAGTGTTTACATTACAGTCTAGGGATACCTCCAGTGACCACTCCTCAGATGGCTACTGGAGGTGCTTCCTGAGGCAAACTGGAGTAAAGGTAAGATTTTGCAATATGTAGAGGGGCCAGGGGGGCTAGTTAGTGGTTTTAACACTATACGGTCAGGAATACATGTTTGTTCTTTAAGGCAAGGAAGGTGCTCAGTGGAACTAAAGCAAGAAGTCAAACTGTTCAAAATGTGTTGGCTTGTTACTATGGGGGAGCACAAATGTCAACAAACTGTGTGGGTTTGATGCCTATGGTATTACGTAAAAAAAGTGTTTAGATTTTATTGCGTTATCTTTATAGTTTACTCCAGTCTTGAAGGACCACTATAGTGCCAGGAAAACAAACTTGTTTTCCTGGCTCTATAGGGTCTTTGGGTCCCCCCTTCCCTCAGGGTACCACTCCCGGGCTGGTAGGGGTTAAATGCTTACCTTTCTCCAGCACCAGGCTCCCACCGACGCTGGGGACTCTCCTCCCTCTTCCGACGTCATCCGCCGCATGCGCGGCAAGAACCACGCACGCATTCAATCAGTCCATAGGAAAGCATTTCTCAATGCTTTCCTATGGACGTCAGCGTCTTCTCACTGTGAAAATCAGTGAGAAGCGCGGAAACGCCTCTAGCAGCTGTCAATGAGACAGCTACTAGAGACTGAATTAACCCTAATGTAACCATAGCAGTTTATCTGAAACTGCTTTTACAGGAGCAGGGTCAACCCTAGATGGACCTGGCACCCAGACCCCTTCATTGAGCTGAAGTGGTCTGGGTGCCTATAGTGGTCCTTTAAGCACACCATTAACAATTCCTAGGTAAAAATCACACTTTGATCACCATATCCACTATAGCTTATTGTGGTGATTATGGTGCCATGGTATCGTCTGTGCAGTCTTTTAGTTGCTTTCGTCGAATTGCAAAGTGACTGGAGTGTTTATGAAGCAGACGAGTGCCTCTTTTAAGTTATGACACTTTGTACCTGTACAAATAAAAAAACTTCCAGGCCTTTTGTAAATCGGTCTGTTGAATTTGAATGTTCTGGTCTTTTAGTCAATCATTCTATATCTTCTTTGTTACTGCAAATAACCCTTGCCTGCTGCTATATGTACAATTTCAGTTGGTCAATGCTAAATAAATGACATTTACTAACTGTAATCTACAACATTTTTTTGTTTTATTGTTGCCTTGTATGTATCTGTTTCTTTATGATATCATATTCCATCTGATCTGAGCTTCTTTTGCTATGATTTTATCTAATTTGTGTCATCTGTAAATACATATGACGTTCAGTGCTCTTTCCAAGATCATTAATAAATGGATTAAGCAAAAAATGGATCCAGGACATTTTCTTTGAATATATTCTGAAAGGGACACTCCACATCCCTAAAACAATTAATTTTGTTGAAGTGCTTTGTTTGAATAGTACTTTTGATTTTATCTTTATAAAAAAAGTGCAGATTTCAATAGAAATTGGCACTTTTTAAATAAATGGACCTTGCTACACCCCACTTGTATTACATTCAGTCCTGTTACTTCGTTGGTGTTTAGCTCAGTGGATCTAAATTCAAAAAGAAGGCAGCTGCCTAGAGCACCTGCCTTGCAAAGACTTCTTATTGAGCTGCATTGTCATGTCTGACGGGACAAACCACCTAATGAAATTGAGCTGTGTTTATGCAACTACCAACAATATATATAAATTTAATCTGACACATAAGGCTAGGTACATGGATGAAGTGGGTAGAAATGATTGCAACTGTGGAAACACGGTTTCAAAATTGTAGCAGAATCAACGATTTTATCATTCATTATAGATTAGAGAGACCATTTATTACACAAGCAACTACAGCTTAAAGGACCACTATAGTCACCCAGACCACTTCAGCTCAATAAAGTGGTCTGGGTGCCAGGTCCCTCAGGTTTTAACCCTTCAGATGCAAACATTGCAGTTTCAGAGAAACTGCTATGTTTACATTTGGGGTTAATCCAGCCTCTAGTAGCTTCCGGACAGCCACTAGAGGCGCATCTGCGACGCTGGATGCGAATAATCAGTCCCTGCAGTGTTTACATTACAGCCTAGAGAGGCCACTCATCAAATAGCCACTAGAGGTGCTTCTTGGGCCAGCAGTAACGTTCAGGTGCTTCTTGTGCAGCACTAACGTTCAGTGTCTCCGCTCTGCAAGGGGACTCTGAACTTTCCCAATAGAAAAGCATTGATTCTAGATGCTGATGACCAACATCCCTATTGCCCCGCCTCCTTAGCGGGGATCATCAGAATTTAGTCTTAGCCAGTCCAATGCTTTCTTATGGGAAAGCATTGTGTTTGGCTGAGAAGTCTGTCAGCCAAGAAGGTGGATCAGTGGTGGGGCCAGATGTGCAGAGCACCGTGCAGTGCTGGAAAAAGATGAGGAAATCTCCTTTCTAACCTGAGGTATGGGGGTCCGACCATCAAAACGGTGGTTTTATAACTATAGTGTCAGGAATACACGTTTGTGTTTCTGACACTATAGTGCCCCTTTAAGATTTATTTATAGTTACATGCTTTGCCAGACAAATATGGTGAAATAATCACATACAATGAAGTTTAAATTATTACTCAAAAACAAAAAGCACAATAAAGATTGTGCAAATAGCACATCCGAGTCCGCTGCTTTTCTCTGTCTTCCATTTTGGTTTATTCTCATTTATAAGGTTTCCAGTTAGACATGATTCACTTTATCTGTAGTGTGGCCATGACAGCATCCTATCCAAGGCCATAAGCATCTAGAAGTGACTTCATCATTGCTGCACATGCAAATATATTCCAGGTGTAACAGAACTCCACTTAAAGTAAGCAGCACCCAGAAGTGGAGCCTCTGCGACAGTCCATATTCCCGCCATCCAACATCACTTAACAACATGAACACTTTATGCAAATCTCGCATATTTTTAATATATAAATCTCTTAGCACGTTAACAACATCCCAATAAAAAAAATCAGTCTCCATGAAACATGGCAATCGGCCAATTTGTCTTGTATAAGATGTGCTAAATGAAAACTGGAGATATCGGGGCAGTTTTTTGTTAATATATACATACTTAAAAATACAGTATAATATTTAACATTATATTTCTCAATCTCTCTCTCCCCTCTGGTATATTTCCATTGCCCTTCAAACATGCAACTGTAACCCCAATTCTAAAGAAGTCCAATCTTGACCCTAACTCCCCATCCAACTATCGTCCGATCTCGCTACTGCCTTTTGCATCCAAGATCCTTGAAAAAAATTGTTTATGCGAGATTGACAGACTTCCTCGAGTCCAACTCTCTGCTAGACCCGCTTCAGTCTGGTTTCCGCGCTAAGCACTCTGTGGAAACGGCACTGACCAAAGTATCCAATGATCTACTCGCTGCAAAATCTCATGGTCACTACTCTATCCTAATTCTCCTTGACCTGTCTGCGGCTTTTGACACTGTGGATCATCAACAGTTTCTCCTCCTCCGCAATATCGGTCTACAAGATTACTCTCTCCTATTGCTCCTCCTACCCCTCCCAGCGCTCTTTCAGTGTTTTTCTCTGGCTCTGCTTCTTCTCTCCAACTCCTCTCTGGTGTCCCCCAAGGTTCAGTCCTTGGTCCCCTACTGTTCTCCATCTACACTGCCTTCCTTGGTAAACTCATTAGCTCCTTTGGCTTCCAATATAATTTCTATGCAGATGACACGCAAATCTACCTGTCCTCTCCTGATCTATCCCCGTCCCTCTTGACTAGTGTCTCTGACTGCCTCTCTGCTGTTTCTAACTGGATGGCTGCCCACTTCCTTAAACTATACTTGACCAAAACTGAAATTCTGGTCTTTCCTCCCTCAAGTGTTGTTACTCCTGTGTCTGTCTCCCTCCAAGTTAACGGTGCTACCATTAGCTCCACCATGCAGGTTTGCAGCCTAGGTGTTCTCTTTGACTCCGACCTCTCCTTCAAGCCTCATGTTCAATCTATCGCCAAATCCTGTCATTTCCATCTCAAAAACATTGCTCGCAACCGCCCCTGCTTAACGCCAGATGCGACTAAGGTGTTGGTCTATTCCACTGTCCTTTCTCGCCTTGACTACTGTAATCCGATTCTCCGTGGTCTTACGTGCTCCCAACTTGCGCCGTTACAGTCCTTAATGAATGCGGCGGCGAGGCTCATCTTCCTGTCCGCCCGCACCTCCCATGCCTCACCCTTCTGTCAGTCCCTACATTGGCTTCCTTTAAAATATAGAGCTCAATTTAAAATTCTGGTTCTTGCTTTCAAATCTCTACATAATGCTGCTCCCACCTATCTATCCTCCCTTATACACAAGTATGTCCCGTCTAGGCCCTTACGATCAGCTGAAGACTTACGTCTATCTTCTGTCCGTACTCCCACCTCTGATGCTCGCCTTCGAGATTTCTCGAGGGCTGCACCGTTCCTGTGGAACTCTTCCCTCCTCCGTTAGATGCTCACCCAGTCTCCACTCCTTCAAAAAAATCGTTAAAAACCCACTTCATAAAAGCGTATCAATTAAACTGTTAATAGCTCCTGACTGATTCCTCTTCTGCAACTGTCACTAGTCTTATACTATTCTTACCTTTTTGTGTCATTTTACTTCCTCTAGTATGTAAGCTCATTGAGCAGTGCCCTCAACCCCTCTGTTCCTGTGTGTCCAACTTGTCTGGTTACAACTACATGTCTGTTCGTCCACCCATTGTAAAGCGCTGCGAAATTTGACGCCGCTATATAAATATCATAATAACATCCAGTGATTGAGTAAATACCCACTATTAGGAAGCAAACCCCAACGGAGGAGTAGAGCATGTTAAGGCGTTATTCTGATTTTAATTGTATATATTAAATAGTAGTAACACGCACAATTCATTGCATACAGATTTATTTTTAAATACACTTCTATTTAAATAAACTTAATGTCCACTATTGGTAAAACTTCATAAATAAAGTAATGTATCATTCTAAAACTGTATTTATAATTTAAATATTGAAGATATAAATGACACCAATAATTACTTGCATTAAGAAAACAAATTGCTTAAACAAAAAATAATTATATGATGGAAAGAAGCTGTGAATAAAAAAAGATCTGTTTAAATATTAATCAAAACAAAAAGGTTTTTGTTTGTAAGTGGCTATACGCATGTTTAATTATGTGGTTATTAAAAAATGCTACACTATCATTATTATTGGCATTTATATAACGCTAAATTATTCCACAGTTCTTTTCAATATTATAAAGGGGGGAAAAAATCAACAATAAATAAGACCATTACAAATTGTTACAGGAACAGTAGGTGGATGAGGACCCTGCTCAAATGAGCTTACAATCTAGAGGATCATTTTAAATATTCTCATATGCTTGTGGAAATTTTCGAAACGACTGAGAACCATAAAACTTGGTATATTAACCATCTTTCACCTATTCACCTTTTATTTTCTTTTAAATCCACTTAGCACTTTGATATTACAATTGCTTCAATATCACTTTATATAGAAGTGTGCATTTAATATTTTCACTTTGTATCTTAGAAATCATTTAGTATTTCACACGTTATTGGGGATGGTTAAAGGCAACCTAGTCTTATCAGGCTGCAGTGCTGCTTGCATTTTTATCAAACTTATAGGAAAACTTGTATTCCTGACCCGATAGTCTTTAAAAAAAAAAATAAAAAAAAAAAAATGAAATAATCTCCTCTCCCCCATGCCCCTAAGTATAGTAAAAGCTTACTTTTACTTTACTACAACTACTACAGCATTGGATTGGCTGAGATTGTCAAGGAGGCAGATCAGGAGCAGAGCCAGCACAAGCCAAACACAGATGAATTGAAAGTTCAGTATCTCCATGCAGAGGGTGGAGACCCTGAATGTCAGTCACACTGTGCAGCACTGACTCAGGAAGCTCCTCTAGCAGCAATCTAAGGAGTGGCCAGTGGAGTTATCACTAAGTTGTAATGTAAACACTGCATTTTCGCTGTAAAAAAAATGTTTATTTCAAAAAGCCTGAAGGAAATAATTCTACTCAGAACAAATACAATTATCTGTAGTCGTTCTGGTCACTATAGTGTCCCTGGAGGGGCTTCCTTTAATTGGCGGTTGATAAAGTTTTAAGATGTTGGATTGCCGTACTCCACCCCAGATTTGTACTTCTCCCTATACAGTACGGAGATAAGCATTCAATACAGAGACCTGAGCATAATACGCCTACTAAAACAAGCTCGGCACACCATGAAGATATTTAGAAAATAGCCAAGTGCAATACAGAGATAACCATACTGCAAAGAGCTGAGGAAAAATAGAGATCTAATACACAGAGCTAGGGACAATGCAAAGATTCCTATACAATACACAGGGCTTGATAGCTTAGAGAAACCCATACAACAGAGTAAAATACAGAGAAATAACAGAGCTGGGCACAATAAGGAAATACTCATAACTATCCCACACAGCTTGGATCACTGTAACGGATTGCACAGAGCTGCAATACAGAGATCGCCACTCTGTACATGTCTTTGTATAATGCTTCAGCTATCTTTCTCTATCTTGCTCATTCTCTTTTCCTCTCATGATCTCATCTTCAGTAGTGCTCCTGCTATAATATTAATTATTGCTGCTGTTATGAAACATGTTGGTTACACCATTATCTCTCCGCACACAGAGCACATCTTTAAAACCAGGGTTATCCAAATCCCAGGTCGCCATAGCGACTAGGATTTTAGTCCTGGCGCCTGGGTTTTGTTAGCCCGTTCCCTTGGATGTGGCCGGCTAGGTGAAAATGGAGGCGAGCCGGCAGTCTCTGCTGTAATGTTACGGAGTACTTAAAAGAAGGTGGTGTGTATGTTTCGTAGGAGTTATTAAAATTTATAGGGGAAAGAAAAATATATTACACTCTGACCTTTGGCAGGGGCCAGGAGTTGCTGTTGTGCTCTCTCTGTGTTACTTCCAAAATGGCTTCTTGCTTTTTTGTCCTGTAATCACTGTAAACCCACCCCTGGTGCTATGAGCCAATTATAGCCCTTTGATTGAGAGGCCTATAGCAGGCCTCCAATTATAGGCAGCTGGCCCTACTGCCTGATTGGCAATTCGTTGGAAATTCCTGACATTCATCTTTAAGTGAGATGAGTCATGTGCAAAACCTGCTGAAACAGGGCAGGTTTCAAACCTGCCCCATTTTGGCATGCCTTGATGCTCTCAATGAGGGTGGAGGAACCCTGCAAAACTGAAACATATGATTGAATTAAAGCGACACTAATTCTAAACCATATTTTTGGCTTGCCTCTCTCCCCTCCAGTAAACAAATGTTAGTGTTTCTAAACTACCGCAAATAAATGTGTTCCCTGCCTAAAAACTGGTGGGGTGCAGCCTAAGTGCCCCTCTGGGCGATCCTGCACTGCTCCTCTGTAAGTGAAGATTGTTTTGTAGGTTTGTTTTTTTGTCGTCCCCCTTTTCTCTTTTCTTGTACAATGTGAGACATGGAACTAGTGCGGATGCTTTGGTTTTTCAAAATCCTGCATTCACTGGCTTATTCTGTTTGTGTAGCTATTAAACTGAAAATGCGGTTTCCTTCAGATCATGAGATGTCTCATTTCTAATAAAATCCAGACCACTCCATGGATTTAACAGTAGCCATAGTTGCAGCTATTGTTTCTTGGTCTGATTCAAAACAGGTCATTGTTCACGTAGTCGCCAGGAAGGACTTCTGAACTGGAATGCTTGTGGTGAAATGTGCCTTTTTTAGAACTGTTCAAATTTCAGTTTGTCAGCAAGCTGTAAAGATATTCTCGATGTATAAACACATACTCGTGGTCCTCAAAACTCCTTGCTATTTAAAGGGCTAATGTAGCAAAGCAGTGTAAACTACTCCAAACAGAGTGCATAGCATATCAAACCAGATGCTTAAAGTTGGGCAAGACAGAAGTTTACCATTAGAGCTATTGGGCCAGGAACAGCAGTGTGGAGTCCAGATTCAGCATTTTTAAGTTTTTTTTTTTTTTTTTTTTTTTAAATCCGTTTTTGTTTACTTTGGTTGGGCTGCCATTTCTAAATGCAGACTTCTCAATCATTCATAAGAATGACCGTTCCTCTACCTCCTGGTGCCAACTTGCTATCCGTTATTTCAGCACAAATACTAATAATGTTCTCGGTGTCAGCCAAGCCTCTTTACATGTAATCAGGTGCAGCTGTGCATTCAGCTTTGTCCTTTTTATACTTGAACATTTTTCATTCATAGACATTATATGCGAACTTGTGCCTGCACATACTTTTCTCTCCAATTCTGTCAGTATGGGGTCACCCGAACACCCAGAGAATTAGGAAACCCTAGTAAGCAGCATGGAAGAGAGATTATGTATACCCGACCTTAGAGTGGCCAGACGTATAGTGTGCCAAATATAATAGTGTTGGATAGTAAGCCAAGGTCAGGGATTCCAGAAGTACTCATAAACGAAACAACAAGCCGGGGAAGGGACACCAGAAACCCAGAATAGTGAAAACTAAGCTGGCTAAGAAACTCAGAAAGCACTCTCTGGTAACAGAAACCACAACATGGTAATTACTCCGAGGAGTGAAATATATATATACAGGGAAAACCATGTTATTGAGCTCCATCTTTCCCCTGTGCCAAATCCCACAGATATGACCCTATATATATATTATCCACAAAAATACAGTTTTGTAGGGTCCTGTAACTTTCAGGACGCCTGAACTATGCGCAGGGTTGCAATAGACTAGTATTCAGAGCCAGAGAATGTCACGGTCTCAGTTGGAGGCAGTAGATCATTCTGCATTCAGCAGGAGAGGAGCAGTATGGGACCTCTGAACATTCAAGTGGCTGCTGCGCCACTTGAACTGGAGTCTGCAAATGATGCGCAGCATCCGGAGGTATGACAAATTCACAAAATTATTAAAGGTTCTCCTAAACTCGGGCCTAACATACCTGCATAGCTTAAAGGTTACTCTACCATAAACATAACCTTTGTGGGTTTTTTTTCCTTCCCTGCGTCCTGGAATGTGTGTGAAAAGTTGTATAAGTATGTAGTGGATACTGCAGATGTTTTCATCATGTATAGCTTACTTGTGGCTCTTGTTGTAGTAAAGCAATTTAAGGTATCACCCATCTTTACAGTGAGTCCATCTGACAAGCAGGTCTTGGCAAACCACAGCCCTTTGTGGCTTCACATTGCTGGCTGCAACTCTGGTCTTGAGGCTTCCAGCTTCCCTGGGGGTAAAATTAAACACAACTCTCCAGTATTCACTTTACATTTGTCTGTGAAAAGACAATGTAATATTTTGAGTCCTACTATGCTCCATTACAGCTATACATAAATGCAAGTTTGTACATTTGAACTTCTCTTCCTCTTCTCCCCCCCCCCCCCCTTGGAAAGAGTCAGTACCACACCTGCTTGGATGTGTTAGTAGCTTGGGAAACTCATGTATGCCACCTAGGTCACAAAACACCACTGCGATGTGAATAAAATAAAACTAACAGCGGTGTTCAGTAAAGGGAGAAATGTCAGGAATTTGAAGCAATTTCAAAGTGAATTTCAAACTTTAAGACAAAGACTTCTAGTTTAGTTGTGTTGGCCTTAAATTTGAAATTCATGTTAAATTCGTGACAATTCTGACTTTAGTAGATAATTGTAAGTCTAGTACAGCAGAGCACTAGATTCTAACCAAGAAAGTCACCACAGCAAACTACTTATAAATATTTATGGTTGGCTTATGGTGCCATTTATGATTCTCAGAGAATTGTACGCAAGAAAGAAAAAGCAAAACAACGTTTTAATGGTACACATGAGCTGTGTAAAGTATAAGAACAATTTTTGTTCAGATAGTAAATATGTCAAGCAGTGGCGTACATGCAGGGTCGCGGCTGCAACCGGGCCCTGCCCACCAGGGGGCCCGGCCGCCCTGCACTCTCCCCCGAGCGCTAATAGGTCATATATGCACAAATACAACGATACAAAGCAATTACAGTAAAAATAACACAAGCAGAATACGGCAGCATACACTCCTCAATTTAAAAAAAAAATAGGATCGGGACATCACTATCCTAAATGGACACAGTGCTACTAAAAGGTTGCCTACCCCTGCACTAGAGGCTGGATTAACCCTCAGTGAAACATAGCAGTTTTCGCACCGGGCCCCATGTGTTGTGTGTACGCCACTGATGTCAAGTGATATTGCCTACTAATATCACTTGACATCACCTATAAGTCACTTAGATTCTCACTGTTCTATTATAGAACAGTGAGAATCTAAGTGACTTATAGGTAGCAACCTATGTCAGTCATCACTGCTTGTCAAGTGTGTTTTTTTAAAATAGATTTTCAAGCACAATTTCCATTTTATTCTGGTATGGCTTTGAATAGGCCGACAGTAGCCGTGGTTACTTACTCAGCAATTTCACTCACTTATCCTATGTGACATAAGGCATTTTGGCTGTGGGCTGAACTACATATAACTCTAGTAGATTTATGCTAGAACTAAATGGAAAAATGATTTTATTTCTCAGTTTGCCTATCCACAGAAAACTCTAAAAACACGTAAAGCGGGTCAAGCAGGCCAACATACTTTATTATTCCATAAATTTGGCACTGTTCCAAGTTGGAAATCTTAGTTTGTTTGTTTTTCTCAGTAACCTCAAAATAATCTTTGTTGTGCAGATTTTTTCTCTACTTAATACAGCATATATGGCTGTACATTCCACATTTGGAAGCATGGTGTCAAAAAGTGATCAGAATGCCATCACAGTGGAACATGGTTCATCTAGTATAGTGGTTATCTATAATTGTTTTGTGCAGTTTTAGTAAGTGTTGAAAGCTGGAAAGCCATGCAATCTTTTTAGGACCGGTCAACAGGCGTAGGCATAACATAGTATCAAATCAGATTTTTGGGGCTACAAATTAGGACCAGTTCCTGTTCTCTTGGGTACCCCCTTTCCTTGTTGGGCAGACTCTGATAAAGGGATTTATCCATGAGTTACTGACATTGGATAACTATGTATGGACCATACAGACTAGTTATCGATCAGGGTGACATTATTAGGAATTTGTCGTCTTTTCTTTTTCTATACTAGGTGCTCTCGAAGGCACCTTTCCAACTATTTTTTATGTTTGTCTTTCATAGACCGCTTTATTCACTAATTACTTTGGTTTCTTTACTGAGGTGACCCGCAAATAATTGCTGGTTACACTCAATTGATTATCGGAGACCGGTGAACGGATTGGATGTGTATAGACAGGTTCTGTAATTGCTACTATTTATACTAGGCATACTTTTTGGCAGCAGCACTCCCACAGGCTGCAGTTATTTGTTCCGAGGTAGTTACTTCTTTGACATAGTGATACAATACTGTATCGGATCTGTTTGATACATTTATAGCAACTTATCCTGACATGTTTAACTTAGTGGGAATCCTATTCATTTAGATGAGTTTGTGGGATTTTTCATTTTTCCCTTGGATCTTTACCTCGGCTTAGTCTTGCTTTTAAGTTTTTTTGATATAATTTATCACCTTTCATTGTGTTTTTGACTGCTGCAATAGACTACTTGATTAAGTCAGGCAGTCATAGCTAGGGTGCATGTGTTTTTTGTTTAATAAAGTATCTTGATATTTGTTTTTCTATTATATGTTATACTCAATAGTGTTGGAACAGATTTCCGCCTCTTTTTTTAATCTGTTTAGGGTTACCCCCTTATCTGTTCCTATTGATACAGGGACATTGATCTCCTGGCCATTTCTTCAATTTATCTACAAATTAGGACCATGTTGGACACTTCATTTGCTGACAAAGCAATGTGTTGATGAAATGTAATGGGAAGGAGGAAAAACAGTGAGGTTATATTTGAAGACTGATGATATTGAACTTGTTCCTGTGCTGCATTTGCGCTTTGTTCATATTGTGTTTTTTTTTGTAAAAACAAATTTTATTTTTTTTCTATTTATTACTATTGAGTGCAGCTTTTCTCTCTTGCTTCATATATATATGTGTGTGTGTGTGTGTGTGTGTGTGTGTGTGTGTGTATGTGTATATATATATATATATTAATTAATATATTCCTTTAATCCATTTGGGATGTTGTGCATGTGACATATGTCCTATTGATGCCGTTCAGTGAGCCGGTTAGTATGGTGCTAATTTACCTCTCATGCTCCACCTCAGATTTATTAAACTTGAAATCAAATATGTAATCGAATCCATAAAATTGCTGGACAGTATTGGATGGGGACAAAAAAACAAACAAACCCTTACACCAAAATAAAATGTGACGCTCCTAATCGTTCTGAAATAGGCTGTCTACTGCATGCTGAGTGGATTTCCTTTGCCTCATGTTGATAATTTGGGTGTTTCCAGTATATTGGACTGGAGGGCCCACGGAGGTGATTAATGAAAGTGTTTTAGAGCGGCATATAGCATTTATGTGTGATTTAAATACCACAAGAGGATGATTTATATGTTCTGGCCGGAATGCTGTCTTTAAATTTCTATTCATTATGGCAGCATCACGAAGAATATTCCAGGAAGTATGGGTAAGTCTCTTCACCCCCCCACTTTTTATTTTTTTTTATTTACACTAAAAAAACGAAAGTTTGAACGACCAGTGTGATCCAAATATTGTGCTCACTTATGGATTGTCTACAAACTCTGCCAATATAGTCTGAATAGAAGCATATTTTTTTCAAAGTGAAAATCACATGATTCAGTCTACCAAAAAAACAAACTCTGAAAGTCCCTACTTACTGCAGATCACTGAACTGTTCTCCTCCTCCACAGTGTAATTCGGATTATGGATGTAAACTCATTCATCACACTTCCATAGTTTAAGGGCTTAAGTTGCCTTGATGTGTTTGTATGTAAGAGCACTTTTTGCTCGGCAATCTCAACAAACGTCTGTCGCTCTGATGTGGGGGTGGTGCTGCTACCTGTCCATGGAAAAACTTGTAAGGCCCCCTTTTTCAAAGTAGTCAGAACTGAATTTCTTCTATAATTTGCCTATTTTGTCTGTATAATAAGGTTTAAAGCTGGCTGTTTGATTTCTCAGTGGATTTACAGCGCTATGGAATTTGCTGGCGCTATTAAAATAATACAGCACCCGCTGCAGTATTCCTGAGTCACACATTAGATTCCTGACAAGGTCATCTCCACTTTTCATCCTACTGTGGTCAATCAAATGTCATTTCTTGGAAAGTAGTGAAAAAGAAATGTTAAAATTCCTGGATATATAATTTTAAAGGAAAACTTTAGTATTGGAAATGTAAAGATATATTCCTTACATTAAAGGGTCCCTCAGCCTCCTCCCTCCCAAAAAAAAATGGCAAAGTAATGACTTACCTGACTTCAGCGTTGAAGTCCCTCTTTGCTGTGTCGGTCTATGCCAGCAGCCAATAGGGCGGGGGTTCTAAAGCACAAGCCACGTGCATCTGGCCTTCACCATAGAGAAAGTATTGACTCAATGCTTTCCTATGGGGGCTTAGACGCTGGAGCCAAACTCTGTGAAAGGCCAGGAAGCACCTCTAGTGGCTTTCTGAGCGAGACCTAGGAGGCTGCCTTAACCCTACAAACCCTACGCCCGGCTGGATGGAGAGGTAGGGGTTAAACTTAACTCTTTTTTTCCAGCGCCGGGCAGGGAGCTCTCCTCCCCCTCTCCTCCTCTTCGGCCGAATGCGCATGCATGGCAGGAGACGTGCGCGCATTCAGCCAGTCCATAGGAAAACATTCACAATGCTTTCCTGTGGAGGCTGGTGTCTGCTCACTGTGATTTTCACAGTGAGAAACGCGGAAGCCCACTAGAGGCTGGATTAACCCGAACATAAACATAGCAGTTTCTCTGAAACTGCTATGTTTATAGAAAAAAGGGTTAACCCTAGATGGACCAGGCACCCAGACAACCTCATTAAGCTGAAGTGGTCTGGGTGCCTATAGTGGTCCTTTAATGTTACTTTAATTTTTAGGATAGCAATATTTTTAAGTTGTCAATGTTCTTCAAAAAACACAAAGCAATTTAGATTTTTACTTTTTACGTAAATATGAAGCATAATGAAATCTGTTTTTTCACTGGTCATTCTTGCCTGGAAAGGAAATGAGTCCGTTCTTAACCAAACGATACACTTGAATTAGCAGTTCTTAGATACAGATGGAATGTGTGGTTTGCACAATGCATGTTGTGAAATGAGCTTTTGTGTCCATCACCCTAAGACAGTGTTTCTTTCTTTTATTCAAAAGGAAGTGTGTTGGCGTGTTTATCCACGACTAATTGTGATGTCAAACAGTGTAAGAGAATGGGGGGAAACTGATAGCTTGCGCTATGGGAAGCTCCCACTATCACTTGTCTCATTTCTGCTCTCTTGAATCCCTTTTCTCAGAGAGTAGTAGACTGGAATTGGTTCTGAATTGGCCTTTTATGATCTGACCAAAGTTGTATTTGCTTTACACGTGCTTCTGACCGTTGTTTGTGGCTGATAACACTAGTTACAATGGCAAATGGGTGCACTTTTTGGCTTACCCTCTGGAGAACCCCAGAATTATGTAAATGAGCATAGGAAATGTTTGAGGTCATGTAAAGACCAAAAGTTACATTGATTTCCTTAGGGATAATTCCTACTCTGGAACATCTCACATTGTAATGGGCTTGCAGTCACATAATCTACCCTCGTTGCTACCTCTCTGCACTTTTATAGAAACGGTTTGTGAAGTTTGTTGTAAGCGGTTTCTAAAAAAATTAAAAAAAAAAAAAAAAAAATTTTTTATTAGAAATAACAAGAACTGATGGAATAGAAAGGGAAAAATTTGACCTTTAGTGGTATGTGTGCTCTTTGTCACTGTGTATAACCTCTACTTCCTCATTCCAGGTTGCTATTACCAAACGTGTAGTTAATTTTTTTTTTTTTTTCTTTTTTATTTTTTTTTTTATATTAAGAAAAATACATACCCAAGCCAATTGTGCAATCTCATGTGGAAATTGAAAAAATTGCCAGTTACTCCATTACTTCTGCAATTAAATCTGTCGTTTGTTGCACTGTGATCTGGAAACCTTTTATTTATTTTTTTTTAAACTAAAACCTCTATGTTGCTGGAAGTTTTGAGAGTTAAAGGGGTATCACCACATATTATTTTTGCTGCATCATATGCAGTAACACAGCCGAGCATGTTTTCAGTAAATCAGTCCGAACTCAGTCCAGGTAATGACTGGAATGCTCCCCCTCTATATAAGGTGCAGCTGCCGCTGCCATCCCCATGAAACTCAGATGGACTTAGAACATAGGTTGTTGTTTCAGAGTTCAGCCATGCGGTGTCCTACTCGATCAGTAAGGTCCTGCTCCACAATCTGACTAGTTTAACTTAAAGGAACACTATAGAGTCAGGAAAACAAACCTGTATTCTAAGGATCGACCTATTATCGGCTGATATTCTGTATTTTTAGCAATATCTGTATCTGTTTATAAAGATACCCATAATGCAGACCAGGGCCGCCATCAGAGTCCTGAGATGCCCAGCACACTTACTTACCTTCCCAGCAGCTCCTTCAGCTCCCCAGTCTAAGTCTCGCAGCTGTCGCCATGTGTTACCATGACAACACTCCGCGCGGCATGCAGGCCGCGAGAGTTAGACAGGGGAGCTGAAGGAGCTGCTGGGAAGGTAAGTAAGCGTGTGCTGAGCCCCCTCTGCATAGTCCATGCCTCCAGACCACCAGGGAATGCCATATCCCCCCTCCCTGGCCAGGTAAGAAGGGAGGCGGGACTAAAACATTTTCTAAAATTAAAGTTACAAAAATAAAAATTCCCCCCTCGAAGACAAAAATTATGAGCAATACTGAGGAAGATGGAAGGAGCTGCTCATTTTGTCAATTTGCCGTAGACATTTTAAATGGCTGTGGGACAGACCGAGGTAATGCTTTCTGCATCAAAAATCAAACTAAAATTGTGTAAATCATTCCAAGCAAATTCTGTTGGTGAAGTAATAATTTGGAAGCCAAACCTATTCATGGGCAAAAGTATTATTTTTTTTTATTTTTTTTTTTATTTTTTTTTACACAAACCAAAATGATTTCTACATAGGCAAATTTAAAAGTAAAGAAGACAAGACACAATAAATACAAGTTAGGAGCCAGTGTGTTTAAGTGCCAAGGCTCTCTGAATTCCTGTGCCTGTCATGGTTCTGAACAAAATATCCTCAGGCCCCCCCCAAAAAACATCCAGCATCATGGAAGCGCCTCTAGCGGCCCATCACGAACACAGCCACTAGGGGCTGGATCAACCCTGCAAACCATTTGAAGGGTTAAAACCTGGGGGCCTAGCACCCAGACCACTTCATTGAGCTAAAGTGGTCTGGGTGACCATAGTGTCCCTTTAAGGAGGTTTGCAACTCCTGCTAACTAAAAAGAATGGCTAACTATAAATATGAAGAACAATTAAAAAAAAAAAAATAAATAAAAAAAAAAGTTAGAAAAGAATTTCTTAGAAAATAGTGTTTACAGCAAAAAGCCAGAAGGGAATGATTATACTCACCAGAACAAATGCAATAAGCTGTAGTTATTCTGGTGACTATAGTGTCCCTTTAAATTTTACTGTTTTGTCTTCAAACTTTGGCTGTAGTAAGCTTCATTCTGTTACCATGAACGTTATCACTTTTATATTTTGCTTTACTTTTACATTCACGGTATTACCCTCTCTCTTCCCTTCAGGCACTGCCGTCTTCTCTAATCATTGTTGCCGTGTATTGCCCCGTTGTAGCAGCTGTCTTCATAGTATTGAAGCTGGTGAACTACCGCTTACACAGGGCTCTGGACGAAGGAGAAATTGTGGAGAGGAGCGCCAGTGAGTTGACGGAGAGAGTGGCGAAGGCAGAACGTAGTGATAGCTCTGCTAGAAGAGAGGACAGCAACGGACCTGGGTAAGCACCCGGAGAGAGATTTGGAAGTGGTACATTTAGAATATCTAAACAGCATATTTTGTCCAATGCCACGGTCCTTATAATTCCCATTTGCTGAATGGTGTAAGGTGAACTGCCGAATTGCGTTCTAACTGAATGAGAACAGTATGTTCGTTTCTTTTAGAACGCAATTCGGCATTTTATTCGGATGGCAATTTCATTCGAATTAATGAAACTCCGATCCTATTCTTGCTGTGGCTGCATCTTTAAGGCCGCTTAGTAGATAACTCCCTAATTCCCACGGTATCAGGGAGTTAGCTACTAAAAGGCTGAAAGACCTAAACTGGTCTTTCAGCCAACTTTACGAATACCAAGTAAAAATGACTTAGTATTAGTAAATAATATGCCCCTACTCGCTATATCGCGAGTAGGGGCATGTCTGGTAAGCTGTGGGCGGGTGGGGGCCAAATGATAATGAGGGAGGTGGACCTACTGTCCACCCCCCCCTCTGGCCTCCACCCCTGAGCGGCGGGTGGGGGCCATAAAGATAAAGCGGGGGGGAGCCTACTGTCCTCCCTCCCCACTGGCCCCCACCCCTGGGCGGCGGGTGGGGGCCATAAAGATAATGGGGGGGGGGCCTACTGTCCTCCACCCACCCCTGGGCGGCGGGTGGGGGCCCTAAGTCAATTTCCCCCCCTCCCCCAAGCCCCTAGTCACCCACCCAAATAAAAAGTCCCTACCTACCCCCCTCACCCTAAAAAATAGTGAGGGGGGAATAAAATAACTAACCTGTAAAATAAAATTAAACTTACGATTCAACGTCTTTTTTCTCAAATCTTCATTTTTCAGCCCCAAAAAAGGCCAAATAAAAAACCATCATAACCGTCGAATTGAAAATAAAATAAAAATCCCGAGTGCAAAAAAAAAAAACAGACAAAAAAGAAAAAACCTGAGCGCAAAAAAATAATCAATCTTCACCCATGGAGGGCTCTGCGCAGATTGAGCTCCGCAGGGTGGGGGAAAGCTTATAAAACCTTGCCCTGCCCTGCACTTAGGCTAAGAACACTCTGATTGGTGGGTTTAAGCCAATCAGAGTGCTCTTTGTCATTTTACACAGCGTGGGAAAATTCAAAAGAACTTTCCCACGCTGTGTAAAATGACAAAGAGCACTGTGATTGGATGGATTTCAAGCCATCCAATCACAGTGCTCTGTCATTTTACACAGCGTGGGAAAGTTCTTTTGAATTTTCCCACGCTGTGTAAAATGACAAAGAGCACTCTGATTGGCTTAAACCCACCAATCGGAGTGTTCTTAGCCTAATTGCAGGGCGGGCAAGGCTTTATAAACCTTGCCCCGCCCTGCGGAGCTCAGTCTGCGCGGAACCCTCCATGGGTGAAGATGGATTAACTTTTTGCGCTCTGTTTTTTTTTTTGTTTTTTTTTTGCACTCGGGATTATTTTATTTTCAATTTGACGGTTATGTTGGTTTTTTATTTGGCCTTTTTTGGGGCTGAAAAATGAAGATTTGAGAAAAAAGACGACATTGAATGGTAAGTTTAATTTTAATTTACAGGTTAGTTATTTTATTCCCCCCTCACTATTTTTTAGGGTGAGGGGGGTAGGTAGGAACTTTTTATTTGGGTGGGGGGGTGGGTGACTAGGGGCTTGGGGACCCCTAGTCACCTTGGTGGGGGGGAGGGGGGGTATAATTGAATTAGGGCCCCCGCCCAGGGGTGGGGGCTGGGGGGGAGGACAGTAGGTGTATGTGTGTCACCCCATTATAATTTGGCCCCCACCCGCCGCCCAGGGGTGGGGGGGCAGTAGGTTTTTTTTTTGGCTGCTCACTGTTTAGTGGACATGCCCCTACTCGCGGTATAGCGAGTAGGGGCATTGGGGAGATTTTAATCTCCCTTGTGCTATTATGGGTGTCATATTGACCCCCATAGAGTGAGGGGGGACCTGAGAGGGGGGGAGGGCTTATGAAGTGGTGGGGAGCACTGCTCCCTGCTGCTACTATCTTTACATATTACAAGGAGGGATCTGTGCGCTGGTAGCTCCCTCCTTGTAATAAACTGCACGAACAAACGAACACTGATACATAGTGTTTGTTTGTTCGGCTGATATTTCTATTCACTCATTCGTCTGTCTGATGAATGAATGAATAGATGAAATTCCCGTTTGCATGTCCAGGTGTTTCACTGGGCATGTGCGGGAATCTCAGTCTATCTAGTGTGGGTTGATGACGTGTCCCACAGGGACTTCATCTACCCACACAAAGATGGCGGCGCCCTGAATACAGATCGGGGCAGAAAATAGAGATTAAAAAATAGGTAATGTGGGGGGCTTAGGGGCATTTGGGGGTGACTAGGGTGTTAGTTAGATGTAGTGGAGGCTGGAGGGGGGTTAAAAAAATAAAACAGGATTCGGCATGACAGTGCCGCTTTAAGTGAATCCTACATCAGTGGAAACAGATGCTCTGGCACACCACAGTTGCCTTGATCTGGGGCCAGAACAGACCCTTTAATGACTATTAAAAGATGATACAGTTGAAATATGATCTCTTAAAGAATTCCTTAGGCTACACAGACTGTACCTCAATGTTAAATTTTAATACAGTAATTTTTCAGTGTGTACGCACTAATTCCCTCTACATCTAACCCAAGATTCAAGTAACCCTCATAGTAATATTTCACTATGGCCTCCACTAGATTCATTTGAGACCACTCTGGGACAAATTCTGTTCACATACCCTACCTTTGCTGAGGTACGAAAATGTGTGGACTGTTGAGCAGAAGGTTTACATTTTTGCAAGTGTAAGGCTGTTGACTGACGTAAGGTTTATACTTGGTAATATTGACATTTTAATTACATAATTTAGCTATGTCTAAGTAAAATACATGTATAAGTTTCCCCACAGGAACATTATATGCTGGCGAAAATGTTATTTGTGGTTTGAGCTTTACATTTAACACATTCAATAAAAAAAAAAAAGAAATGTGGAGATAACTTTTGAAAAAACAGCTTAATGAAATTATCAAAATTAATTGGGGAAAAAACTGTTGCCGCTAGTGCAGCCCCTTAACTCGACCTACTAGGAAGAACACTAGTGATTTTAGTTAAGAGTGGAGTTTAAGCAACCTAATATTAAACCAATAAATATGTTCACAAACAAATAAGCATAAGTCTTAGACCTATAGATCAGTTTCATTAAACATATATGCTAAGTTACCATACATATAATTGGTAAATGTGCAAGCATGCATTGAAAATACCTGACTCAATGTTAAATGATTCATTGCAATGACTACATTGATATACTCCTTCCTGTCCCACATGAGCCAGTGCTGTTCTGATTGGTTGTAATTCATATTTGGAATGCATGTTATAGATGTGTACCCTACAGAATTGTCTAGGTCATCTTGCATCTATTTTGTTTTACATCCAATCACTGCTGGGATTCACATCCACAAGGCACCAACGTAAGGTATATGGAAGATATTATCTATACCGTGGTTCATCAATGAATGGGTAGCTTGGGAATTTAGGGCTTCTAAGCCCAAGTGACAAGCAATCTTGTTTCTACATAACACACACATCCCAATGGTAAATAGGAAGGTCACTCCTTACATATCCTATCAATAACACCATTAGGGCAAATCGGCAAAGAAGTGAAAGTATAAAACCCACCTCTGTAAGGATATGGGGGGGGGGCGTAAGTGGTGGTGATTGGACTTTAAAGATAAATTATACTGGGAAGTTATTCCAGTCTAATTTACTTTTTAACTATTTATAATCTGTCTTCCACATTCTGTGTATAACTTATGTGAATCGTATTATATCACAGCCATGTTATGGAATTGTCCCTTGTATTGCAGCATTTAATAATTTTTCAGAATTATGTTAAACTTGAGGGATAAGTAAACAAAATAACAACCTGTGATGTGACAATTCCTTTATAAAAACATTGTAGGCATTATAAACCATTTCATCTCTTTGAGATGATTACCGTGCCTGGAGTCCCCTGAATCTGTGCCTACATTCAGTATTAAAACATTTTCGAGCAATTTACTGAATGAGGGTCTCTGACTTGTCATCTGACACTCTCATCCAATCACAATCACCCATTGATGCTCAAGCTAATGCTTCCTCTTTGGCCTAAAGAGCTCGTTAGCTGCTAGGGACTTTAATTTAGCATTAAACCATTAAAATATTTTGTCTTTATGAAAACCGTTGTTAGTGAAAATGCTGTTCAATTGGTGCCTGTCCGTGTGCTAAATCGCAATCATCCCTGTGATTTCTTAGGCTCTTCTGTCTGTCTGTGTTTCTCAGGGATATTTACTAGCCATGGCATGTATCCATCTGTTTTATGTCTTTCACCTGTATTTTCTCTCTCATGCCCCACTGTCATGTTATTTCTTTCTTTATTTCAAACCAAATGTGTAGTGCTGTGAAATCGAATGCCATTCAACTGTTAATCTTTGTTAAACGAATAGCTTGCACTACCTATTGTGGCATTGCAAGCCTGTCTACCATCTATACACAACTAAAATAGAGAATATATATTTTTTTAAATTGTTAAACCTGGCCTGGTAGGCAAGAGCACTTTATTTATTTTTTTCAGTAATAATAGCATTAATTTTGAAACTTTTTCTTCCATTTATGTGATTTACTGATTGCGATGAATTCTCTCTGGCAGTGACCCTGGTGGAGGGATTGAGATGTCTGAGTTTGTAAGAGAAGCAACTCCTCCAGTTGGATGCAGTTCACGTAATTCTTACTCTGGGTTGGACCCAAATCAGGTATAGTGAAGGGATAGTGTTCAACTGATAAACTATGCTCTTTTAGATAAACCGAATCAAACCCCATCAAATAATATTGTTTCCATTTTCTAATAGGTTGGAATGTCTAGATATGGAGCTGCATCAGCAAGCAAAGGTATGGACCAAAATTTCAATGTTGCATATTTTAACATATTGTGTAAATTTTTATAAAAAAATTTTTGTTCGTGTTAACTTGTGTAATGGGCTCCTTGCCATTCTATGGTAGACGTTTGTGGTATTTGCACGCTTTCAGCTGTTCTGAACACTGAATGGAGGTAGCAGGATACCATAGTCTGTTCTGTTCAGAGTTACACCTGTTTACTATTTTAAGTACATGCATTACGGCCTCTATGTATAGCATTGTGAAAAGCATGTATATTTGCAAATACACATTTTTACTTCTTATCCTGGCTTACCCATGCTTTATAGGGGCAGCCATCGTTAAACACTCCAACTATGACCCTTTTATCTCAATTAAATGGTTATAATGCCCGGAGTCCCTTTGTGCTACGCCTCCTTTTAGAGATAAGCCATTTTAAAACCGTTTAGCATTGAGATTTCATAATTGCCCATAGCCCAGCCTCCACTGGAGGTATGGCTAGAGCAGAGATTTCGCTATTCCGAAGACAGACATACCATTTCATGCTAGCAGGGAGACGTTGACGCTGTCAGCCAGTCATTGCTGTTTAGTTGGTGCTTCCTTAATAGCCCGAGCATAATGGTGGAGCCGGGTTGCTGTGGACTCTCTCTTTTAGAATTAAACCATGAAAGCCTTGTTTAACATATAGAGAGCTGAATCGAAGGACTCCAGGGGTGATAAACATTTTATTGAAGTGGTTAGTGTCTAGAGTTTCCCTTTATGTTCTCTTTGGTTGGAAAGCACCGTTAATCTACCCAAAGACCATGTAAGTAATCAAGAGCTAGTAAAGTTGCAAAATTTGAGATCACATGCATGCAATAGGCATTTCTAAATAAACATTTAATGAATGTCAAAACAGAGTAACAGTTGGATAATCCTTCGGAAGTGCCTCCAGAACATTACCCTTAGAGAGGAAATAGTGTAACAAGAACTTTAAGAAAAACATAATGGTACAATGCAAAATAACTTTCAGCCTTTTGGTTCATCAAAACAGTGCTTCTAGTTAGTACAAAAAAAACTGCATTCATTAAATCCCAGTTATGTGTTATAGAGTGCGTCCTTCAGGAGAAATGCAAAAAGGATGTAGCATTAGACTCCTTATTCCCATACCTCTGACCTTGATGCACTTTTTGTAACTTTAATATTCCTGGTCTGCCATTTTCTGTGCACTTTGGAGCTGTGTTTTAGTACAAAGGAACGTCTGCTCTGCTCGCAGGTATTGGGAGTCTAATATCCTGGCATTAATGCAGTCCACTAAAGTGTCGACTTCTTCTTTTCTGATTATTGAGAAGTTTGCCTGGAACAACTTCCTTGTCCTTCAGAAGAGATTTGGATATCTTTGTGATTTGGAATGTCTCTTCTTAGAATATTTGTAAACTTTCCTCAAATGGATGCTCGTTACGTTGGTCCAATAAAGACAAATAAGCATGGTGTGTTTCTAACAGTGAAGCCAGAGATCTTAAAAGCAATTACAACTCCCCTTATTTCCAGCGGTGCTTGGGTCTGCCGGCGTTGGCCCCGCCCCCTTAGTAACATCGAATTGGCAATTTGTTTGCCAATTCAATGCTTTCCCATGGGAAAATATATATAGTGCAGAGGATACCAGAGAGTTAATTATATAGGAAGTAATTAAATCCACTCACATGGACATGAGCCGGACAATGCTGGCTCAGTAGGTTGCACCTATAGGCTCTTATTAGCAGCATCACACCTCCCCTTCAATGAGAATATGGTTCTCCAGATATATAAAGAAAGGGAAAATAGTCACTTGTATAGGACTTATTCGCTAAACAAGAAATTCCCCACTATTTTTTTTTCTTTCTCTCCATATTTGGAGAACCATGTTCTCATCAAAGTTTCAGTGCTGACCTCTTGCTCATTGAGGTCTACAGAGGCTCCAGCAACACCATGGGATCCTCTAAAGAAAGGATGTAAAAAAATTTTTTTGCCTACAGCCCGCCCTTTTGACAGCTGGGGGAAATGGCAAGCTTGACTGACCAAAGGTAGCTCTGCCTTAATGCCAAGTGGGCTCTAATTTTGGTTCAGTTTCTTTTAAGTAGTTTGGAATTTCAGTGAAATTCCAGCGCACTCAATCTTAGGATTTCACAAAGATTTGATCTTTGACATGTATTTTTGATAGGAGTGACAGAGCCCCTTTTATTTATTTTATTTAAAAGCTAACCTTGTTTTGCAGCAAAAAAGTGTGTAATACAGGATTTGGTATATGGTATTGTGTTTTTCAGAATACAAACTTGCATGTTAAATGAGGTTTTTTAATCTCTTGTGACCTGGAGAAGGAATGTGAGATTTGTAGATTATCTCAATTACAGTAGAAATTCAATTTGCAGCTCTGACTAGGTCTAATTAACCAGTTACCGAGAATATTAGGATAAACACGCACAGCAGTATAATAACTTTTTTACACCTGTACTGCATGGGTGGTTGCATTAGATCTACAGCTAATTGCACACTGAATGGCTTGTTTTATACCATGGGCTTAGAGTTCCTGCATAATGAATACAGACCCGGTGCAGAAGAGCACAACTTTGTGAATTTGAGCTGCACTCTTCATATCTTTTAGTCATCTAGGAGACAAGCTTGGCATTGATCTACAAAGCATCTTGATAATGCACAGATGATTAAGGGAAAAAGAAGAATTCGAGCTGTACTGGAGGTGTATCTACATTGTAAGAATGTACAGCCAATTGCTGACTCTGCTCTCTGATACCAGTGAGACCATCAGCCAAGCCATCCACAGTCTTCCTTTGCATCATTCTGTAGACTCATTCCTTTTATGTAGTGTAATTCCTACTATAGAGATACTATAGCTCAGTGGTTTAATGGTTAACTTTTAATTTTAGCCTACTGGTTTAACATGAGTACCAGATATTGTGGGTTGCATACTATGACTTACTGTAAAACGCTATAATTCACCATAGTGTGTGAATTCTGTTACTTCTCACAGCTTCCTAGCGTGCATCTGAAATCCTCTAATTTGGCCCACAGCTCACTTTATTTCAGTTTTTTTTTTTTCATGGAAAATATTGCATCCATTTAATATATAGGATGGTGGCAAATGTATGGATTTTAATCAGGCCTCAAACTATACACTTGCCTTTAGCCATTAGCAAGTGAAAAGGTTTACCCTAGCAAGTAGAAATTTGGTGAATGTATGCACCCTCCAATGCTTGCATTGGCAAGTAACTTTAAAGGGACACTGTAGTCACTATAACCACTTTGTCTCTTTGAATTGGTTATAGTGCCTGGAGTGCCCTGGCACTGTCCCTCCATTCAGTGTTGCACCATGTTTGTGCAGTATGCCACAAAATGAAGAGTCCCTGGCCTCCCACAGTCCGGCCCCTTCTGTATGTGTAGCTAAGGCAGAGATTACACACTTCCTTGTTGTCATACCCATTCATACCGTCAGTTGGAGCTCTAACAGGTTAAAAGCAGTCAGCTGACACTCTCAGCCAATCACAGCTGCCCATTGCTGCTCAGGGTAATACTTCCTTAGCCAAAGCAGCACAGAGGGGATGGACTGCCGTGGTCTCTTGTTTAACATTAAAACATTACAACATTAAAAACTGTTTAATGCTGAAAGAAATGATGGCACCAGGGGACTCCATACACTATAACCAGTTTAATGAGATGAAGCAGATACAGTGCCTACGGTGTCCCTTTAAGGTCTGGCTAGTAGCACAGTACTTGAAAGTTTAAGCCGTGGTTTTAATTTTATGAATTGTTTTTGGTCTTCTCAGTCTTTGTGCTATCAACTTTTTAATCCTAAATTTAGCTCGAAATTTCACTTTGCTGCCTTCACTAGCAGCTGCCCTTTTCCCACATGATTCAGTGATCTTCCACACTTTCTGTCGTTCAGCAACCTAAGAGATATTGATGCTTCCGGTGTCAGGGCTATGGCGGCTGCTACCCTGAGCACCTCTGGACCAAATGGGAAGAGTCGGACTGTTAGTCTGTGTTAATGTAACTTTGCTATCCACATTTTGAGAGAGAGACTGGTCCAGTTTATAGCAGAAATCAAAACATGGAAAAAGAGTATTCATGTATACAGTCTTAATTTTCATAATGTCTACATGAATGTAAAATTACTGTATTTAGTTTGAATCTCAGGGTGTATGGTCATATTTTTTTTTATGTCCTCTCTTAAAGATCTTCCAGGCATCGAAGATTATAAATAAACATCTATGTGCTTAAGTTTTCTACAAATCTCTGTAGACATTTGTATCCTAAGCAAGGATAGCAGTGTGACCTGTTCTTGGTTTTTCATGTCCTCCAAATGTTCTAAATGTAAAAGCAGCACTGTAGTGTCAGTGTAAGAAGAATTGATTTAGGCCTGCAGTTTCCTTTTTAAACATTTTTAATGTAACTTAAATTCTGTAAGCGACTTCCTACAAATGTGATGTCATGCACGTGTTCCAAGCTATGGGAACAATGGCATAGATCACATATGTATGGTACTTCTTGTCTCTGCAGGGGATACAGATGCTGCAAAGACCTCAGATGATATCAGTCTGAGCCTTGGCCAGAGCTATAGTTTGTGCAAAGAAGGAAGTGAAGACCAAGGTAAAATCAAACCTATAAGCTGCATTTATTTTAAAGCATGTTGCATGACTAAAGTGGCTATAATAGAACAGTGCTTTTTTTAGTTTAACATTTAGTGAACCTGCAGTCAATTATATACAGTAGTTCTATTTAAATAAGCAATACCAATACATCTCGGACAGAAGATATGCAATACTGTCATATCAGTTGCCTTTGTATGCAATGGGGTTCCAAGATAAATTCATGTGTGTAAAAGTAATGGCACCGGCTTGTACTTTTTTTTGCTTAACTAAGAATCCCTGCATTTAAGGACAAGCAAAAAGTTATACTTTGACAGAAAAAAATCAGACTGCATAGAAACCAAAAATGTTTTTAGTCTACCAGAGTAGAGCTGGAATTCAAATTCTTGTCAGTGGAACAAATGAGAATAAATAAATTAAAGGGGCACTATAGGCATCAAAACAGTTGTGTATAGATAGATCATGCCCCTGCAGTCACACCTCACTGCATGTGACTTGCACAGCCTTCCTAAACACTTCCTCTTAAGAGATGGAATGTCTAAACTTCCTTTATTGCACAATCTGTTTAATTTAGAATTCATCTCCTGATCTATTGATAGCCTTCTAGATCCTACATGAGCCTCTTGTGTGTGTGATTTAAAGTTCAATTTACAGAGCAGGAGATAAAAACTTTTAAAGTAAGTTAACATCTAATTGAAAATGAAACCATTTTTATTCATGTAGGCTGTGTCAGCCATGGCAGGTTTGGCTAGGGCTGCATAATCTGAAACAAAAAAGATTTAACTCCTATATGGCAAAGAATTGCGCAGTGAGATTGCAGGGGCATGATTTTGCATTGCTCATTTCTTTTCACCTGTTATGCAGAAGTTTATTGGATCAATAATTCATCCTTATCTGCATTTCCACATCAGATTTGAGGAGTGGAAATATGAAAAAGCAGCCATATAGGGACTATTCTTTTTACACCCCGTTCTAAAAACACTGTTCTCCGGAGTTTCTGACCATGCATGAGTGCAACTATGTTGAACCCAGAAATGCTAATGAGTAACACTTTGTTCTATGATGTTTGTGGGATAAGGAGCAGCCTTATAGTTGATAACCTCTGTGTACAGGGTCACGGTAACAGAGGACCTCCATGCTCCATATTATGTGCATCGGGCAGATGATTAGTGTCCCTTCAGTATAAACAAGAAGTACACCTGTCCTCAATGGGTGCAAGGATGTAACGTTTATTCAGTCTTAAGAGAAATCCAACTTTGAAACTTCATGCTTGACTAAAGCCCATTAAGAGTTGAAACTTTGCAAACATCATGTTTTGCAAACCATAAATAAGTAGCACCATTAAAAAAAAAAAATAACAGGTGTCACAATACTTAAATCAAAAGTGATTCTTAAGGTACTCACATTGAGGGCATGGTGTGTATAGTAAGCTTTGAATTTAATCACTTTTGTAAAATACCGTATATACTCGAGTATAAGCCGAGTTTTTCAGCACATTTTTTGTGCTGAAAAACCCCAACTCGGCTTATATTCGAGTCAGTGTCTGTATTATGGCAATTTACATTGCCATAATACAGACTGGGGGCTGGCAGAGCTGTTACTTACCTCTCCTGCAGCTCCTGCCAGCTCCCTGCTCCTCCGCGTCCGGTCAGCACCTCGGTCAGCTCCCAGTGTAAGTCTCGCGAGAGCCGCGGGGTCATAGTGCGGCTCTCGCGAGACTTACAGTGTGAGCTGAGAGAAGAGCTGCACGGACCGGCGCGGAGGAGGAGAGAGCTGACAGGAGCTGCAGGAGAGGTAAGTAACAGCTCTGCCAGCCCCCCTCCTCCCCCCACTGAACTGCCAATGCCACTGGACCACCAGGGAAGGAGAGCCCCCCTCCCTGCCATGTATCAAGCAGGGAGGGGGGACAACAAAATAAATAAATTGATAATATATAAATAATAATAATAATAAAAAATAATATAACAAAAAATTAAAATAATATTAATTAATAATATATAAATAATAATAATAAAAAAATATAACAATTAAAATATTAATTAATATATAAATAATAATAAAAAATAAAAAAATAATATAACAAAAAAATTAAAATAATATTAATTTTTTTTTTAATAAAAATGCCCACCCCCCCACCAAGACTCTGCCACACACTGCATCACGCGCACACACGCGCACACGCACACTGCACTCACACACTGCGCACTCATCATACACACACACTGTAAATAAATATTCAATTAATATAATTTTTTAAGGATCTAATTTTATTTAGAAATTTACCAGTAGCTGCTGCATTTCCCACCCTAGTCTTATACTCGAGTCAATACGTTTTCCCAGTTTTTTGGGGTAAAATTAGGGGCCTCGGCTTATATTCGGGTCGGCTTATACTCGAGTATATACGGTACTTGTACACTTTAATTATTTTCATGGTTTTACTTTCTAAATCTGGGTAAACAACCTTTGGCACTCCAGATATAGAAATCTCCCTGCATGAATTGCCAGCATTATAGCTATGAGCATTATGGGAGATTAGGCCTCAACATCTGGAGTGTTGAAAGTTGCTTACCTCTGCTCTAAACAACAAATGTGTAAAGATTAAAGAGACACTATAGTCTCCACAACCACTTCAGCTTAATGTAGTGGTTCTGATATCTATAGCCTGTCCCTTTAGGCTTTTACATTGCTGCCTAGTAACACCTCTACTGTTAGTCACTCAGGTGGCCACTAAAGGGGTTTCGTATTTCAGTGCTGCACTTAGTGCAACACCTATGTTCAGTGTCTCATAGGTTCAATGCATCTCTGAGGAAAATCTAATTATCTCTGCACTGTGTTTTGCTGTGCATTAGCATCTTAATGCTTTCCTATGGGAAAGTATTGGATTGGCTGAGATCAAGAGGTGGAGCCAGCTGTTGTAAGATTGGTGCATTGGTGGAGAAAGGTTAGTAAACCACCTTTTAATTCCTTAGGGTGAGGTTAGGGACCAAAACAATTGGTTTCACAATATAGTTTCAGGAATACATGTTTGTATTCCTAGCAAAACTGCAAGTGCATGTCCAAATAAGTGAAACAAAATAATTTTTCAGATCAGAAGCAGAATTAGTGTAATAGTGTAAAATGTAATGTTCTAGTTTGCATGGATAAATTCCATAAATGTAAACAACCTGATCCTGAAGATTGTTTTTTCTCTCCATTACTCTCTGTAATCTAGTGTGTGTGTGTGTGTGTGTGTATATGTGTGTGTGTGTATATATATGTATATATATATATATATGTATATATGTATGTATGTATATATATATATATATAATTTTTTTTTTTTTTTCATGTGAATGTTTGAGGCATAGAGTAACAATTACACTTATGGAGACTATCATGGTTGTGCACAGTTGGCTATTCTCCCATAATGTGAATATGTGGAATCCAGCCATAGACTGAACAAAATGGGAAAATAATTCAGACAAGTATAATTTATCTGCAAAAAAGAAAAAATGAACCACACTACAGTCACGTGAAGAACTGGGCATGGTAAACTGGACCAAGGGCCAGCACCAGCCCAATGGAGTAGATATCAGTTGTAGAAAGAGGATCCAGGCACTGAGGATCTTCAAATGTGTTTATTGGGACAAGTGAGACACCACAACATTTCGACCCCTGAAAGGGGCTTTGTCAATTTTGGATCCTCTTTCTACCAAGTATAATTTATTTGTCTTTAAGCTGGTGGTTTTGTTTGCAATAATTTCTAAAGCCTGCTAAATCAGAATCTTTAACAAGTGTAAGGACAAATAACGTTTAAAGTGGCTCTGTCACCTCAAACTTACCTGTCTATTATTTCCTCTAACTTTTTTTCAGAATCTGTCCCCTCACACCCCCATTTTTTGTTTTTCTTTCTCCCTTAATTTCTGAGCTCTTTAAAACCTAAATCAAAAGTGGGGACTACTTTGTCTTACATATTTTACCTATTCTTGACAATTATGAGCTCAAGGAAAGCTCTACTTTGACCATAGAAGTGGAGTTTTCCTTATGCCTTAAGCTCCACCATCTTTTGTAGTGGTAATTTATGTGTGAGTGGTGTTTGCAGTGACATTGTTGGGGGTCATTGTAATTAAAACTTTTTTTTTTAGATGTATAATATCCATCTTGCCTTCATTTTGCCGGGGAAGCGGGCATAAATAATTTTACATGTGTGCAGACCACTTGTGCTTCCCTCTTCTTGCTGGCGACAAATAATGAGGGAGAGTCTCTGTGGTACACCTGCTGAAGTTTAAGACTAGAAGCTCCCTTGAACCCCAGGCATTCTGTGCCAGTTGGGTAGATCCACCAATATTCTCTTCTGGTCCATTTGGGTCCAGCAGCCTTGTGTGTAGTAGGTTGCTGACCCCTGATCTATAGATTCCTGTAGTAGAATTGCTAGCAAATTGATACATTTTATATGAAATCTATATAAAAATGTGACCATGTCCTCCATGTCCCAGCAAACCATCTGTAGACTGGAGAAACCTCCAGTTGGCTCTGTGGTTCTCCTTCCAGCAACATCAGTGCGTGTCCTTTTGCTGTGATTATCCTTCTGGCTAAAGTGTCTGTCACTTGCTTGTAGAGTAAAGGAATGGCAGATGTCATTTAATTCTGATGCCAGTGAATCAACAGTGGAAGCAACATGTAGGGCAGGGAGGTGGGATGAGTAGTTTAATGTTGTGGAACCCACAAACCCCTTATCGTGGCAGCGACAAAGCACATGAGATACTTAATGCTTTCATTATGTTGAAGCAATTAAATATCTTATATTTGTTAGTCAAGTTATTTTACTTTCATGGATAACACTTTCTTGCACAGACTATGTAATTTATCATAAACAGAAGTATGAAAGATTTGGGGATTTTACAAATATTCATGCCAGTGCTGCCAGTGTTAGAGGATTGATTTATTCAAGTGGAAAACTATCTTCTAGAACAAAGACATTGATCCATGTCCAGTCTGTATTAAGTTTCCAAAGTATGGATTTTGTGTACTCTTCTGTAGCAAGTTTGTGCGTGGGAGTGGGGTACCTTTGGCATTGGATCATTAACCAGTCTCTAAGCTGACCAATTCATATTGGCCTTCATTGTAAGGACGATAAGTGGTCTGACTAATGGACTGATTGATCGGTAGACAATGGTGTGAATGAGCTTATTGAGTGCTTATAGTCAGCCTGGCAGACTACTCTGTGTCATAACTGCAGATAACAGAAAGAAAGCAATTATCGTACCATAATTATCAGCTCAATTTTGTCACATGAAAAAAAAATTCTTCAGACTAGTTGATTTGAGACGGATATCTCCTCTCATACATTTTTATTTTGAATTTTTTTATTTTTTTATTTTTTTAATGATTTGCCCAAAAAAATTTTTATGGGTAACTCACAAGGGAGTTTTGAACTAAAGTAGATGAATTTGGAAATTAACTTCTTTTTCCAATTGAGCTAGTTTTTCCTAAAGTTTACAGTCCCTTGTCAATTCTCCAGTTTGAGTCCTTCATAATAGGCTTCAGTTGTATAAAAATGAAAACATAATTAAATAGCAGACATTTTTTTAGATCACACAGCAAATTAAATATATTAGTTTTCCTACATGTGGTTAGATGTATGCAGTGAAGGGACCTCCCCAATGTATTGCAAACATATATAGAAATTGGTATAATAGCTCTAATTGTCCAGTTTTAAGTCTCCGGTTGACTGTAAGACCAAGACGGTCCATTGTGCTTCCTTGCACTGCAGCAATTTTCACACCCACCAGCGTTCACATGACTGATTTAACAGCTAACCCTTGGGATTTTGGCTTCTCTGCTAGGTTGCTAGTAGACTTGTGCACAAATGTTTATCAGCTGGTGCAAACGATTAAAATTCATTTTACGCCAAACAAAGCAATCCATCCAACACCACAGGTGTATCCAGGACGTATCGATAGGTTTTGTTTTTTTTGGCTTTAGATTAAAATGATTTTGTTTCTCTCAAACCAGTTGAAATGCATTTGTACTCAAGTCTCTATACCCATATATTAGATTTGCATGTGTGTTTATATATAATCCAAAATTTTACTTTCTAAAACACATTCCAATTTCTTCAACAGATTTAACTGTGGATCAAAAGCTTTTTCGCCTGGTGTCCAATGACTCATTTGTCTCCATTCAGCCTTCGATCTCCTCTGGAGGAAAAGACTTAATTAGGGAGTACAGTGACAAAGGGTCAGTGGCAGCACACGGTCACCATCATCATGTGGATCTGTCTCTGTCCAATGCATGTGACACAGAACTGGCTTCACTTGTTCCTTTGCATTCACATTCATACAGAAAAGACCATAGACCAAGAGGCGTCCCAAGGACTTCAAGCTCAGCTGTTGCTTTCCCAGACACTTCCCTCACTGATTTTACACTCTACCAACAAAGGCGCGGGCTGGATCCTGTTAGTGAACTTGAAGCTTCCAAACCACATTCTGGATCCAAAGATTCTCTAGTAGATAATGTTTGTGCTTCAGGGATTTTTCCATTAGACTATCTAAAAAGCAAAGGATCCCAGCAGCTTTCGCGGAATGGCAGTGTGAAACACATGAAGTCTGACAAAAGCATGGATAGTTTGCGAAGCCTCAGCACAAGGAGCAGTGGATCCACTGAAAGTTATTGTAGCGGGACAGATCGGGACACAAACAGCACCGTTAGTAGCTATAAAAGCGAACAGACAAGTTCAACTCATGTGGAGAGCATTTTATCAGAACATGAGGAAGCTTCTGCTGCAAAAAGAGGTCACTGTAGTGACCCAGAGGAGGAGCGCAGCTCAGCCACCGATAAAAGGACTAGTAGTGTAAGGACTGCGGTCGAGAGAGGTACTGCTCAGGAAGCAAAAGATGCAAATACATCTGATGATGTGCAGAGTCCTAGAGGTCTTAGCTCGTCTGCATCGGAAGAAGCTAACAAAAACCCTCATGCAAACGAACTAACTGCACAAGCTGACTGGTTACCAGGGAAACTTACAGTAAATCTTGATGACGCAATTGAGAAACCAGTGATTTTAGTAGATTTAAGATCCTTTAAAGAAACGGGTATTAAGCAGCGAGATAGTGATGTGCGACCCAAATCATCTAGCTTAATCCACCGGACATCCTCGGTTCATAAATCTTGCAGGAGACGGACAGGTAAAAAACGAGCCAGCAGTTTTGATGCAAGTAGGCACAAAGAATATGTCTCATTTCAAGGCACAGCTGAAACCAAACCTCACAGCACTGGTTTTTGTCATGACGAAGATTCTAGTGACCAAAGCGACTTGAGCAGGACCTCAAGCGTGCAGTCGGCCCACCGTTTCAGCAGCGATAGCTCTTCCAGCACTACATCCCACTCATGCCAGTCACCTGAGGCCAGATACAGTGCCCTAAGGACAAAATATCACATAAAAGAAAGAGGTGCAGAGTCCCATCGGACCCACTTAAGTTGTGAAGGGGCTAGCAAAAAACGTTCTACCCGTAGGACTTCAAGTGCAAGTGGTACAAAAAGTCGTGCCAGAGTATTAAGTCTGGACAGTGGCACTGTAGTTAGCTTGGGTGATGCCAATAGACTGGCAGCACCTGAAAATATCAAAACATTAACCACTTCAAAATCAGATCTAGAAGCCAAAGAGGGGGAAGTGCTAGATCAGCTTTCTTTATTAGGACGCGCTTCACACTTAGAATCTGTAACACGTTCGAGAAATAGTTTGCCCAGCCAGGTTACGTTTCAGGATGTGGAAGAGCGAGAAGTCGCAGTTGGAGGTAAGTGACTATAAACTAATGTATTTTTTTCAGTGCTGTAAATGCCTTGCATTTTTGCAGAGTGATTTGCTTGCAGTGTTCAGTAAATGCATATAAATCATCATGCCATCATTTTCATTCTTCGACATACTGGAATTTTGCCCTGGAGTTTTTGTTGAGCTGCTAAGACAATACCCTCTTCTGAATGTGCGTCATTTTGTAGCTCTGTTTCCTTCTTGCCTAGTTACACCTCTTTCCTTTTAACCTCATTGTGCCTCTGTCTGCCTTTAATGTTTCTCTCGCTCTCTGTCACAAATATGAAATTTAGAGCACCATTATTTACTTGGTGAGGTTGTTTGTATTATCACATTTATTTTAGATATGTTTTAATATATCCAGTAATAGTGAAGAATATGCTAATGCGTGCACAGAATAAAAAAATTAATCAATCTCCTTTCTGCAACTGGAAGCCATGAAAGATGATTTTTAGATGAACCTTAAAGGGACACTATAGTCACCTGAACAACTTTAGCTTAATGAAGCAGTTTTGGTGTATAGAACATGCCCCTGCAGCCTTACTGCTCAATCCTCTGCCATTTAGGAGTTGTATCCCTTTGTTTATGAACCCTAGTCACACCTCCCTGCATGTGACTTGCACAGCCTTCCATAAACACTTCCTGTAAAGAGAGCCCTATTTAGGCTTTCTTTATTGCAAGTTCTGTTTAATTAAGATTTTCTTATCCCCTGCTATGTTAATAGCATGCTAGACCCTGCAAGAGCCTCCTGTATGTGAGTAAAGTTCAATTTAGAGATTGAGATACAATTATTTAAGGTAAATTACATCTGTTTGAAAGTGAAACCAGTTTTTTTTTCATGCAGGCTCTGTCAATCATAGGCAGGGGAGGTGTGGCTAGGGCTGCATAAACAGAAACAAAGTGATTTAACTCCTAAATGACAGTGAATTGAGCAGTGAAATTGCAGGAGAATGATCTATACACTACAACTGCTTTATTTAGCTAAAGTAATTTAGGTGACCATAGTTTTCCTTTAATTACCATTACCATAAACCGGCTCCAGAAAAATGTACAAGCTCCTGTGTAATGAGGATCGAGGGTTTCCTAATCCTTGACTGAGCCTTAAGTCAGTTGAAAATGTACTTGTCTAGAGGCTTTATTACAAAATGTTTTTCTGAATCATTTCATCCACCCTAAAGAACTCTCCAAGCATCATAAACAGTACAGCCTAATGTAGTATAAATGGTGCTAGGAGTGCATGGTAAGCTACTGTTTGGAGCTGTACCGTCCCACTCGTTGGCTGAGAGTGTCACCTGAACGTTTTCGAAGTCCTGCACCGCTGAACCAGCTCATTGCTTCTAGCTCCACAGGATATGTTGATGACACTTGGCCATCCCCAGTTAAGTTGTCAAACTCTTCACACATTTTGACTACTTACCATGGGAGGGTGCAAGGACACCACTGGGCAGTAGTGGCTTTGGTGCTTGGAGTGTTCCTTTTTTTTTTTTACACTTGTGTGGAATCTAATGTTTAACCCCTTAAGGACCAAACTTCTGGAATAAAAAGGAATCATGACATGTCACACATGTCATGTGTCCTTAAGGGGTTAAAAAAATAAAATCTAAATTAAAATTTTTTTTATTTTGTCCCTATTTGATTTTCTTTTTCTTGGTTATGGTATTTTGGTTTCAAACCTAATTCTGACAATTTGCAATGCGTTGAAAAGGGAAGTTATTACCAAAATGTGCAACTTTATTTTAATATTTATATGGCACCAACACAAAGTAGTTTTTTGTTGTCTGCTGTTACAGCATTAGCTGTCTCAAATATTTAATTCTGCATGATCTTTCATTTTGATTTACAAGCGTTTTTGTTTTAACTTTGAGATGATGTAGAAACTGAACATGGTGGGAGTGGGAAGGAGTTATAAAATCGTATATATAAACCATGTTTATTTGGGCCGAGAAAATCAAATCATTATGCATATGGTAAAACAGAAAGCAACATTTCTAATCCTGGTAGTAAAAAGATAAACCCCTGTAATAACTGCTAGTCAAGTCAGTGTATTTTCAAGCCATGCTGTAATAGGTACACTGCTTATGACCTGGTCCATGTTCAGTGATCTTTCATGTCAGGGTAAATCATAGGAGTAGTTCTGGTCTGTGAAATTCTTGGTATTTTTAAATTTATTTTTCTTTATATATTTATATTCTTAAAAATGTGCAATGTGTAAAAGTACAAATTCTATTTTAAGAAATAACTTGGGAGCTAATTGTAAAATCTAGTTCTCACCTTGGTTTTGCACTTTTCTAAATTGTATTCATATTTGTCACTTTCTGCATCAAACTGAGATTTCGAATATAGCTCATGTATGTGCTAAGAAAACCAAATTCATTATTCCAAATGTTTCATATTTTAGCAGCAAATAAAATGTCAAAATTAAATTAACTGTTATTCCTAAATATACTGCTGTACCTTTCTTTGGACAGTTTATGAACTTAGTAGCAGGTGGCTGACAGTGTTCAGTCGTCTGTGGAGCACAACAACGCTTTATTTACTGAAATGATCCTAGCATTGATGTCACTTGGATTAGGCACTCCCCATAAAAAAGTAATAAATCAATGCCTTCTTATGGGGAAATAGCTGACTCTGGATGTCCTCATGTAGAGCACGAGGACGTCCAGGGTCGGTTACCAGACCAAAAGTCCGGTAACATTCCCACAAGGCTGTCTTAGTGCTGCAATGTAAACATAAAGACATGTTTTATTTGTTGTATTTAATGGTGTCAAGAACACAACTGTTAAAGATTTGACTGTTTTGGAGAATGACAGAAATGTCACGTTTTAAGGCGACTGTCATTCCCCTTAGATCTGTTCCAATCCACCCTCTGCTGCTCAATTTATTTATATTTTTTTATAAATATTTTTTTTAAACAAAGGTTTTTACAGTTATACTTGAGAAAACATAGGGTCTAGTTTTCCTTATGTATAACTTTAGATTGACAAAGCTCCATTGGAGGCCTTGGGTGTGCGAGTCATTTGACGCACACACCCAAGGAAGGGCACAATATGGTCTTCCTGGCTGCTGCCATCTTAGGAACACAGATGGAGGAAGTGTTTGAGAAGACTCTGCAGGACCGACACATCATTGGAAAAGGTAAGTTGCATTGGTCCTGGGACTTACATTGTTTTTGGAGAGTGGAGCAGACTATAGGGACCACTTCCCTAGGCTAAGGGTCTGAAAAAAAATAACATTGTGACAAACGTTTTAAACCAAAATATCCTGTGTTGGATCATTTGGCCTCTAATATTCTTTTCTCGTGTCCGTTCTTCAGAATCCCTTGCTTTGTGAACTAGCGCTTTGTTTAGATGTGAAACAATACCCAATAAGTACTTTTTATTAACACAGTCGCTTTTGCGATGGATATGTGTGGGTTTTATTTTCTGAAAATTTATTCTGAGGCCCCCCCCCACTTACAGCTGATTTTGTAATGTCATAGTTCCGGGAAATGTAGATTCAACTGTTTGTTTCCAGCAGCTGAACTGCATCTCCCAGAAATCCATCATGTATCCATAATTTCCTATATGTAGAGGTTAATGGGGAAAAGCTCAGCAGTCCTACAGAAAAATTTAAAACATGGGGATTTGCAACATATACCAGCAATTCTACTAAATGTATATTTTCCTGCCTCTAATCATTTATAATGCACGGTTTATAAAATCTATTAAAAGGGTGCCTAAAATGTCCTGTCACAAGCTGCCTAATTATACTATTATTAGCATTACTTATTCTAGAGCCGTTTGTGGTCTTATATTGCTTTTCATATCCATGTTTCATTCCTTTTAACCTAATGTATCCACACACCCTTAACAACCCAGGTCAACCACTCATTGTTTCCCCTTACTTTAACCTGGCATGTACTGTTAACTTCAGTATAATGTCTCCAAAGTATCTCTTAAATGTGATCTTTTGCGAGTCTGTACAGTAACTTCATTACAAAATGCAGACACGCGTCTTTTATTGAATCAAAGACTTTTGTCTGGGGAAATAAGCCAGCATAGTCTCCTCCAAACAAAATAATGCCTTGATGTTTTTAAGATCGTCTGGCTGCTTTTGTATAAATGTTTCTTTTTGTTCAATTTTTAAGAATTTCCCCCAAAAAAAAACATGAACGAACAAGAGTTCTTTGATACAATTTTTTCTAACTGACGGCAAGCTCTGTCACTTTTCAAATTTTGGTTTCCAGTTGTATGAATCGTGTGTCGCTGGACCGGTTTGTTACATACTGTTTTTGTAGAATTTATTATTTTTTTTCCACCGTACTCGGTCTATTTAATGGGAATGATCATCAAAATATTTCTTTACCTTTGTGGCAGTAATAATTACAAATGGTTGGTGTAAGTTAGTCATATGTAACTGGTGTTTCTCCACCTTCTGTGGAAGTACAATGCCCAAGTTTCACTGTTAGTCTTAACGTTTTTCCTGCAGTTGATGGATGTTTTAATCAACCCAACAGAGAGCTGCTTTTTGTCATTGTGGTGTTTGGAGTGATTGTAATAATTTTAGACAATGTAAATATAGCCTTTTGTGAGCTTTTGTGACATGTTTGCCTTTGGTTATTGAATGTGTTACTATAACCTCTATTCCACAATTTGTTGGACTACAACTTCGATATCCTCCTTTCCAAGGCTCGCAGAGAAATATGGGTGTTGTAGTTCAATAGCAAGGTGCAGAATGCTTTTTTAAAGCTTGAGATGTTTTTTAAATTTGTTGAATACGTTTGTGTGGGTTGTTTTTTCCTTTGTGTATTAGATATTTATGGCTATATAATATTTGCAGCTTAGGTGATAGCTTCCCTTTTCTATTTTGCAAATAAATTTACTTTTGCGGGAAGAAAGCACATATAAAGGGAAGGCATTAAAAAAAGTTATATGATAATAAAAATAAATTGACACAAACCTCTGACGTTTGTGGCTGTTACCTGTTGCAAGCCAGTTGTTACCTTCTGACCCAAAGTCTCTGTCTTGCTGCCGCAGCACACGCCAGTGAGGAAACTGTAACATTTCGACGTGAACGCAGCACATTTAGGCGCCAGGCTGTAAGGCGCCGGCACAATGCAGGGAGTAACCCCACTCCTCCCGCATCGCTCATCGGATCACCCCTCAGGTACGGTATTTCAGTATCAATTACTGCATGTAGCACAATTCTAATCACTCGCCTTTGCTAGCTTCATTCCGCCTCACCCTGCAAGTGCTTCCTAATCTGGACACCATGTCTTTCATCGCACCTCTTTCCTCGCTCCTATACTTGCTGTTTCTGCATGATTCTCTGGGAACGCACAACGCATGTGTGTTTATTTTTTATTCACCTATAAAACTTTGTATTTTTTCTTCTTTTTGTCAACCCTGTCCTCCCCTCAGTAAAATTCTTTGTCTTTTTTGTTTTAATTTTTATTCATTTTCAACTTATTGAGAAAATATAACATTTTGATTTCTCTCATGAGCTTTTCTTTCTGGGAGCATTACGATATGTTACTTGATTTCTGTAGTATTATGACTTAATGGCTAAACTTGGCATATAATTATACATTACATGCAATGAGATTGGAAGGGGGTGTTTGGAAGGAGAGCGGGTATAAGTTGTGGAAATTAGTCAACATTCTAATTTTTGCATTTTATAGGAAGGAAAAGCAAACCAGGTTAAATAATTCCTAATTAGCCACAGCCTGAAACTACAAAAAATTACGTAACTAGAAGCAATTTTTCACACACAGTGTCCTGTAGTAAAGGGCCTGCTCATTGGCTGAGCTCTTAGCCAATGGGTCCCACAGCACCAGGCTAGCGAAGTGCAGAGGGCTGCTAGCTACCCAAGAGGACGTCAGTGGCACTCGTTGGACCCCAGGTAAGTTATCAAACCATTTGGACACTGCTTTGCCTGCAAGAGCACCAAGGCAGTCTGGCATAAGAGCCACAGCATCACACTGGTTATGGTGATTAGAGTGTTCCTTTAAAGGGACAGTGAAGCACTTTAGCAGAATAAAGTTCTAGTGCCTAGCCCATTGCATTGATTTTTGCTAGTACTAATATACATTCAGTAACAATGTGTATAACTCACCTCTTTATGAACATATGGGCAACAACCTGCCCTATAGGAGGCTTAAGAGTTCCAAATCTTTTCATATGGTGTATGTGGAAGTATGCTTGTCTGGGCTGCACAAGCTAAACTTTAGTATTTCATAAACTGTTAGCCTTTTAAATTGGCATATTGGCTGCCTTCAAGATCAGATATGTGATATAACCATACTTTTCAGGACGTAAACAGGCTTTGCTGTTAATTTAGCAAATCTGGAATTATTTTGTTAATACTAATAGCTATATTATTTTTACCCCTGTATAATAATAATCTGAATAAGAATAGTTCACGGTTTTTCCCTTTCCATTGTACCCGAAATCTTAACGAATACTGCTGATTTTATCTGATGGATTGAAGTTGCAATGCCAACAATGCAGACTTGTACATTGGTTTGAGTAAGCATGATTGCATAATAATTGTATTGTTGATTTTGTCAGGCCGCCATCATTTTAAACATTTAAATAGATATAATTAGGCTGCCTGTTACTGATTGACTGCCTGCACCAATCCTTATTTGAAGTCCAAGCATTAATAATTAGTTCTATTTAGAGTATTCTGTAACCTGTGTGAAAACCTATCCTTAATTGGTTGTACAATTGCCATGTTTTCTCCAGCAAAGAGAATATATAACAGAAGCAAATGTAAGCACCCAGTATGGCAACTTTCTACTACATGCCATCAGAAATCCAGAGCAATAACCGCACATTTTACATTTGTTTGTAGTTTTTTGTTTTTTTAATCAATTTGAAGATTTTACTGTTATTTAGTTAAATAGGCATGGTTCATGCCATCTAAAATTTGGTTTGATCCTCTACTGATAAAAACAATACATGCGCTCAGTAATTTAGTCTATATTTAAAACCATAGGGCTGTGCTGTTAGGAGCCGTGTTGTTTGTGGACAAAGTGACAGTATGCCACTGACAACTTTGGGGTATATTTAGGGTATAACCTTGTTTACAGACCGCATCATTAAGATTTTTGCACAAATAGATCACTACGAGCAATTACCTCTTCAGCACTGCACACCTGTCACATTGGTGCATATAGCACTACTTAAGGTGTGTTTGTGTAGACACGTTTATAGGGTATTTTCTGAGGATGACAGATGCATTATGGGGAACCCACAATGCTCAATTGTTTTTCTTTTACCTCTCCTTTATTCACCCTGATTAGTGCTACAGTAGTGCCTCCGTGGGAGTGATAGTTGAGCTTTAAGGTGAACCTGTCACGACAGATATAGGTTTTTCTATCCATCTGGCTAAGCTCCTGTTAGAAAATGTTTCTTCCCTTAGTACTGTTAAAAGCTTATATTTTAATTTATTCCCATTACCCACTTCTCCTGCTGAGAGCATCAATCAGCTTTTCAGTGGGTGTTACACTTGCTGTAAGACACATATGATATACGTACCCCTGTTTGGGAAGCACAGACTTGCTACCAATAAGAGATTAAAAGTTTCCAACACTTTGTTGACTTAGTGTAAGTAAAATTTCTCTGATTTCTGTTCTCGCTCTGTTTTCAGAGTGGCTGTCCAAACTGGCTGCAATAAATCATTCTGGATGTTTCTCTCCTTTCTCCATGACCCTCTCACACAGAACCCGCCCCTACTCCCTACTCCCTACTTGCAGACATTGCTTTCCCTTAATTTAAAAGGCCCCCTTGAGGAGAAAGCGTAACACATCACTCTAACGGTGACTCTCAGCATGTCCGTGATTAAGTGCTTAAAATAGTTTTAAATTAACCGCTCTCCCACATGTCTGGGAATACCCCCTTACTCACACTTAAAAAATAAACTACATACAAAAGTGGAGCGCTAAAGTGACAGACTTGCATTTGTCACCCATGTTACAAGGGTAAGTGGGACAAATTGCATGTCGATGTCACTTTAGTGCTCCACTTTTGTTTATAGGTATTTCACTTATAGTAAGTTTGTATTGCTTCCATTTAGACTAAATTCAAGCAGGAGACACGTCCGGAGGAGGTTTTCTCTGATAAGGCTTGCAGAGCACAGCTGCCCTCTCACTAGGCTCATCGGCACAGACTGAACTGATTTAGCAGAGTGGGAAAGATATTCGAAAAATCTAGACATTTGCTAGCAATTCTGATAGCACAATGTACAGATGAAATTTGATTCTCTATCACTTAAGATTAATTTGCATTTGTTATGACAGGAGCCCTTTAAAGAATCTTGTTGAAAATCTCCTCTAGCAACGAGAATGCAGGCTAGAAATAGGGTGTGAGTGTAAAAAAAAAAAGACAAAAAAAACAACAAATGCACTAATACTACCCACCACGGCAGAGCTAGAAAAACTGCTCACTATTGTTGGGTGATATAAATTCCACATCCCTGTATGGAAATACTTTAGTGTTGTTCAATTGCGGTCTGCCCTTATAGGATTAAAATATACAGTATGCTTACCTTATCTCTGCTCTTGGTGTCCTTGTATATATTAATTTTGTTTAACTTAAAAAGAGGCTATTGAGCTTAGTTTGGGGGGGAAAAAATTGATTTCTAGCTTTTTTCAGTGTATGTATTGTCCCAAGAAAAGAGGATTAAAGGGGCACTATAAGCACCAAAACAACTTTAGCTTACTGGAATTGTTTTGGTATATAGATCATTCCCCTGCAGTCCAACTACTCCGTTCTTTCAGTTAGGAGTTAAATGACTTTGTATTTACAGCCATAGTGACACCTCCTGTGCATGTGACCTACAGTCTCCCTACACACCTTCTTTTAAAGAGAGATCTAATTTAAACTTTCAGTCTCTTTAATTTTGAATGTCTTATCTCCTGCTCTTTTGGCCTCCAGGACCCTCCTGTATGTGATTAAAACTCAATTAACAGCGGGAGATACACATTTCTAAAGTAAACACACTATGCTGTTACAACTGATTGAAAATTAAACAATTTTTTTTCCATGTAGGCTGTGAGAGTCACAGCCAGGGGAGGTGTGGCTAAAGCTGCATAAACAAAAATACTGATTTAATTCCAGTGAACGTGGCAATAAGACTGCAGGGGCATAATCTACACACTAAAACTGTGTAATTAAGCTAAAGTTGTTTTGGTGCTTATATTAACCCTTTAAAGTCTACTGAAATGCAGGACATTAATATTAGCCCGAAATTGGGTAAACAGTGCAATCAGACGCTCACCCTTGGCATTTGACATTGCCGTCAATGAAAGGGCACTCTGTGCCGGCCCCTCAATTTGTTTTTCATAGCATGTAATGTAGAATATTCTATTTCAAGTTGGATTTTTTTCTTGGATGTTTTATGTGTACATTTTTATTTATTTTCTTGCTTTCCTGTAATGTCTCCCCAATGACTGTTTCTTTGTAGCCTTCAAGATGGTCACCAAGGCCAGCAGTCATCATCCCAGGTCAAAGTCCAGTCCTGTCCCCCTTCCCAAGTTGCAGTTCTCAGCGCTAGCGCCTCCTTGCTGGTGAGAAATGGGAGTGTCCACTTAGAAGCATCACATGACAATGCATCTGCCGTAGGCAATAGCAGTTTGCACGATGAACTTGGTATGCAGGCCTTATATAACCTTGGTGACATGGAAGTTTTAATGCAGCACATTTTGGGTAATAATGCCGTTCACTTATTTCTTTCATTGCAGAATCGTTTATGAATGTGGAGATTGTCTGCTTGTTAACCTACAATTCTGCACATTTTATTTTAATGCAATTTACTTTGTGGATAAAGAATTTTGTTTTTCAACAGCTACATCAATACAAGCAATGGAACATCCTCTTTTCTATTAATAACGTTGACTTTATGTGTATATCCTCTCTAGATATATACATTTTTTTTTTCTTCCTTTTGCTAGTTCTAACTTTTTTTTTCTTCCATTTGTAGGCATTTGTTTGCAATGTTCAGTCATTTTATAATGATGTACTTCTAAAGTTTTACACTTTTGTCTGTCGATGTTCAACCTTATTTCCTTCGTAGATTTACAGTTTTGATAACCTGTTTTATTTTTGTTCATCCACAGGTAGTTAAAGTACTACTTTAGCATTTTATATTCAAATTAATACACTACCTATAGTATCCTCAAAAATAGTAATTTAACTTTCCAAATACTAACGTCATCCTGCTGTATTTGTTGGTGCCATATAAATAAGCATTTGTTTTTATATGTATAGATTTCGTTTATTTTTATGTTGGGCAGTGTTGGCAAATGGTTGAAATTTTGATATTGTCATGTAAACTTTTCAAAATAATGTGTACGTTAACACTTTAAAGGGACACCGTAGGCACTGTATCTGCTTCATCTCAATAAACTGGTTATAGTGTCTGGAGTCATCTGGTACCATCATTTCTTTCAGCATTAAACAGTTTTTAAAGTTTTAATGTTTTAATGCTAAACAAGAGTCCCCAGCAATCCATCCCTTCTGTGCTGCTTTGGCTAATAAGGAAGTATTGGCCTGAGCAGCAATAGGCAGCTGTGATTGGCTGAGTGTGTCAGCTGACTGCTTTTAGCCTGTCAGAGTTCCAACTGACGGTATGAATGGGTATGACAACAAGGAAGTGTGTACTCTCTGCCTTAGCTACACATACTGAAGGGGCCGGACTGTGGGTGACCAGGGACTCTTATTTTGTGGCATACTGCACAAACATGGTGCAACACTGAATGGAGGGACAGTGCCAGGGCACTCCAGGCACTATAACCAATTCAAAGAGACAAAGTGGTTATAGTGAGTACAGTGTCCCTTTAAGATTCAGAAGGCATTGTATTGGTAAATATTTATTCAAGTAAATGTTTTCAAAAAATTTATGTACAAGATAATGCTACAGGGATATCAAGCACAAAATGGGAGTCATAATTGAAGTTGTACATTTATGCAATGGCTTAAAGGTCAGATACCCCATTGTTTTTAATAATGTTACATTCTATGTATATCCATTCTAACTGTGGCAACGTATCAGAATCAAGTAGATATGTGTTCTGTGTGGAGTTTACACACATGCTATATTTGAGTTTTTATAATTGGTGCAGAATTCCATTGCACAGAAGGGTTTATATCCGGAAACTCATATTTGCATAATGAATACCATTCTCCTGTGGACTCAAATTTTAGCTTATGTTAATAGATTACTTCTTCCAGCCTTTTAATTCCTTCTAGTTGTTTTATTTATTTATTTTCTTTATGCAGACTTGTTTTTGTAAACCCCAAAATAAAATCAACTTAATATATTGATGTGTTCTACAGGCATGTTATTGTCCAAAATGCACAATGTATTGTTTAATATGAAAGTAAAATATGCAGTTCCAGTCATCTGTAACAAGTATTTTGTACTTTTTGATTTTCCTCCCTCTCCAGGTAAATTCACCCCATCTCTGTATGAAACTGGTGGCTGTGACATGTCACTGGTGAACTTCGAGCCTGCAGCAAGAAGGACATCTAATAATCTCTGGTTGGTTTACATTTTGATTTCATGCATATTTCATGATATTGAGGATTTATATTGCTTTGCACTTTTTGATTGTCTTCCTATGTGCCAAAAAATTGTATGGTTAGATAGCACTGTGAGAAATAAAGTTTATGCACAATAGCGGCTGTGGTGCAAAGCATTAGACCACCAGCAATTACTTGGTTCATTCTGTTTCCCATGGTGTACAACTTTACCTAAGATTTGTTCTTTATACAGCCCACAGTATGGTTTCTACAAAATGCGAAAGATCAGCATGTTGGATGATGATAGGTCTAAAATTGAGTATGGGTGGTTGAGAAAAGGTTTTCAGGACGGGAAAAGGTCTGCACCAAGTTCCTTGAATAAGCGTGTTCTAGTTGTGCAACCAGTGTACAGGTCCACAATATGTAGAAATGAGAGCCTAGAGCTCTACAACCTCAAAAGTACAAGGTGAATGAGATGAATGTGTGTGCTGTAACCTATTAAGGGACAAATATCACCTGGCCAAAAGTTTATAGTTTTCTCTCTGTAAAATGCCTACTGTCACATTGAAATTGTTAAAAATGGCAGCCCAGTCCTCCCTGTCCATGGACCTAACTTGGTCTCCCATTTATTCCCATAAGAAGGATGGGCAGGGAAAAAGCCCTTCAAGTACTTTGGTATAAAAGATATGAGGCCACAGTATCTGGCTGTACGTCTGCAAACTACTTCATTAGATTATGGGTATCCGTAGGAAGCGTGTGGGAGAGAACATAATGGAAGAGTTGATGGAATCAATGATTTGTAAATTCTCATAAGTTTCCTTAAGAAACCAAACAAGGAATTAACTTCTCTCCTAAGAGAAAATCCAGAACCAAAAGGAGAAGCTTGTCTGCCCAGCAATGAAACTGCTGAAGAGACTCTGCCGTCAAAGTCAGAGGAGTCCAAAACTGGTAACATCCTACTACCAGAGTAGAACATCTTATCTCCGTATTTACAGGATATCTAAAATGCCAGAGAATGGGAAAGTGTAGAAGCAATTGCTTCAGAAAGAGTGATTGTGGGGAAAGTGTGCCAAATCCTGTCCAAGCACTTCCAATATGGAAAGTATAATGCAAGTGAGTGAACATAGCCAGATGATCAGCTTTGTAGCAAGAATATGAATGTGTGACTTGCAGAGCAATGCATGGTGTGAGAGCTCCAGAAGAGAAGATTTTTTTTTTTTATAAACCTAGCAGTTTCAGAGAAACTGCTAGGTTTATAAATGGGTTAAGCCTTCCCCCTAATCCTCTAGTGGCTGTCTCATTGACAGCCACTAGAGGCGCTTGCGTGCTTCTCACTGTGATTTTCAGTGAGAGCACGCCAGCGTCCATAGGAAAGCATTGAGAAAGCTTTCCTATGCGACCGGCTGAATGCGTGCGCAGCTCTTGCCGCGCATGTGCATTCAGCCGACGGGGCGGAACGGAGGAGGAGAGAAGGAGAGCTCTCTGCCCAGCGCTGGAAAAAGGTAAGTTTTACCCCTTTCCCTCTTCCAGAGCTGGGCGGGAGGGGGACCCTGAGGGTGGGGGCACCCTCAGGGCACTATAGTGCCAGGAAAACGAGTGTTTTCCTGGCACTATAGTGGTCCTTTAAAGTAAACCTAATTAAAAAAAAAAAAAGTGGTCTATAAACGTAAAAAAAAAAAAAAGCTCTTTACAACTAAATCTCCAGCCTAATGTGTGGAAAGGTTTGTTAGGAATGTTTTCTTTGCCTGAAAACCTCATTGGTGATCTCTCTAACAAGCCATACTTTTCTAGAAGAGCAGCAATGCTGTGCACTTAACACCTCAATTAAATATGTGCAAATTGATTAACTTCAAAATATTTTTGAGGATCCTCCCCACAAGATAAAGTATTGGCAGAGGTGCACAAGTACCAATTTGCAAAAGTGGAGGGTGTGATACAATGGCTTTGTTCAAAAATACATTGTAGTCCCCATTACAAAGACGCGGCTCAGACCATTATTCTTTTTGAAACCAACCTTTTTTTTTTTTTTTTTATTGTGCTGGTTGTGTACAGGCGGCCCGCATTGCCACGACAGCGGATGCAAGCGTTCCATTGTACATAATATTACATTCGTATGGCAAACAATTTTCATGCACATTTTGGTATTATTGCAAGCATAAATTAGTTAAGCTGCGTGCTGATTGAAGAAAACAGGTTATCTTAAACACGGCTAAAAGTGGTATACAGACCAGTTTGTGTGTACTGGAGGCAGTGTGCCATTAAGATAAGATGCAAGGCGTGCGGAGGAGCATGCAGAACTACAATATATAACAACCCTGCCTATTCTCACATAAGTAACCATGTGGAGCACCTTAGGTTTGAAGGTTTTAAAAGCTATAGAAAACAGTGGCTAATCAACTCAGCTAAACTATGCCGCCTGCCCGTCTTTGGAAGGTCATCGGTAAAATCATGGGTTGTCACAGGGCAGTAATCACTATGAGCCTCTAGGGATCAGCGAGTATAGGACATTAACATTTGTGGTTAAAGCAAAGAGGTGAAACACCCCTATTAAACTATAACTTAGTGCTGGGATCGATGATCAGGGTGGGGGGGAGAGAGAAAGGGGTACTTATACCCCAGAGCCAGCAGGTGAGGAGGGTTTGGTGAGACATGTCTTGAAGGACATCTATCTGCCTGCACATTATTATTATTATTTTATTTATATAGCGCCGTGCATGCTTGTGTACATATTTATCGAAGAAACAGTGCAACACATTAAACAATAACTTGGATAAAGGCAATTCTGCAGGCATTGCGTGGTAGTGTAGGACAGTCAAGTTGTCTCGGTGGTGGCGTTGTTCCGTTGAGTAGCCGCGACAAAAGGGCGGGTAGTGGCCAGGTCCCATGTCTGCGACTTTGACTTCGGCACTGGTGGTTGCGTCCCCGTCTCCACGGGGTGGGGGAGACCAAGTTGTTGAAGAATGGAGCCCATTTCGGATATGTCGGCAACTCTAAGAGTCTCAGTCTCATTAGGTATCAAAAGGCTTTGTGGTGGTCCCCATCTGTAGGGTCTCCTATGTTGCATCAGCATTGTGGTAAGTGGTCTCATGGATCTCCGCCATGTCATTGTGGCCCTGGAGATGTCCGGGTAGAATAAGGAATGTCCCTCAAATTGGTAAGCAGTGGTGTTGCGGCCCGCTGACCGGAAGGCCTGCCTGTCTGGTCCGTGCTGAAAGCGCACTATTACATCCCTGCTGGTTTGCTGGGAGTTCGCCTGCAGTTGTGGCAGCCTGTAGCACCCCTACAGCAGCATGGCTTTGGCTTGTTTTGGCGCAAATAAGCCGGATAGCAGTCTTCGGATGAGGTGGGGGATTTCTGCGGTTGTAACACTCTCAGCCAAGCCCCTACGATCTTCCATTGCTGCTACTTGGTGCTGGGTTTGGATCAGGTCATTTTTGGTCTTAGTCAGCTCGCTCTCAAGGCTATTAAGGCGGTCCTCGTGTGCTGCTGTGTTGATTTCTGTGTCATGTAGTCTCACTGACACCCTATGAATTTCCTCTTTGAATGGATGTCTTCCGCGATATGTCGGCAGAGATCATCCAAGAGGGCTTTCAGTCGGTCTTCAGTGACTGGAGGGTTGCTTTGTACCTGGGTTTTGCCTGCTCTCTGTCTCCACCATCAGTTCCAGGTTGGAGAGTGAGTCTTCGCTGGATGATCTGGACGGTGCGTCAGAGAGCAGCACCATGACAGGTCTCAGGGATGCTTGCGGCCTCCACAAAAGTGCGCCGATATCGGCGGTGTTGGGGTGTTTTTCCGTCCGGTATTTTTTGCTTTTGCGCCCCCTCGTCTTACGAAGTTGGTAGGGCTGGTGTGGTAGGGGAAATTGGGCAGGAACAACTTGTTTTTCCCCGGTGTGAACGGAGCTCCCGAGAGACACGTCCGTTCTGTGCGGCTGCTGGCTCCGCCCCCCCGAAACCAACCTTTTAACCCCTTAAGGACCAAACTTCTGGAATAAAAGGGAATCATGACATGTCACACATGTCATGTGTCCTTAAGGGGTTAAACACAATAGCTTTAACTTATTGCACCTTTCTTGCACCCTTTTGCTTAGTTTTTCTAACTGATAAACTTGGAAAGCCCATAGGTCTGTTTTAAAGCCCACTCAAACATTTAGAAATTACTCTTTCTAGCTGCCAATCATGGTGGAATGAGAAGGACTTGGATGTGCAATCTCCAGTTATGAGGGCTTTCAAGTCCCAGACCGGGTTCTTGGTAATTGGCGCAGGGTGTGCATGGAGAGCGGAAACTACAAGTCTCATGTTAATATACCTAGCAATTCATTGGTATGCAAGTGGACAATTTTAACTCTGTCCGGGCTTGTGGCAGGTTATCAGATTAATTTACAGCTACCAAGAGTCTCCAGTTTTAATTTTTATTATTTTATCGTTTACAGCCAAAAGACCAATGCACTGGACAGACATGTCACACAACACATTTAACAAATGTCTCCTATATGGAATAGAATGTAAGATAATTTTGAAATGATGAAGTTAATATTTTACTTTTTTTTTTTTCTTTCTGCAGTGACACAGATTCCCACGTATCAAGTTCTACCTCAGTTCGATTCTACCCACATGATCTAGTAAGACTTATTTTTCTAGTTTTTCTAAGTTAACCATCCTTGTCTCCCATCAGTGAATGGAAACTTTTTATTTTAAATAAGAGAACGCAGTGTTTACATTGGAGGGTTAAGTCCACCTTCAGTGGCTGTCATACCGACTAAGTAAAACTCTCTTGTGACTCTGAAGTCTGCTTCAATGCGTTCCTATTGAGAAGTTTAAATGTGCAGCTAAATAGAGCAAGTCTCTAAGCACCTGCTAAATGCTGCAAAGATTGTGATCCCTGTCTACCAAAGGCAAGAAACTGCTCCCACTATGCAGCAACGGAGGAAATACATTGCATACGGGGGGGGGAGGTTGTTGGTGCCTCCGGAGAGTGTGAGCTGCTACGCTATCCCCTTGCTCCCTCTTCTTGCTTTTATTCCCACGTCTCTTCCTTCACCCATTCCCAACATTGTCAGACAGGCTAGCCGCCTTTGCATTGCTACATGCTGTCCCCCAATCCTTATGGCTTGCCATAGGTTCAATACCAACTGTATAATTTGAAAGTGGATATGACACTTGGATGGATATCTTTAAAGTTTTAGACACTTTTGTTTTTACATGTCAACTATTCTTTTTACCTGAAAAACAATGGTGTTCTCGTTGCTGGCTAAAAATTCAACAGCCTCACAGTTTAAGGTTATGTTAAACTGTATAATTACCTGTTATGGCCACTTGGTCAGGCACCTGTCAGTTGATTCTCTTAGTGGAGTTAGCAGCTAAATGTATCTTTTTATTCCAAGTTAGATGAGAAGTGTTGTCGACTACTTTTTATTCTTGAAGATAAGATTTCATGATTGTGTTTGTGTTCTGTAGTGCATACATATCAGTTAATGGCTCTGTTAATCTCCTTACTTGCTCTTTCTCCATGGAATTAATCACCTTTGAAGTTGTCTTTGGCCAGAAGCACAGCTTGTGTAGGTAAAGATCATGTGTACTTTGGTGAATCTGCATCAGAGGGCATGACTTCAGCACATTACCTTACTTATGGTTTACTTATGTTGTGTGGTAAATTGTAGCAAAGCACTTGCTCCATGCAGGAGGTATTTTTAAGACTGATGTTCTGAAAAGAGATATTTACTTTTTACACGTGTGTGTGTGTTAAACTGGGATTTACTTGTTAATCAAGTGGCTTTTATTTTTAGTGAACATTTTTCTTTCAGTTGATTTTTGCTTTGAGAACCAGAAGTGTATCCTAGAATGTATCCTTTTGTGTGAAAAATTAGATGATTTTGAAATGTACCGCATGAAATGTCTTCTCACCCTCTGATAGCTCTCTCTTCCCCAGATCCGATTAAATAGGCTGCTGACCATTGACACCGACCTTTTAGAGCAGCAGGATATTGACTTGAGCCCTGACTTCCAGGACCAGATGCAGCCACAGGAGCAGGCTGCTCACAAAGTAAAACACTACTATCGTTTCTGGATTCTGCCCCAACTCTGGGTCGGCATCAACTTCGACAGGCTTACACTATTGGCCTTGTTTGATAGGTAAGGACCACGAAAACTATGCAGGATTTCCTGTCTTTGTCGACCATTTTATTAGTATTGGGTTGCCAGCTGTGAGAATATCCACATATGTCTTGAAGGCAGGAGTTGTGTTCTCAGATGAGTAAGCCTGTTTCTGCAGGGCCTGATTCACCTCTCTTCTCTTTAAATACGGTTTGAATGTCAATAACTTGTTGGCAAATGTGCCCATTCTGTAATTGTAAAGTGCTGAGGAAAATGTTGGCGTTGTATAGAATAAGTGTAGTTTTGCCCTCAGCTAATGTCTCATCGTTGCCCATGTCAAATTAAACTTTTACTGCATAGATTTAACTCTCTCCCTACCTTGTCTTGAGATAGAGAAAGAATTGCTGAGAGTTGAATCATTAAAGAGACACTTAAGTTTTTTGAAACTAAAGACCTATAAGAATAGTATTCCACTACGCTTACCAGAAGACATTGCAGACCAAAATTTCCCCTGAAAGAGCTATCAGTTTGGCCGTAGTTATCTGGGTCATAAGAAAGATTCTTCGTGTCTGTTACAATGGCTATTTTTTTCAATTATTTCCATATTTAGTGATGTATTGTCCTTTCATGCATTTGGTGTGTCACATTGTTGCTTTGCTATTCATTTTAAGTATATTTTGTTATTCCTTAAAAACCTTATTCAAATTCCTTATTCCTTATTCAAATGTATGTATAAATACTTAATGTTTATCCTTGGAATTACAGGATCTGTGGATGTATTTTATTTCTCCTAGACTGTTTACTGTGATAAATGTACACGTTTATTACACAATCTGTACTTGGGTTAATTTTCACAATAACTGGAAAGCTACTGCCATTTATAGATTGCCTATCATTGTCTAAACGTTTATGTCCTAGTGCATGCATTTCTGAGTATAGAAACCAGCAGCTTATATGATAAGGCTTGCACAACCATGTATCCAGCATAGGAATTCTTCATAATCACGATCATTTTATTTAATCAAATTATGCTCTCTAGCATTTTGATGTCCGACTATATTTTTGTGTAATACGTAATGTTCTCTTTTGTAAAATCCATTGACAAGCATTCGTTTAGGTTGCAAGCCTAGATAAATACTAGCCACATGATGTATCTCTGCATTGAAATGTTGCATTGATTTGGCTGCCAGTGAGCCTTGATTACATATCATCCAGTTTTAACAACTCTTTCACCCTTCTACAGGAACAGAGAAGTCCTTGAAAATGTACTGTCTGTCATCCTTGCTATCTTGGTTGCCTTTCTGGGCTCTGTTCTTCTCATAGAAGGCTTTTTCAAAGATATCTGGGTCTTCCAGTTTTGTCTTGTTATTGCCAGCTGTCAATACTCTCTCCTTAAGGTAAGCTTTGGTGTCCTGAATAATGTTAGTGGTCATTTGTTTGCAAAGTAGTGAATACCTGCCAACAGTTTTTAATTTAACCAAACCGTCTCAATCTGCCATGTTCTGTTGCCCCCTCTCCCTCCCCTCCCCCCAAAACAAGAGAAAAATATTGGGATGCTAGGACATGTATGTTGAAAAGTTCTCACAGCTGCTCATGGCAATACCAGAATGTTTCTGGGCAAATGTGAATGTTTCACTGCTGGTCTTCATATTGACAGCACTGGTTGACCACCGTGCTTGGAACTTTTTTTTTTTTATAAAGCAAAATTATGTGGATAGGGAGGGTGGCTCAGAGAAAAATGCTTCCCCTTGCCATCTCTGCCTGCCATTGAGATGCTCAATACCTACGTTGCCAAAGTGCAGTGTGCGCTAACTGAGGTATTTTAATGACAGGGTTCCGGGCTCTCAAAATTGTTGAGTATAACAAAAGTGACGGTTTCTCTCTTTATTTTTTAATCAATGTGTTTCTTAACTGTTAAATATCAAATTCTTATGAGACCTATTTGTAACATTCTTTCAGCGATGGTTTTACAGCAAACATTTACAAATTTGTTAACTTTACTTTTCAGAGTGTTCAACCAGATTCTTCTTCCCCTAGACATGTAAGTGATTGGTATCTTCTTGTGTGGTACATAGCCAATTGTCTAAAAAGATTGTTCGCCATTATTTTAATGTTGCTTAACTATTCAGCTAAAACTTCCAGGTGTCTCCAAGGAAATTTAACTTTTCTTTCATTTTTTGTGCAGTAAAATGTGTATTTTACCTATTTGTTTTAAACCTTTATTTTCTAGTTGACAAAACTTGTGTTCTATCTGTCAAAGCATACAATATTTAATGACTGCAATAACGCCATATTTATGATTATTTTTGACTCTTCCAAAGAATCAGGTACATAGTCCAGTATATTAAAGTATACCTTACATTGTGATGTGATGTCTATCTGTATATTTCTTGTGTTCTAATCCAAATCTACCTTATTTGCTTCTATCCACGCACACTTGTGAGCTGAGAAAAAATAATGAATTTTTAAAAAAAAGTATATCGTGCGTCTATCCACTTAAACTATGAATTGTTGATCTGACTGTGGGTTCCACATTTATAAACCTTTACGGTTCTAAAATCTGGAAAAGCAGATTTGGAAAATGTGTCCAGTTTGCCCTTAAATTTCTAAATTTAGTGTCCATTCTGCCCAATCCCATGTTTAATGAATATATTGAAAATGTGTGTTTTATTATTTTAGCCTGTTGAATAATTGCTGGAACTTTAGTCTGTTCTATCCAGAAGTAAATAGTACATACTTTGACATATTTAAGTGCTGATTTCTGTGTAGTGGCATGGGCGTACTAATGTTTTGTGAAGTCTTCTAGTGACATCAGATCTATTTTATTTTTAATTTCAACCATTTCCTTCTACTCAGGGCCATAATCGCATCATAGCCTATAGTAGGCCTGTTTACTTCTGTGCCTGTTGTGGCCTTATTTGGTTACTGGATTATGGAAGCAAAAACCTGTCTACCACCAAATACAAATTATACGGAATGGCCTTTACCAATCCTCTGCTCCTCATCTCAGCCAGGGATTTAGTCATTGGTGAGTGTCCCTGTCTTAAATGCATTTAATCTGTAAAGAAAGTAACTTAAAATGTGCTAGTTGCTTATGTAGTTCTGTCTCTACCTGGAAGTAGTAGTCATTAAGTTAGTTCATTTTGGACAGGAAAGGCTAATTATGGGTGTCCTTTTTGGGTGGTGAGGGGGGGGTTTGGAAGGCTGAGTGGATTAAAAAGTTTGTAGAAAAATTTCACTAAAGAAGCAGCCTTATCAGGAAGAGAAATTACAATCTATAGATCAGGTGGAAAATTGTTACACATAATGTTGATCATTTTGAGTGAATGTTGGAGGGATAGGTATCTTAACCCCTTAGAACCAAGAACTCTTTTCCTGTTAAATACAATCTTGTAACATACAGATGCATTGTTGGTAGGATTACAGTGAAAGCTAACTAATACCAGTGTTTTCTTTGTGCTTCCTTTACCCAGTGTTCACACTCTGTTTCCCAGTCGTGTTTTTTATTGGTCTTCTGCCTCAGGTGAACACGTTTGTCATGTACCTGTGCGAACAAGTGGACATACATGTGTTTGGTGGGAATGGTGAGTACAGAGCTTCATGCTATGTGGCCTTTCAGTACTGTCACGTTACAGAGGAAGTGAAAATGTTAGCAAGAACTTAAGTGGGTTTGTTTTGTTTTGATTTTTGACACTGTTGAGCATGTAATAAAGACAATCTTTATGAAATACTCATTTTGAATGTGTGCAATCAAGATATGACCGTCGGAAAACTTTTTTTTTGTCCTTTATATATTTGAGTTAATTTACTAATTAAATGTAAATTAGTTAATACACATTAAATGGACACTCCAATGACCAAATAAGTTGTACTCAGCATTTAGTAGATATACCCCCAATGAAAATGTGCATGCATTTATACAGATTAAATTGGGTGTATATCTCAAAGCAGTTTGAAAAGGCTGCTGATCTTCTGTCTGCAGCCTTTGCAAGCACTCTTCTTTCACATCAGACTTTCTGTGGTTGTCCTACACTGAAGTGTTTATGGTCCTGGAAATGCCCTGGAGCTTTTCCTGTGTAACTTACAAAATCTTATTGATTTAAAACCTTATCTGGCTTCCACAGGGCAATGCTTACTGAATTCTACTGCAAGAGAGCTAAGCAAGGCCCAGAAGGGCAGTGCTCATTGGCTGGGAGTATTAAGGGAGTTCTCTCAGCCTAAGAGCAGGACAAGGTATCAGCAGTATAAAACCACGTGACCTCTCCTGCAGTAAAGGCTAGATGTGACCAGAGCAGCTAGGAGACCCAGGTAATTTGTCAAACTGTTTTTAAATGGTATGACAAATGACACAGACCGCACCAGGGCAATCCTAATTTAAAGCTTTTATCCCTACAGTGACATAATGCCTTCAAAATATATACTATTGCTGCACAACCAGCCACTTGCCCAGAAAAATATATTGTCTATATCTATAGACCATAATGTTTCCAAAATCTTAAGAAAACTATTTTTTCTTTTTCTCTTTTCAGCCACCACCAGCTTGCTTGCTGCACTTTTCAGCTTTATTCGTAGCATCGTGGCTGTAGCTTTACTCTACGGACTGTGTTATGGTGCGCTTAAGGTGAGTTGCCAACTAGAACATGTGATTATATGGGTAATGGTGATTCACATAAGGAAAGGTTTTGTAACCACTCTAATATTTTTTTTTTTTTAAACAATGTACATTTTCTATAATGGTTTATTCCTAATCACTATGACCACTTCAGTAATTTAGGGTGGTCATGGTGGTACTAGTCTAGATCTGCAATACTTCTGCTTAAAACGCTGCACGTTCCATTATAGTTGCATCACCGCACACGATTTTATCAGCCCCCAAATGTAAATTCTATTCAAAATGTATGTCCGTCAGAGAGTCCTGCACACTGGCAACAGACTTAACAATTATCTCTCTTGTTGGAATCATGTCATTTACTATACACATTTTTAAAATTGATGTCAACATGGTCCGTTTTTAGATTTATCGTCATTACGTCATAAATCTGATTTTTCATAAAATACACGACTACAATAAATTTATCAAGAGAAAGCTTACACTTGTAAAACAATAAGCTAGCAGAAATCTGTTTTTTGAAATGGTTTATATTTTTTCTGATTTCAGTAAAGTATAAATGGTTGTCTTCTCTAAAATCACAATTATTCAGCATACCAGAGAAATGTGTATTGTTTTGCAGGATCCTTGGGATGCTCAACACATACCTGTATTATTCTCAATTTTCTGTGGTGTATTAGTGGCACTGTCCTACCATCTCAGCAGACAGAGCAGTGATCCCTCTGTCCTCATGTAAGTAAAATAACATGGACAACTAGAGGAAGTATATTGGATTTTTGTGGGTTTTTTTTTTTTAAAGGGAAACTGATTCAATCTATATCTTACCTTCAATTTCAGCTCACTGATACAATCAAAGATTTTTCCTAACAATGAAGATAAAAATCCAGAGGACCCGCTGTCAGAAGTGAAGGACCCTCTTCCCGAAAAACTCAAGAGTTCTGTTGTAAGTTTGAAAATTCTCCTTGCATTTTTCAACTGCTCTTCAAACTCTTCCTGTAAACACCCCCTCTTGCCACTTCTGGTGTCCTATGTACTAGTTTTAAGGTGGATTTGTTTTAAACACGTTTAAAACCTTTTGACCATTTATCTGCGGTTATTTTGTGCATGCCATTATCATTGGATTTAAAATGTCTACCTTAGTGTTTTTCATGATTGTATATTATTGTTACAGTACAACTTAGTTCATAGTTGGGAAAACAATGCAGGCTCATTTTCCAAAGTAATAATAATGTCTTCCCTATCGGAGTTTTAAAGGGAAACTCCAAGATCGTTTTGTACTGTGGTGACTACTGCAGAATTTCTTGGAAAACGTTCTCATGGAGTACTTGAAATAAACTTATGGTTTATTTGCTGGTAAATAAGGAAAAGTAGGAAAGGGGAAAATGGTTTCTCAATCTTCAGTTTCCTCTACCTCTGTAAACATACCTTTTTGTGAAAGAAAGATGCGTTTACTTGCTAATTCCTTTCTGTAAATTATCATTTGTTTATAATTTTTAAGCTCAGTGGCAAATTAACATCCAATAATTATGCATTTCTTTCCCACAGAATGAACGCCTACAGTCAGACATTGTGGTCTGCATTGTTATTGCAGTGTTGTATTTTGCGATCCATGTGAGCACTGTGTTTACAGCATTACAGGTAACTTTTTTTGTCTTTCTTCTGCACTTATGGTTTTCATTTATCTTTTAAGATCTACCCCAAGCACCAAAACCACTACAGCATGCTTGGACTTCTTGCCTGGGGTTCATCTGGTGCCACGTCCTGCCTCCACTACCTCAGCCAGAGAGATTGAAGTTCCTGCTTACTAGTTTCTGTTAAATCTCCTGAGCAGTGCATATCTAGCTCACTGGCAGAGTGCCGTGCATATCTAGCTCACTGGCAGAGTGCCGTGCATATCTAGCTCACTGGCAGAGTGCCGTGCATATCTAGCTCACTGGCCAAGTGCCGGTTGAACACTCAACCGGTGAACGTAGCTCAGCACCACCGGGCTTAGCTCACACAGAGAGCTCACACTTTTGGCAGTCTGTCTGAGGTAGTGGAGACAGGGGAAAGTTATAACAGTTTGACTCCTTTCAGTGGACACTTCTGGCAGTATAACCTCCACAGTGCACTGTAGTGGTTATGGTGCTTTGTACTAGTGTTCCTTTTACTAGTTGGTACTTTTGTGTAGGCAGATTTGTAGTATTCTAGAACTACGTATATACTCATGTATTAAACATTGCTTGTGTTTTTCAGCCTGTCCTGAGTTACGTACTATATGCACTAGTTGGTTCTGTTGGATTTTTAACTCATTATGTTCTACCACAAGTACGTAAGCAGCTTCCGTGGCACTGCTTCTCTCATCCGCTGCTAAAAACCAAGGAATATTACCAATTTGAAGTCCGAAGTAAGTGGCCTGTTTACAGTGGAGCAATGGTTTCCTAGTTCCAGTTGTTGGCATTTAAAACTTTATGCTGATTTTAATCTTTTAGGCCACCATTGATTGACAGAATTAACCTTTTATTAATTCTATTTAGAATATATGTATGTGTAATACACACACATTTTGACCTTTATATGTAGATCTGCTGGAATATGCTGTAGAATGTGAAAACATCAATTGCCAAATAAGCTGGTGCTATATAAATGCCACTAATTAACCGATGTTTAGACAGGCAGTTTGGCCTTCATGAAGTCTTATCGCCTTCACAGAGACTGTTCAGACTGTTAAATCATTATAAGTGCACTTTTATTGGTTTGTAGATATGAGCGGTTGTCTTTAGATTCCAGGCTCTTGCATCTTTGCTTGAAATTATGGTCCATTATCTGCTGCAATTTCTTCAATCCTATAACAGTCTCCATGTACACTGACAGTTTAGTATTTGGACTACTCTTCCGTGGGTTACTTGCTCACTTTGACTTTTCTGGAATGATCCCGTTTATGACAAACTCCATTATTTTGCCACTATGGATTCTGCTACAGCATCTGCAATGGCTTAGTTTATTATTACTGGTATTTATATAGCGCCAGCATATTCCGTAGCGCTTTACAATATTATCAAAGTGGGAGATTTAATAAGACAATTACAAAAACTTACAGGAACAATAGGTTGAAGAGGGCACTGCTCAAACGAGCTTACAGCCTATCCTATCTAAACCTTCTGTACAGATATTGACATATGTTAGTTTTTGTACACTGCACAGTGTAAATACTTTTTTGAAAGGCTGATGTAACTGCTGATCTATTTTATTAATGTGTGCTTTTAACAAATGCAGCCACTTAAAAAAAATCAATAACTTTGTTTTATTTTATTCACAAGATGCTGCTCACATGATGTGGTTTGAGAAGGCTCACGTCTGGCTGCTTTTTGTGGAAAAGAATGTTATTTATCCATTGATAGTTCTCAACGAGCTTAGCAACGGTGCTAAAGATATAGCCAGTCCCAAAAAGCTGGACGTAGAGTAAGTCATATTATCTATTCGTTACGTTTTAGCAGTTTTACAATTAAGAAATGCTTAATGTAGTAATTGTCTAAGTACATTTTGATCAGTTCAGTTATATGTAAAATGTTATGAACCGTACTTATTAACACTTTTAATAATTTCAAAACATTCTAAAATGTCACTTTCCAAAGTTACTGAAGTTAGTGTGAATTTGATTTTGTGTAAAACTAAATTAGTCAACATGTTTTTTTATTTTATTTTTTTATATAAATGTAATTGAAATTATGCGTATGTTCAAGATTTCTGAAAATGTGAATAATTTCAAAATGGGTTTTGTTAAATCAAAATTTTGTGTTGTGGATAAGGATCAACGTTTCGACCCGTAGGTCTTTATTACAATATACATTCCGGTAAATAGTGTTTATTATAAGAAATAAAATAATCACTTACCAAGTGCAAGTGTTACTACGGTGCTCAAACGCCGTGGTGGGAGTGGTTACACGAGCAGTAGGATGTGACAGCAATTACGTGGTGATTCTATGAGGATCGCGTCCCGTTTCTATGACGCTCGGATGATAAAATATGCATTGAGTGCACAACAGTGCCTGTATTAGGGACTAATAAAAATAGGAGGAGGTGTACAGTAAAGATAATAAAAATGAACATGTAGATGATATAGGTCCGGTTTCAGTATGGTAAAAAAAATGTAAGACCAAAATAGTAGAGCCCAAATAAGATTGAGAGGTGAAACAGTGACAGAGCAAAATAACTAGAAAAAAAGTACCATGAATAGCCATGAACTTCAATGTAGGGAGCCGGTGTTGTGCTTCGAGGAAGTGCTTAGCCACCGGTTTATCAGTTCTCCCGTCTCTGAAAGCAGTCATGATCCCTGATCTGTGACCATGTATTCTGTCACGAAGGGTAAGATCTGTAACAGTATTAGTGTCTTTTATATTGGCCTGATTGTTTCATGTGCCTGAAAGTTCCTGGTGTTTTATGCTTTTACTTTCTGCCATCAACCAGAATAATAGAAAATCACAAATCCAAGGTGTATATATATGAAATGTTCTCATTTGACCAATTCTCATTTCCTATTTATAGGATTGGTGCGTTATTGATCACTATTGCTGGTATGAAGCTGCTGAGATCTTCTTACAGTAGCCCCACCTGCCAATATGCCACCGTCATCTTCACAGTCTTGTTCTTCACATTTGATTACAAAGAGAGCTCCGAAAAACTGCTGCTAGATCTCTTCGTTATGTCTATTCTCTTCAGCAAGGTAATTGGTGTAATAGCTCCTGGCAAATATCAAGTTCATGGGATTCCACTTCTCTCTCAATGCACAGCAGTTGGGATTGTTTTCGTCTATGTTGTATTTGAGGACACTGTTAAAGAAAACAAACACTCCAGTGACCATAACAACTAAAGTTCATAGATGGAGAAAGACACATGGTTAGCACACATTGTGTATGTAATATGAAACTGAATGCATGTAGGGACACTAGACTATTTAATAATCAAACCATTATAAGGTTGCTATAGTGCCAGGAATACAAAACTGTTTTCTTGGCACTCTCTCTCCCCCTTTCCTCGTGCCCTCCCTCCCCAGTAAATAGTGTAATAAACTTTATTTCCCTTATCCCAGCGCTGACTTCCTGCGATGAGCGGGCTTTAATGGGTCTGGGTGGCAAATGTCTCATGCGCATTAGATCGCCCCATAGGAAAGCATTGAATCTATTCTGGTGCTGGATGTCCCCATGCCAAAGGTTTGTTGACCAGACCCTTTAGTAGCTGTCTGGTCAACAGCCACTGGAGGCAGACTTAGAGATGCAATGTAAACATTGCAGTTTCTCTGGAACGCAATGTTTAACATTGCAGTACTAAGTGCAAAAGGGACACAGGACCCAGATCACTTCAATTAACTGAAGTGGTCTGGGTGCTTATAGTGTCTCTTTAAATAGCTCAGTGTGTTTTGTTCACATATCAGTAATTGCCAGAAGCGGTATTTCCTCACCGTGACTCATTACAGAGGTGTGGAGTTCAATGTTCCTTATATTTCATAATCCATTTGGTAAAATTAGTGGAGTGAAAATGTGGGAAACCGATGCACCAGACAAGAAGTACCATAATATTCAATGGAACAATTTGTGCTGTTCGCTTTTACCTACGGTTATCTAATAAATTCATATTATATTGTGGCAATATTGCGGGACTCAACCGATTTACCTGCTAGCATTAATAAACATATCCAGGGTTATTTATTAAACTGACAATTGCAGGAAATGCGAAGTGACATTCAAATTGACGGCAAAATGAGTTGAACTAATACTTTTAAACAATGTTCAAGCCGTTTAACAAGCATCAAAAAAACTAAATATTTCATATATAATAAAAAAATATATATTTTCTCTACATCCTGCTGTACTAATTATACAGGTTGGGAAATGAATGATACTGCCTTGCTTCTTTGTAATACTAGGCAAATCAATACAGAAACATTGTATAATTAATAAGCATTTTTATTTGTTTGTAAAGTATTTACTATTACTTAATCTTGACCACATAGTATCACTTACAATTTTTCTTTCCCAGCATGAGACTGTAGTGTTAGCAAAACACTTATTTGTTGTTTCTATAACTGCCTAAAATGAGTGATTTGTTGTTTTCCCTCTGTTTAATTTCAGCTTTGGGAATTATTTTACAAGCTACGGTTCGTCTACACCTATATAGCTCCTTGGCAGATTACGTGGGGATCAGCGTTCCATGCCTTTGCCCAGCCTTTTGCTGTACCTCGTATCCATTACTACAAAGTGAATGCTGATTATTTAATGTATGCTTGTTTACTGTCATTGTACATATAATACTGCTTCCTGGACATATTTAGTAATTCTTTACCTATTTTTGTCAAGTAGTTGGATTTTTAAAGCTGATTTGTCAATACTTTGTTCCCTTACTTAAGTAAACACCGTTGTAGCATTTACAGGGGTGAATAATGCAGCAAAGCTAAATAAGAGCGTGCTTGACTTTGTGACTGCATTTCTATGTTCAAGGTTGCTTTGCTGCTTCATGAAGGTTCAGGTGCGCTCTGGCATGTGCAGAGAAATGTTTTACATAGATAAACTTGCAGTTATTATTTAGCTCCATAAATGGCTTTATTCTGTTATCAAAGCTGCACAAACATCACAACTACTGGGGGGAGAAGAGGGGATTTGCAGACAAATAATTTCATGCCGTTTTATTTAAATTTTTCCATGGTACTCAATGTCTGTGCATATTTTTATTTTTTTGGTTCATTGACATATTACAATACATATGTGTGCAATAAGTGGGTGAAATTATTTCAAGGAAAAAACACATCTCCTTAAATACAATTAAGTAGAAAAAGGAAAATTGTATGGAGACCGATCTAAATTAAATTAAAAATAGAATAGTGATGTAGAGGTATAAGTAAAAAGGAATATGATAAAATAACAATAGGTAAGGCTTAACAAGGGGGTAGGATAACTTCCTGATAATATAATTAGCATGGGGTGGAGAGGACAGGATCTGTGAGGCGTAATTTCTCTAAACACTAGTTGTGAAGGGGTTTGGTGGATTGGAAAAGCATTAAGCACATGTTGACTATTCAAATCAGATAGCTGTTCTTATATGATGTGCGTGTGATTAATTTTTTTTTTTTTTCTTATTTGTGCAACAATTTCCATTGATGTAGCCATGAGACTCGCGGGTGTAACCTCACCCAAAGAGATTAAACTCCATCCATGAATATTATAGTGAAGGGGACATCTGTAACTTGTTTCGGAATGTTATAAAACAGCTAGGGTATCAGAAACAATGCTCTTCATGTCACTAAATAGATCACATTGTGTACAGATTATTTTTGGAATATTTGCTCCCTTAACTCATGCCTCTTAGATTCTGCAATGTTATTTGTCCAGGCGATCGTGTCTGCTTTATTTTCCACTCCTTTAAACCCCTTTCTTGGAAGTGCAATATTCATCACATCATACGTGCGGCCTGTCAAGTTCTGGGAGAGAGATTACAAGTAAGTGCTGCAGAATCTTTAGGCTGTTTATTTGGTACTTTCCATGGACAAGGTAAAACAAGAAGGTACTTTGTATGTCAAATCTTATTTCTCTTATTGGTTTAGCCGATTTATCACAGAATGCAAATTTATTTGAGACAGGTGCTGTCACGTGCGTGGGCTATAGGCCCAGCCGAGACAGTGGGGAGAGTGTGGAAGTGACAGGGTTAATGACACCAGACGCCTGGTTACCTGTTGCTAGTCCCAGCAACCACTCAATTAACCCCTGCAATCCCTTCTACACTAACCCCCTTAATACACTTTCTACTGCCACCACCAAGACTTTTAAACCCGGGCGTCTTAGGTTACCCCACACACAGGAGAATTATAGTATCACAGTTCTACTTTTACTGATAAAACATATATAGTTAACCCTTTTTGGTAACGTGTTTACCTGAGCTTTCCTCTGGAGAGTGAAGCTCATAGAGAACAGAGACACAAGCTGATTAAGTAAACATTTAATCTGACAAAAAGGATTCACAGTGCTGAGTACAAAATACAGAAATAAATGACATACAGATAACAAACTGCAAAACAGTACATAAAATAGGAGAAAACACAAGAAATTCCTTACATATATTTACCCCATATAGAATTCTTGTGGGAGTCTTAGATGGTATAGGTCTCCTAGAAGTTACTGACAAAAGAAAAATGAATAACTGACTTCCCTGGATAGTCCAACTCCCTCATATATCTAAACTAGTTGTTTCTCAGTGGGCAGACCCCTGGGGGGGATCAGAGGGGGTTGGTCTGGCAGTCTATTGCCCACTCTATGCAATTCCTTGTGTCCAGCTCTGGTGATGGCTATCTAGATGTTTTATGGTCTAGGCCTGGTGCAAGATCAAAGACCACAATAAATGTCATCCCAAGGTTTACAAAAAAACTCTTAACATATATAAACACACATCAAACACCAACTCATGCTTTTGGCATGACACCTCCCCCTTAAGATGGTGGACAGAAAAATGCAGCCACAGGCTGATTTATCTGTCTACCATTAACCCTCTAGTTGCCGAGATAGGCCATCTGCATTCCCATGCAAGCTGCCCTTTTTGTGCCGGGCAGTGAAATTATACTGTTGGAGGATAGGGCTCCAATGGAGCAGTTTATCAGTGTTACCTGTCACCTGCAGCAGGTTGTGATCAGTCCATACCACAGCTACATCCTCAAACATGCCTGATTTGCCTGTTTCAATTCCCCATCGATCTCTGGTAACATCCCTTAAGCCACACCCACTGCGCTCATGTAGTAGTTGTAAGGGGAAGAAACCAATGGATTTCTGCAGCACTCCCCAGTAAGCACACAAAAAAGCAGAGAACACTCCCAGGATAGATGTGCTGTATCAACACCCATCATCTCTTTCATTTTGCGGTCTGTCTGCTGGGCTTGTTGCACTATCAGACTCTGAACCTTTGGTTCACAATCAGAAAGTTGCTTAGGTGTATGCGTGAGTTGTGATAAACTGACAAGGTTCCTGGTTCCTCCAACAGTATGTTTCCCTGCAGCCATCCTTCCTGGACCCACAGGCTGAGTCTGTCCGTGCCCCTCGCTTTCACTCCAGGTCATCACACATACAGAACTTTGGAAACTGGCTAAGTCTGGCGCAGAGTAAAACTCACACACCCTCTGCCCTCCCTCATAGCCTTGCTGTCCCTTCACATTTTCACCCACCACATCACATACATCTGCTTCAGGCACATATTGGCACATATATTCATTCAGCCCCCTCTCGCTGAAAGGCTTTTCCCATACATTTTCACAGGACACATTTGACCCCCCTTCATCAGATACAGAATTTTGCACACACTCACATAATTTCTTCTCCAAGGCAGGCCATCCTCTCGCAATCTCACATAGCCCCTCAGACTCTGCAGCCGTGACCCACTGCTGACTTGTTACCACTGCTGACTTGTTACCCTGTCTCTCACCTTCCTCCTCTCCCTTACTCTCTGACATCCCAGCCTCACAGTATTTTGATACAGGCACATCACTACTCACCCCTATCTCACATTTGGTAGACATCACTGGTTCAGTTACAGGTAGATATTTATCCACACCCTGCTCTCCCTCCCAGCCATCACACTTCACAACGTCTCCCAAAGTTTCACACAATACCTTAGGTGGAGCAGTCAGCCCTTCTGGCTCACAAACTGTGTCCGCTGGAGCATAGTGACAGAGCATCCTGCCCAAATCTTTCCCCAACAGAACATTAACAGGGATATCCTCTGAAATCCCCACTTCCCGCAAACCTTTGCCCGCACCCCAATCAAGGTACACACGTGCCAAGGGCACAGCGGGGCATACACCCCCAATTCCTTTGATGGACATGGTTCTTCCAGGGATTATGTCCTCCGTTTTCACCACTTCAGGTCGCACCAGGGTGAAGGAAGCTCCTGAATCTCTGTCCCATGGTCACTCGGTCACCCACAATTACACTCTGCAGGTTATCCTCTCGTTTCCCCACGGACCCACCCACAAGCAATACTGATGGTGCCCCTTCACGGACCGGTGAGGGAATATTCCTAGTGGGGCAAGTCCTGCTCAGATGACCAATCTGGTTGCATCGAAAACAACGGAGGGCATCTGACTCACTTGACATAGCCCCGGCTACGCTGGCAGTCGGCGGTGAAGTTCTCACTGCAGATCTTACAGGTGGTGATTGAACTGTAGCTTCTCTCCAGGTAGAAGTAGCAGCTGACACAAGTCCACGTCTGGATGTTGGTGCATGGATGTCGGCATAGTCATCTGCCAGTTCTGCAGCAGCCCTAGCATTTTTTGGCTTTCTTTCCAAAATCCACTCTCGTACATTAGGGCTCCGGGTCTGCAAGAACTGCTCCTGGACCAGTAAGTCATTAAGGGCTTCATAGGTAGTAGCTTGTACTCCTGTTACCCATTGCCGGAACGTGGTTTCTAATTGTGCAACATATAGAATGCAGGTGGATGATGGACATTGCTGCATACTCCTAAACTTTTTCCTGTAAGACTCAGGAGTAAGGTTAAAAGTTTTTTGCAATGCAGATTTGATTGCCTCATAGTTATCAGTCTCTGGGGGAAGGGACACAAACACATCCAAGGCTTTCCCTTTCAATTGTGGAGTTAAATATCTGCCCCACTGGTCTGAGGGTAGTTGATGCTGCCTGCATACTTTCTCAAAACTTTTTAAATACATCCAAATCTGTCCCTTCTTCGAGGGAAGGAAAATCATCCTTACGGAGCCTACGTGTGCTGGACTCTGATGCATTGCTGTTAAGTGAGGACTGAAGGGTAAATTGCAGTTTAGCAAGTTCCAGCTCATGTCTCCTTTGTGCCTCCCTTTCTGCAGCATGCCTTTGCGCTTCCCTTTCGGCTAGCCTCTCTGCAGATTCCCTTTCTGCAGCCTGCTGTTGGATCATCACATGCAAGGCCTCCTGAGGATTTGCAGCCATCAGTTGCCGAAATAAATCAGTTGAGCAAATGTCCTTAATGTTTTGAGGGGTACAACCACCAGGCATTTCAGTAAGCAACACTCCTGCAGTAGTAGGGAGCTCGGTAACCCTTTCAGTATCCGTCTCTGGCTGGAAAATATGGCTGTCAGCCTCCACAAGGTCAGCAATAAGTTGTGCCTTATTTTTGCCAAAAGTTGGTAAATTCTTTTCTTGGCACAACAATTCCAAGGCCTCTTTCGATTGTTTGCGATAGGCCTCCATATTCACAAATAGGATAGAGAAAGAAAAACAAAAGATGGGAGGGGAGAACTGTTTTGCACTTTGTATGTATTTTAAATCAGCACTGAGCTTGGCCTCTGGAAATTACACAAAAACAAGTATGCAATTTCTTTTAGTGCTAAGACCTCCTTTACAGGTAAAATCTAGCAAGCACTAAAAATCTCTAAATATATCCCACTAGCTTCCGCCAGTTTGTCACGTGCGTGGGCTATAGGCCCAGCCGAGACAGTGGGGAGAGTGTGGAAGTGACAGGGTTAATGACACCAGACCCCTGGTTACCTGTTGCTAGTCCCAGCAACCACGCAATTAACCCCTGCAATCCCTTCTACACTAACCCCCTTAATACACTTTCTACTGCCACCACCAAGACTTTTAAACCCGGGCGTCTTAGGTTACCCCACACACAGGAGAATTATAGTATCACAGTTCTACTTTTACTGATAAAACATATATAGTTAACCCTTTTTGGTAACGTGTTTACCTGAGCTTTCCTCTGGAGAGTGAAGCTCACAGAGAACAGAGACACAAGCTGATTAAGTAAACATTTAATCTGACAAAAAGGATTCACAGTGCTGAGTACAAAATACAGAAATAAATGACATACAGATAACAAATTGCAAAACAGTACATAAAATAGGAGAAAACACAAGAAATTCCTTACATATATTTACCCCATATAGAATTCTTGTGGGAGTCTTAGATGGTATTGGTCTCCTAGAAGTTACTGACAAAAGAAAAATGAATAACTGACTTCCCTGGATAGTCCAACACCCTCATATATCTAAACTAGTTGTTTCTCAGTGGGCAGACCCCTGGGGGGGGGAATCAGAGGGGGTTGGTCTGGCAGTCTATTGTCCACTCTATTCAATTCCTTGTGTCCAGCTCTGGTGATGGCTATCTAGATGTTTTATGGTCTAGGCCTGGTGCAAGATCAAAGACCACAATAAATGTCATCCCAAGGTTTACAAAAAACAACTCAACTTATATAAACACACATCAAACACCAACTCATGCTTTTGGCATGACAGGTGCATTTTGAGAAAATGTGGCAAAAACACAATGAGTACAATATGGTCGATCTGTGAATATCCGTATGTGTAATCTATTGTAACACAAGCAACGTTTTGACTATCAAAAGAGCCACTCCTGAGGCTTGAGAAAGGCTGTTGTGAGAGCCTGAAATGCCACTTGTGTTAGAATAAATTCCATATACAGGAGCTTTAGTTGCTCTAGGCATTGTTTCCCCAACATAATACTCTAAAAGAAAGGGGGGGGCCTAACTGTCATGGAGGACTGATGTTTCGCAGGAGCTCCTCCACAATCTTTGCATTGAAAGCGATACACGGCCCCATTCAGCCTGATTTTGGGACTACCTGGAGCCCACTCCGGTGCCTGACATTGCTGGGCCCGGTAGTGGGGGTCGGTGACCTGGAGAAAGTCGAGCAACCACACTTGCGACAGCATGCGACCTTGTGTGCACCGGGCGGGGGAGCGGCCACTCTCCCGCTCCGAGGAGACACTGCTATGGTGGGGCAGGCACCCTGTTATCTCCCCACCTCCCTGGGACTATTGGGGGTGATCACTACACTCCGATGGGGAGACGGATGGGTGAAGGCTGGAAGGCAAGCAACTGACCCCACTACTGGCTCATCCCTAATCGCGGACACCTCGTGCCTCCCTCGCAGATCTTAACGCAGAGACCACGCTTCTGACAAAGCTAGTGGCTAGCCTGGCGGCATTCTGGATAAAGCTGGAGACGCGGGTACTGCAACAGGCCTCATCACAGGTAAGCAGTCCGTTACCCGAACGACACCCTGCACACGCACAGAACATACCTGCAGCTCCCACAGGGAAGAGGAGCCCACACAGAAGGCAGCTCAGGCCCCACGTGTCACACCAGCACAAGCAGCGGCAAAAGCAAAGCCAGACACGCAGGAGACTTGAGCCTGCACCCAGCGGAGGGTCTCCGGTAATCCTGGCAGCCAATGCACAAGGGTCTGTCCGGCCCCACATGAAAAGACCGAAACCCAGAGGCATGAAGCACCTCATTAAGCTGCCCACCCGTGGGTTACCCTTGACGGGAGTCGGCTGAAAAAAATTAAGGCGCCAGAAGGACCAGGGCTTCATTTTAAACGTATGTGCCCCCCAAACACACAGCGTATAAGGATGACCCGAGTCTCAGCCTTGCCTCATAACTCTGACATTTTAACCTCCCTGCCTCATGGACTTGATCTGAGATGGAATCTCCTGGGACATTCAAGTAATTTGCTAGCCTGAGCTTACAGATCTAAATTGAACCCACTTTTTAAGCATATGACCGTATCATATTTACATGTCAGCAAATATAGCATACTGAAGATCATACTGCATGTTGTTAACCCTCTGACATAACTTAATAGGCCTGCTTATATTGCCTGCACAGTCAATGACAGGGTACCGCCACTTTAGTGCTATGCCATCGGATTACCAAGATGACGCCACACTTACCCAAGATGCTGAGGCGGGGCCAGTTGTTTCTTGACTACTTAGGCAATGTTTACTAGCCTGTAATTGTTGTTAATGTTCGAACTACTGTATGTCTATCTCCAGCTTGACGATCTTATTGTGACTTATTATGATAGACCTGCTCTCATATTCTGACTACTTAAAAAACTGCATAACATGCTCGCATATTACAGTTCCACTAGCTTAGTCAATCAAGCACCGTTAAACTTTGATTACTTAACTTGCTTAGACGACATACCTGCTTAGATATGCCTGTTATATGTAGAGAGCAATTTGTGTGATTTTAAACATACTTCATTTTTTCATAATTAACTTAAAAAAATGTACTCATACTCTTGAACACCCCAATGTTAGGTGTTGAAACTCAGCGTGGGGAATGCCGTTGGGGTACCAAACGCATGCTGTTATATTTCTCTGCACTGCAAAAATATTTTTTTACATTTTTTTTTTTTTTTAAATACCCTAAAAGAAGGGTGAGTGCATTAATGCACAGAGCGGAGTTTCAAGCTGCTAGAGACAGGCCACAAAAACCATAAAACAAAAAATATTCTGCACAGCAAGCCCAGTAATGAGTAACTCACAAGTAGGCAAATGTTTTACTTTAGCTTTATTTGTAATTTATCTCCCCCACCCCCACCCTCTCTCTCTTTCAGTACAAAACGCGTGGACCACTCAAACACAAGACTAGCCTCTCAGCTTGACCGAAACCCAGGTTTGTATATTTTACTTTTTTTGCCACCTTTGTAAGTCCTCTTTTGCATTAAACGTATGTTTGTAGTATGGTTTGTAATCTTTGTTTTGAGCTCATACACAGCGTAAAGGACCACTATAGTGCCAGGAAAACACACCCTCTTGGCCCCCCTCCCGCCGGGCTCTAGGGGGAGAAAAGGGTTAAATCCTTACCTTTCTCCAGCACTGGGCTCCCTTGGCGCTGGGGACTCTCCTCCTCCTTTCAACGTCATCGGCTGAGTGCGCATGCGCGTATTCAGTCAGTCCACAGGAAAGCATTTCTCAATGCTTTCCTATGGACGCTGGCGTCTTATCACAGTGAGAAGCGCGGAAGCGCCTCTAGTGGCTGTCAATGAGACAGCCACTAGAGGCTGGATTAATCCATTTGTAAACATAGCATAGTCTCTGAAACTGCTATGTTTACAGCAGGCGGGGTTAACCCTAGATGGACCTGGCACCCAGACCACTTCATTAAGCTGGGTGCCAGGTCCATCTATAGTGGTCCTTTAAAGGGAAATTATAGTGCTAAGAAAATGCTAGTTTAGCTAGCACCATAACACCCCAGAACCTACTCCCCCATTGTGCAGAAATGGTTATTAACCCCCTTATGTCACTTAACATATACCAGCGCTGATGTCCATCTGCACTATTTCAGGCTACACCTCTGCTCCTTCTCCGTAGAAGTCAGCCAGCAGGGGGATCCTAATGCGCATTCACAGCAAACGACACGCTCGCATTAGGACTTTCCCCATGGAAAAGCATTGTATAATGCTTTTCTATAGTGTTTTGGGTAACTGTGGGTGTCCTTCTGCAGAGCTTGAGCATGTCCAGTGTCCGTTAGGCAACCACTTGAAAGTCTCTTTAGCACTTTTATCTGGCTGATAACCATACCAAGGGCTTGTTTATTTATAAACTACTTGTTCTGGGCATATTAAAAATCTGCTGTTAGCCATTTTAACAGCTCAAAATTTTAAAGATCGTGAAGTGCAGATACTTCCAGTAGTGGAGGACTTAAACAAGATGGCCACCCCATTGAGCAAGAGTAAACAAGGAAATAAATTTGAGTTACAAACGAATACTTAATCTAATAAGTGTCGTTCTATTTTCAATAAAAACATAGCAATTTTCCTGTTTGGCAAATGATTTATTCTTGCCTAATCTTTGAAAGTTAAGCTTGTTTCTATAGATGAGCTTTGTGACTGGAAGGTAAGTCAAAGAATGATAAACTAAAGAGCAACTAGACTTCCAGTAGTTGGTTTTGCTTTGCTCCTATGGTGGCATGTTGAAGTAAAGATATTTTTAAAATTTGGAGAGATAAAATAACTATGAGGACTATGCATCTGGTGTCTTTTATCGGGAAGAAGTTAAGCAAGAAAGAAGATTAAATTAACTTTTTCACCTTATTTCCTTTACTGCCACTGTACATTATGCTCACAATTACCTTTTGCCATTTAAACTTTGCTTATCCATTGATAGTTTTTCATTTTCAGTAGATGAGAACCTACTGACGTGGTGAACCCAGTAAAATTATTTTTGTTTGAAGACAGGCATTACAATGTTAATTGAAGTCTTCTGTATAATGTCCAAACATTTATGGGCAGTAAAAATGTGTGTAATAAATCATGCCTTAAAGACTTACTTCTTTTGTTTTTAATCTTTCTCTGCTAAGGATCAGATGACAATAATCTCAATTCCATATTTTATGAGCACTTGACCCGCTCTCTGCAGCACAGCCTGTGTGGAGATCTTCTGCTTGGTCGATGGGGGAATTACAATACTGGAGATTGCTTCATCCTTGCCTCGGATTACCTGAATGCCCTGGTACACCTTATCGAAATAGGCAATGGACTTGTCACATTTCAGCTCAGAGGGCTTGAGTTTAGAGGTAAAATATATGCCACACCAGAGTGGTAATAAAAACTACACAAAGTTTTAGCCTGCCTTTACTTTAAACTAAATCTTGGTGATCTCCAGAATTTGCCTGACTTTAAAATGTGTTTTGTTTTTTGGGGGGTTTTTTTTTTTTTTGGTGTTACATAGGAACCTATTGCCAACAGCGTGAGGTTGAAGCCATCACGGAAGGTGTAGAAGAGGATGAAGGTTTCTGTTGCTGTGAGCCCGGCCATATTCCCCATATGCTGTCTTTTAATGCAACCTTTGGTCAACGCTGGCTTGCGTGGGAAGTCCTGGTTACAAAGTACGTCTTGGAAGGCTATAGCATCACAGACAACAGCGCAGCTTCTATGCTTCAAGTGTTTGATCTGCGTAGAATCCTTACCACTTACTATGTCAAGGTATTTAAAAAAAAAAAACTATTTTGTAGTCACTGTATGGGGATAATAAAACTGAAAGCTGTGTGTTCAATATTAGTGTTTTTCAACTCTGAAACAAAGGCAGTTAAATTCACTGTTTTAAAGGAACATTCCAGGGACCATTAACCATCGCAGTAGTTAATTTGTTTGGCTAAAGTTGAAGGATTTGCTCGAACACCTAATGCTCTCAGCCGATCACTTCTGCATTTTCACTTCACGAGTGCTGATGGTCCACATTAGCTGATCACCAGAGGAGAGGCAGTGTGACCGGTTAATGAGGGGCACTGTTGGGAAAAGAGTTTAGCAGTGGAATATAGTCGACCGCACCAGAGGACTCAAAGTACCATAACCACTTTAGTGAGATGAAGTGGCTATTGGACTGGGAGAGTTCCTTTTAATACACAAGTGAAGGCAAAAACACCTTTCTCATCCAAGAACTCCCATGGAAGAAAAACTTCACATCACAACACTATAGGGATGTAGCTATAACATCTAAGACTGTTATAGATTTTAAGCACTTGGTAATACAAATTGGTGTCTATTTGTTTTTGTTTTTTTATAGGTATGCTTTGTTTATACAATTAATTAGAAAGTTTAAGCTTCATTCCTGCCAACAGATTTTGAACTTTTTTTAATTCTCCTTGTGAATCTTCAGTGTTGTACATTATGCAATTGTGATAAGCCAGGTTCTTGATACCCACTCCATTGGTCCCTTCCAGTTGTAGTTTATTACAGTTAATATATAATATTCTGCAGCACTGAACAAATTGTAAACCAAGACAAACAATTCTATCATCTCACATGGCAGTCTCCACTGCTCTAATTTCTATATACTGCCAAGTTACTTTCCTGTACTGCTCTGAAAAGATTAAAGATTTTCTTTGCAATTTTCTAAGAGAATAGCTTGGATAGACCAATTTAAACTCTCCATTGTGGTCGCAGGGCATTATCTTCTATGTGACCGCCTCTGGGAAACTCGAAGAGTGGCTGGCAAATGAAACCATGCAAGAAGGCCTCAGACCATGCTCTGATCACTGCTATGTGGATGTAGATCCAACATTTAACCCAAATATCGATGAAGATTATGACCTCCGCCTGGCTGGGATTTCTCGGGAAAGTTTTTGTGCTAGTTACCTTAACTGGATCAAATATTGCTCCTCTCGGCGGGAAAAGGTGAGAATAAAAGCCTACTCTAAGCAAATATATAAACAAATTGCACATGTGTTAAGAGTATACTATGTGCAATTTGTGTATATATTTGTTTAGTGCAGAAAACTCGTAGTCACATGTTAGTCGAATTGCCCTACTTCAAGATCTCTTGGCTCATACCTAGATGGTATTTTTAAATATCACCTGTTCATCTAGAGCTGTAATGTACTGAGGTTTCAAGAAAAAGAAATATTAAGAGTAAATCTGTTGCACTTTGAGTGTATGTCCTTGTTGAACTCAAAACGAATAGCAAGTAGATTTCATCCTAAAAAGTCCTATTATATATTGGATAACATCATTTGAAATGCCATTGTGCTGATATGTATATCTTAGATACTTAGTAAGAGTCCATGGGATTTTTGTGGCTACCTATTGTTTTGGCCAGATTATCGATCTCCAGAAGTTGCATTATTTTTTCTTATTCAGATACAAGATGGCAAGATTGTAGGAATGTCAGTGCAATAGAGGCTTGACTTGGCATCATGGCAAACATAATCTGCGGAAAAAAATAAAATTTAATTGCCACAGACTCTTAATTCTCTGCAAAGTAATGTAATTTATTAAAACAAAGTAAAAAACAAATGTAATTGTGTTTTGTTTTTTTGTTTTTTGTTTTTTTTAAGCCTCTGGATGCTGAGAAGGATTCCCCTTTGGTGACACTTTGTTATGGTCTCTGTATTCTTGGGAGGAGAGCATTGGGTACAGCTTCTCATCACATGTCCAGGTAGGTTACAATAAATGGTCTGATTTATATTCTATCAAGTGGAGATAAAACACCTGAGCTCACAAATTGACCAAAAAACGGAATATCTCATTAATAGGTCTAGCGGGTTACTCTTAAATATATATAGAGAATCGACTGGTATCCAAAACAGAAGTTTGTAATGAGATGCACAGTTGGATTTTGTTTGGAGAGGTGCTTGATATGTAAATTGACCAGTAAAAAGATTATTCCATGCTAATGTCCTGCGTAATTCTATTTTTACTAAAACCCTTTTTACTTCTGAATAAAGTTGAAATGCACACACTATTGCTCTTTAAATTACAGAGCATATTTTGTAATGAATATGTATCCTCTGGCTATTGCTAATTGACATTGACAAGTAATTTTTTACTCGTCTTTCTCTGTATATTGCCAGTAACCTGGAGTCCTTCCTGTATGGATTACATGCTTTGTTTAAGGGAGATTTCCGCATCTCTTCCATCCGTGATGAATGGATATTTGCGGACATGGAGCTGTTGAGAAAAGTGGTTGTTCCTGGCATACGCATGTCATTAAAACTTCATCAGGTAACTTATTTCTGCTTCAAACACAGCAGATGAGTCTGTTGCTACCCTAGCATTTCCTCCTATTATAGGTCATACAAAGTTATATTCCATATAGCCATATACTTATTACTTACTGTTCCTATGGCATTGCTCTATGATGGAGGGTACCCTTCTGTGACTTTAAACACAATTCCTTGCGCTCAAAGTGTAGTCGATAAAAAGGTATAGGGAAAAATAAATCTCTATTGTTAGATATATAACAAAATTAATACAAAATTTGTAGCTGATGGTAAAGTTTAATGCCACTATTACTAGCCCAAGGGGAGATTACAGGTCTTAAAACACGCCTGCTTTGGCTGAACGCATTTCACGTCTTAGCGACACTTTCTCAACAGTCCTGTTCACTTGTATTGTGAACTAAGGTACGATTTCTAATCTGTAATGGTTAGAAAGCTTTTAAAAGTGATTGGTATTTTTAGTTTTTTTTATTTCCTTTCTTCCTTGTGTATGTGTTTCTAGGACCACTTCACATCTCCAGATGAATATGACGATCCTGCTGTCTTGTATGAAGCAATCATGTCACATGAGCAGAACCTTGTGATTGCACATGAAGGTGATCCAGCATGGCGGAGCGCCGTTCTTTCCAACTCCCCATCTCTGCTTGCCCTGCGCCATGTTATGGATGATGGAACCAATGAATACAAGATTATCATGTTAAACAAGCGCTATCTTAGTTTCCGCGTCATCAAGGCAAGTGTTGGCCATCATTGTTCTTTATTCTTAAAAGAATATAACTGCCTGTATTTACAAGCAAAAAATGTATTCTGTTGCGGGTACAAATTAGTTTGGGAACCGCTGTTAACTGGTAATGTACTATAAATATTAAATTTTTACAACCATATTAATTTATCCTCCAGGTTTTAAATATTATGAACGGTTGTGTAACAATTCTGGATAACCGCTATTGTATTATTGATAACCAAAGACAATTGTAGGCTTCACTTCGGGCAGAGCTTGGAAGTAGGTTTCAAACAAGGAAGGCATTGCATGCCTTTTAATTTGATTTGTTTTTCCAACAATTTTTATTTTAATTTTAATTTTTGACAGGTAAATAAAGAGTGCGTACGAGGTTTATGGGCAGGCCAACAGCAGGAACTGGTTTTTCTTCGCAATCGGAACCCAGAGAGAGGAAGTATTCAAAATGCAAAGCAGGCTCTCAGGAATATGATCAACTCTTCTTGTGACCAGCCGATTGGGTACCCAATCTATGTTTCCCCACTGACAACATCCTACTCCGACACCCATGATCAGCTCAAGGACATTCTTGGGGGCCCCATAAGTGTGGCAAATATCAGGAACTTCATTGTGTCTACATGGCACAGGTAAGCAAATATTTAATGTATCGATAGAATATTTAATTAGGATAAAACTTTCATGGTTTCATAATTTCATCTTCTCATTTAAAAACTTTTGTCAGGCTGAGAAAAGGGTGTGGAGCAGGATGCAACAGTGGTGGGAATATTGAGGACTCTGACGCTGGAGGCGGGACCTCCATAAATAGTAACAATCCATCAAATCCAAATGATGCTCAGAGCAGTGCATCACAAGGTGGTATCCCAGGTGGGACCGGACATGTGCACACAGCACGTCTCCAGCCTCCAGGTGTGCCTCATCCATCAACACTAGGTGAGCTTGAAAATGGGCTGTAACAAAGTTCTGTATGTGATACTACTATGCACTTCATCCTGTAACACTATAGGGATTTACTATTTAAATTCCTGAGTTCTTTGTTCAATATCTTTCTTGTGATTAGAGAAGCAAGGAAAGGAAGTATTAACCAGCAAATGTAATAGCACAGGCTGTAGTTTACGTTTACTTTGAAACCAAAATAAAAAGCTGTAACTTTGAGAAATGTCTGTAATTTATATTTTTATAGCACACTAGGGGTATTCTTGTTTAACAAATAATATATCTCCGTTAGCAATCTATCCAAGATTTTGGTCTGATGACAGATATATACGTTAGGAAAAGTAGCTTTTTTTACATTTACTGTTTTCCTTAAGGTAGATCAACATAGAGGTTTATTTTTAACCTGATGGTCTGTTCTCTCTTTCCTGCAGCTTCACCAAAATATGAATTTCTTTTCCAGGAACCAGCCACAGTTCCCACTCAATGCAGTCTAGCCTCGTCCGACATTCCCCTGCTCGCGGCTCTGTAGCTAGTCAGTCTTCTTACTGCTACAACAGCCGTCACTCATCACTTCGAACGTCTACAACAGGATTTGTGCCTTGCAGGCGCTCCTCCACCAGCCAGATATCACTTCGCAACCTACCCACATCTATTCAGTCCCGATTGTCCATGGTGAACCAGACGGACCCTACTGGACAGTCAGTTGTGGTTGGCCTTCCTTCCTCTAGCAGCTCCAGCCAGAGCATTCCTGCATGCAAGAGACACACCTTAGTGGGATTTTTGGGAACAGAAGGAGGAAATAACCTCAGTGAAACACAGTCCTGTGGCAGTTCTAGTCCAGCAACGCATTCAAGAGCCAAAAAGGAAGATGTTGTTTATAGAGTCCAGGTGCGGCCAATGCAGCCTTCTTGATAATGTGATGGCTTTTCGTTCTTAAAGAGTGGCATGCAATTCTGTAAATCTGTGCAAAGCCAAGCCTGAAGGGCAAACAAACCACACTAAGAAAAATTACATTCCAATACCGGTGTAATCTGTTTCAGATGTTTGTTGTCTGAAATTTAGACAGGGATCGTAAATATATTTAAAATGGTTGTCTAAGAAAAAGGCTTGTGTAGCTCTGGAAAAAAAACAAACATTGAAACCTATGATAGTTCATGAATCTGATTTTTGGCTAAAAATAAATATATTTAATTTATTTTAAAATGCAGATTACGCCTCTGGTTGAGTCAGTTTTAACATCTGATAACCTCTTTTTCATATGTTCTCTCCAGTTTACTGGTAATGTTACAAATTGAAGATCATTATAGAATTGAAGTAACTCCATCTTACTCCAAGCTCCATGTCTGCTTCATAGTTTTGAAGTGCCTATGGTGCATGGAACTTTGAGCAGTGTCTCCGTATCAAACGCACATGCAGATATATTGAGGCTATCCGTTGGGAGTGTAAATCCTCTTCAGGTTGCATAGTTAGCTGGTCTCAAATTTAGTTTACTCATTGCCTGGGGAACTCCGCTAACAATGTCCGCTAATAAATGAACAACTGGGTTGGCATCTAGCTTTTGCAGTTTTGCAGATACCATTCATCTGGTGTTAGAGGAAGCTCTTTGCCTGCTGGGACCCAAGGAAGAGGCAAACCACTAGAAAATTATTTGCCCTTTTACAGGAGAAATACACCAGGTTACTCCTGGCATCATAACCACTATATTAAGCTGTAGTGGTTATGGTCCTTGATGCAACCCTTTTAAAAACATTCTGATGAGCTGAATTTAAATAGTTGCCCAAATGTTAGTTGCATTCAATGATTTTTAGGGGACACACAAAGTTTTGTTGGTAAAAGTGAAATCCTTCAAAAGGTCACTCGTGCATTTTCAGTTTTACTTCTTCAGGGTATAGAACAAATTAGTGTCTTTGAAGTTTTTATTGGTTGGGGGATGGGGTGGGGCGGTTGTCTTATTTTTATTCCTTTTTATTTGATTTGGCTGTTTTGTTTTGGACTCTTTACAAGTTGTGTTTTTTTTTTGTTTTTTGCTAAAGGGGCGTGCGGTTAGTTTTCAGATCTCTGTGAAAACACCACAATTTTATTTATTGTGCTCACTCTTAGATTGTGGATCCAAGCCAAGTGCTTGAAGGAGTCAATATATCCAAACGGAAAGAGCTGCAGTGGCCAGACGAGCTGGTGCGGCTAAAAGCTGGAAGGAATAGCTGGAAAGACTGGAGCCCTCAGGAAGGCATGGAAGGCCATGTAGGTTTGGCTGATTACCATTAATATCTCCAAAGGAGGCAACATTTTTTGTTAGCTGCAAGCAGTAAAATATCTGAATCAAAGATGGATCTGGGAGGACAATTTAAATTTAACTGTGTTTCTTGGGTTCACCCTCCCCATATTTTTGTTTCTCAACGAAGAGTCTGTGTATAAATATTTATATACAAATATGTATGTATGTCAAGTATAACTTGAGATCTCAACCGAGACCGAACCATTGCACTGTTGCTTTAATAAAACAGGGATTTCTGCCTTATCAGAATCTTCATTAGTTACTTTTGTGTGTCCTTTCAATACGAAACATTGGGTGTAATTAGTTTAAAGCAATTTCTTCTGACCCAAGAATTGAACAAGGAGAGAAATTAAAACTTATTTGTATCACTGTATGCTTGTGAAATGTACTGAAGTATACTAAAACAGCGTGCTCTTTTTCTGTGCACCACATCCTCGAATGCGATGTCTACTTCCCTAGAGTAAAAACAGATTAAACTTTTATTATGATGATTGCACTTTTTTTTTCTCTCGATCTAAAGGAGTCATATATACTTTTTAATTTTTTTATTAATTAGCTCTTATATAATCTCCCCAGCGCTTTATTAGAACAGGGTTGTACACGTCTAACATGTGAGGTCTTAAAACTCTTCTATAGCATTAGCTGGACTCCCACACTGTAGACCAGGGATGCCAAATGTTTTAAAACTACAGCTTCCATGATTATTTGTCATTCTAAAGACATGCAAAGCTTCATGGAAGTTGTAGTTCTAAAACACCTGGGGATCTACCTTTTGTAGACTAATTGTTACTTTGTAGACTTCCTTTATAGATGTGGCAAAAATCTGTAAATGTTGCCACTGATTTAAATAGGAAATACATTTTCAAAACCATACATGTCTTGCTTAGTCTGTAAAATAACCCCATATCACCAGTTGCTTTTAACACATTCCCTTTTTAAATGATAAAATTATATGGCGTAAAGACATGTTTTATTTTTATTTTCTAAAGCTTATTACATGTTTTTGTCATTTGACAAAAAACGCAAAGGTAATAAGACCAGAACTTGATATGAATATTTTGTTTTGTAATTCAGTTCTTCCTCTTTGATCTTTCCTTTTTTTATTTTTTTTTTCCCCTCTTCTTTCTTGTATTGGTTTCTACAGGTAATTCACCGCTGGGTGCCTTGCAGCAGAGACCCTTACAATAGGTCCCATATTGACAAAACAATCCTGCTGATTAAGATTGAGGACAAATATGTTGCTGTAATTGAATCTGGTGTGCTTGAACTTGGGGCCGAAGTGTGAGACTGCATTTGTCATCTTTTCAAGGATTAATACTGAACTGACAACATTATAAACCTGTTTTGAGACAGAGTTCAAGATGCAAGAGGCGTTGATAATACCCAAACCTGTAAAATTTACTCCCCCCGCCCCCCACCTTGTCTTGGTTTTTCTAACCGTTTGAATGTCAGAGAGATGTGTATCACATTGTAAAACACTTTATCTTACCTCTCTGGCAGCTAAGTGGTTAATTTGTGGTTTAAATAGTTTTTTGTTTTTTTTTAAACCTACACTATATTATGTGTTTAAATTATCTGTTGCTATGCATTTCATATGCTTTAAGTCAAAAACATTTTACTTTTCAGTTCAGAGTATGGTCTCTATTTTTTATTTTTTTTCTTTATTTATTTGCCAAAAATAATTGCCATATTATCCAATACTTTGTACCGTGTTTTTTTTTTTCCCTCTTGTGTACAGATATAGTTTGTTTATCGGACTTCATACATGTTTTATACACAGCAGGTCGCTGCAAGCTTGATACTTTTATTTTTCCTTTCTTGTGGCAAAATCTTTTGAGAAAACTGCACTAAACAGTTTTGTTTTCTACAACAATGCACTAAAAAAGTCTATCAGTCAGAGCATTTATTTATAAATCTATATGTGTGTGTGTATATATACAGAAAATTCCGTAATTTAAATAGCTTTTATTATGAAATCCTTTTCTGAACCTGTCCCTATTGTATTTGCAAACAATTTTATGTAAATGGCTGGACCGTTGGTTTCCCTGTGTACTGACGAAATGCATGCAATTTACACAAAATATTTAAACACTAAGAGCCCCTCCCCCCCCAAATTTTGTTTTTATCAATCACTAGTGGTTGAAACTATAAGCAGAAAAGGTAAAAATTCTAAAGCAAATTAGATCCATGTATAGCTGCAATGCCCTTTGTTTTTGAATAAGATTACTGCTAAAGCAAATATATATAAATGGGGCAAATGGCACTCAACTTTAAAGCCATGTTAGGTGAAGTGCTTTGATATCTGTATACAGGACATTTTAATCTGGTGCAGCTACCGAGCGCGAAGACTTTTTTTTTTTTTCTTTTTCAACACGTGCCTGCTTAATCAATAGGGAAGTTGTATATATCTACATAGCTCGGTGAATAATTAAGAACTGCTTCACCCGTTTGTATTCTAGGGCAGAAATCCCCGAGCCAGACTGGGTTTAAAAAAAAAAAAAAAGTTAAAATTCTATTTAGATAATTGTAGCATCAGGTGTTTAGTAACCAGTCCCCTCAGTTTGTCTAACTGTAGTTTGAAACATGTCGGATAAATTTACAGATTTCACAACCCATTTGGTTTATTGTGTTGGCAATGCACCCTTCCCCTATTTTACTTTCCACAAGCTCTTAACACACGTTTAACACCTTAAGGACACATGACATGTGTGACATGTCATGATTCCCTTTTATTCCAGAAGTTTGTTCCTTAAGGGGTTAAATGCCTTTAAACCTGCATAAGATTGCAAAGGCTTATATAAACCTTCTGAATACTTTGGGCCTTGTGGTACGACTGCCATTTAGTTTCTGAGCGGAGTTTAGTCATTTTGTGGCTGTAAATTAATAAATCCATAACCGTTTAATTTCTTTAAATATGGCCAGCTAACAATCTAATGACATATCATACCTTTTTACGAGAACCTCTTAAAGCTAATTTTATATAACTTCCCCTGTATTTTCATGCATATGAAATGGATGTTTTAAGTATTTATAACTGTGAAATGGATTTATTCATCTGTGCTGTCAAAAATGTAGGTCTGTAGAATTATTTTTCATTGTGTGTGTTTTTCAAGAAGTGAGAGTATCACGACTCCAAACAGCAATTATATAATGAGATTTTTAAATTCTATAAATTGAATTTTCATTTGGTTTGTTGTCCTCTGGACATGTGGTCAATTGCCACAAGGGGCAGCCATTTAAATATGTAGTTTCCATCAAAATTGCCTTCACTTGCTATTTTTAATCCAGATGACTTAATTTATTTGAAATATAACTTTCCTTTTGTTTTCAGTTAGTTAAAGAAGCTCAGGAAAAGTTCTGCTTAATGGACATTTTGCAATATATTTCTTGTGCTGTTTTGGGTCAGGCAGCATGCCTACCTTCTGGAATGTTATAAATTTATTACAAAACAGGTTTTTCGTGTTTATTTTCTTTTTAATTTTCTTTTTTTATGTGTATTAATTTCTACACAAATATAGCGTATCAAAGAACATTTTCTCTGGTTTCAGGTCTTTCTGGCTAAGTACGTGTTATACAAAGTTCTTTTTGATGGAGGTCTTAAGAGTCTGCCCCCCCCCCCCCTGAAATACGTTGTACTAAAGGAGGCTTGGTGTTAAATTAGAGAATAGAAAAATGAAACCAATCCCAAATTGAAGCAATTATTTTATGGATAAAATTACTCTGTATATGGCAAGACAAACAGGTCCTGTGGTGCTTGCTCCTCTGTTCGTTATTTTTCAGAAACAGTCTTCAAAGTCTTCAGACTGTGTGTAGCGGACACCTGCAAATCCATGTGTAAGCACCATAAATGGTGATTTCGTGAAAAATGTTTTATACCTGTCAGAAAAAACCACAATCGTGTGAATTACAAAATACAAGACATAAACGTCTACACGGCATGAAAGAACAGGGGAACAAAATAACCCCCTCCCCCCCACCTCAAAGGCCAGCTGGATGCATTTCGTGTTTAGTTACTTTTTTTTTCCTCTAATAGTCCGACTATTTGTGTTTTGTAGTTCACATGTGGCCTTTTTTTCGTTCGATCTATAATTTTTCAATAAATTGCCCTCTCTCATGGAGCTACACGTGGTTTTGTTGTCAGTGGAGTGTGGTCCAAAAACGTCCTTTGTTTTCTAACTGAAATACAATGCCAATTTGAAAACCATGTAGTAGGCAGGGGTCTAGTTTAGCTATTTACTTGCCGTTTATCAATCATCACACCCTGAAAATCCAATGTCTTCTGGAACTCAAGGGGCGAGCGTATTGCTTTTAAACATTCTATTACTGTTGAGTCAAATTTCGAAAAGGAACTATTTCTTCTTTATGCAATGTAGCGGATGTGTCAAACCTTGCTTTTAAAGTGGTATGCTAAAAGTCCTAAAAAATTGATTCATTGCAACAGTTGTGATTCTAAACACGCTTTGTTGAAAGTGGCTTATAACTGATAACTCAAAATCAATACAGCTATAAGCCTGGCTCTCTCAAGTCAAGAGGGATATTTCCTCCTCTGCTGTCCACAATGCTAAACGTTTGCATGCAATTTTAGGTGAAAAGGCTCAGGTTTGTCAAGGACAGTCTTTGATACATCTGCTTCTGATCCAAAATAAGGTAAAATACACAAATTTAAGTAATTTCCAATTGTGCCATGCAACGTGGGAGTGGGGGAACCTTCTTGACTTCATAATGACAATCTGATCTCTCAGTGAATCCACAAGCTTTCCATGCATATTCATAATTTTGCCCCCTCTCTTCTTAACCAATCTTAAAAGGATGTTGGAAGAGAATCCTATAGGTACCTAAAACCAATTCTGAGTCTCCGTAATAGCATTTTTACGAAGGCAAACATCTTATTGGAAATACACGTTTAATATACACGAAGAGAGCTCAAACAGCCATGTTCACACTAATAATGTCCTGTAGGTAGTATAAATTAATCCTGATTTTTATTTTATCCATTAAAATATGGAAAACATATCGCCTCAAATGTAATTTCAGGGTAACATGGACGTTTATAGCATTTATAGTCGGTAGGCAACAAATCAACATTCTATTAAACTTACTGATTATGTTCCTATTGATGGTGATGAATAAACCACATTTTTTAAAGAAAAATTTGTTAGGTTAGATCTCGCATTTAAACAAACTAAATCGGAATCCTAAATGTGGCCTTCAACAAAGAAGGAATTATTGAATGTGCATTGCATGTTAAAGAAGAGGGCTCAATTGGTACACAAAGTCTATTGGCTGTTCTAGCATCTGAGTGGCAAGTAAGTCCCACCTCGGTCAATTCAGGCTTTCTTACTTTTGATTTTAAAATTAATACCATTTGAGTTGATTTAAACATCTGTACCAGGCAACATACATGAACAAAACATTGCACCCTTACTGGTTAAAAAGAAAAAAATATAATAATCCAGTATAACGTATATTACTAGCTTTTTTAAGTATCTTACAATGAGGCATTTTTGATTTAGCACTAAATCCCATGGTCCCTTGAGTTTTTAAGGATTGTTTCTACTAGTTTGTCTGTTTAAAAACAAACGGAATTGGGGGGGGGGGGGAGAGGTGGGGAAACAAATGTACGTTATATTCTTCAGTTACATTGTTTTTGTATGTTGATTGACCCCAATTTTTCTACGTTCACATTTATATAGAGAATTTATACTGAATAAGAGGATGTTCCAAAAGTAACCATTTTTAGTCTACTCAAATGAAGGTCTGTTTCCTTATGAATCTTCAGTGAAAGGTACTTTCCAATCACATTTCTTATTTTTAGTATTAGTGGCGTTGCAGTCAGCTTAATGTATTCTCTACCGTAATGACTTAGTCAAATGAGAGATTCTTAAACCGGTATTTGACATTTGGTGTATCTGTATTTGTCTTATTCAGCAATCTGCACTATTCTTTTGGTATAGACTATACAAAGACCATGTTTTCCTCAATTTATTATCGAGAAGGCGCTATTGGAATTAAACGTCACCAATATTAGAAATGTATATTGGCTTTGTTTTTGTTCCAAAATAACATACAAGGTTTTTTATTACCAGCAATTTAAAAAGAAAATGGTTAGATTTAAGTGTGCTTGGAAACGGGCTGTAAATACTGTAATTATCTACAATTCAACTTTTTATTTTTTGTTTTGGGGTGGGGGAGTGTTGCAATATACAAATACAGTATTGTCAGTGGGTAACACTGAGAAATAAAACCATTTTTTTTTCCATTTGTGCTTCTGTCATTTTCCTTTGTTCCTTAAGACAGTGCTACATAGTAATGTTAAAGGTAATATAAAGTTAACTAGTCCCCCATGCTACCGTGTTAAGTGCTAATGGTTTTTTAAAAATAGATATCCGCCCATTTTTACAATTGAAGCATAATTTTGGGTTCCTGGTTTTACCACTCATTTCAAATATAAACCTACATGTACCATTTTTTTTCTCCAAATATTGCAATGTTCACAAATGTCTATTCTGTGTTAAAGGACCACTCCACACACAAAACACTTTGAGCACATCAGCCTCTTTCCCCATTTTCCATTGCTGCTGACAGACCTCAGATCAGCATACTTAATCTCCTCCAGACGAGGCATGTGCAGAGATTCACAGGCTCCTCAAAGAGAAAACCATTTCCTTGTAAAGGGACATGTCTTTGACGGGAAAAAAGGAGAGAGCTTGTAAACACAGCAGTTATAAGTAGTGCAGGTTTTGCAAGCCCTTTTTAGATACGTATACACCCAAAGACTACATGGATGTATTCATTGTTGGTATATCTACTAAATATAATTTTTTTAACGTGAAGTTTTTCTTTAAACGCTTTTGAAGCTGTTTTACACTAAAATACGGGCACTTGGCCACCCACACCCTGTCCCCTACTGAAGGTGTGGCTAAGGCAGACATTACATCTTTCCTTCCAGCTAGGATTTCAGTCACCGTTGGGGCTGTTAGATCCGGGAACTCGGGTGCAGTAACAGCTCTCCCTAACGGTGATCCTGAGGGTGAGAACAGGACAGTGTCGGGTTGTCAGCACGGAGGCTCTAATAAAGAAAGTCCAAGGCAAGGTATCTGAAGAGCAGTCAGGCACTGGTCAGGGCAGGTGGCAATCAGTGAGGTCAGAGGTAAAGCAAAGTTTGAAAATCAGCAACGACTGTAAAGTAAGGGAAACAAACACTAGGAGTTCTGAGGCAGGCAACAGCGCTGACTGACAGGTGTACTCTGCTTATAAGAGGGTTAAACCACATAACCTGGTCTCACCTGGAGGTGGGGTTAGCAGAGGTCAAATATAAATGATTGTGGTGCTAAGTGTACCATCTTTGCTAGGTCATCGTTATTGCCACAGCCCCTCGCCGTCTGACATGCTGACCAGTTCCCCCAGATGGACGGAACGAGTGCCGCAGGTTCCCTGGCCGTGAACAGAGGTGCAGGGTTTGCTGATTGGGGAACAGGATCCACAGGCACCATGACCACCACAGATTGACATCCATTTCTTTTTAGCCGTTTGTTCAAGCTTGTAGTTCCAAGTTTTAGTACATTTTTGGAAGTCTTTTTACTTTTTGTAGTTTTTCTTCCTATGTGAATTATAGAGCCCTTTCTAAATATATTGTACAAGTTGACAAAATAATGTAGTACTAAAAGTAGCTTGTTTTGATAGTAAAAACTATGGTTTGTTATTTTGCAAAGCACATGAGCATATTTCTGTCCTGAGATTTAGATACACACGTTGAATAAATATGGGAGAATATAACAAATAAATCAGACAATATGTTAATAAAATGCATAAGGAAGGGGCAGACCCCAACAAAGGACTATGGATCTTATGGAAGATTTAATCCCTTTCCCAACTTTAGGGCTTGCTACGCCTTTATACAAAATGAGGGGGTTAGCTTTGCTCTCTGCAGCCACCATACTTGCTGGATCAGATATTGGCAAACCACGTTTCTGGATTCAGGTTTGCAAATCTCTTTTTAAGTCCATTGCACTTCCCATAATCTCTAGGTTGGAGGATGCCCCCTGAGCTCCTCTGCAAACATCTTTTTAGTTGGTGTAAATTCACCGTTTGATGAAGCTTTCATTGCAAGAATTATTGTAGGGTAGCAATCTGGTCTTCTCATTTGATAGACTTTAAACATGCGGAAGTTACCAAGGATTCAAGTTTTCAGTAGGTGTCCTTGTTAGGGATCGACCGATATTGATTTTTTAGAGCCGATACCGATATCGATATTCTGTGAACTTTCAGGCCGATAGCCGATATAATTTGCCGATATTCTGTACATTTACCATTTTGGAAAATAAAAACTATTTCTAAAGGTTAATGCACAAAATATACATGCCACGTGTAGTGGATGCAGTGTGACAGGGGAGCTGTGTGTGTGTGTGTAGTGGATGCAGTGTGTGTCTTTGTGTAGTGTGTGTAGTGGATGCAGTGTGTTAATTCCTGCTTGGTTCACTGCTGCCCACCTTTAGTTTATTTAGTGAGCGCCTAACTCATCTTTGTTGTGTCTTTGTGTAGTGTGTGTGTAGTGGATGCAGTGTGTTTGTGTAGTGTGTGGGTTGTGGATGCAGTGTGTTTGTGTAGTGTGTGTGGAGGATGCAATGTGTGTTTGTGTAGTGGATGCAGTGTGTATTTGTTTAGTGGGTGTAGTGGATGCAGTTTGTATTTGTTTAGTGGGTGTAGTGGATGCAGTGTGTATTAGTGTAGTGTGTATATAATGAAAGCAGAGTGTTTGTGTAGTGTGTGGGTAGTGTGCGTAAAGTGAATGCTGTATATACTAAATGCAAAGTGTGTGTGTATATAATGAATGCAGAGTGTGTATTTGTGTAGTGTGTGTATAGTGAATGTAGTGTGTGTTTGTATAGTGTGTGTATATAATGCAGTGTGTTTGTGTAGTGTGCATTATATAAACATTACGCAAATACACTGCATTATATACACACACTATGCAAACACACTGCATTATATACACACACTACACACACACTGCATTATATAAACACTACACACACTGCATTATATACACACTGCACAAACACACTGAATTATATAAACACACTACACAAATACACTGCATTATATACACACTACACAAGCACACACTGCATTATATACACAGTGTGTTTGTATAGTGTGTGTATATAATGCAGTTTGTGTGTGTTTGTATAGTGTGTGTATATAATGCAGTTTGTGTGTTTGTATAGTGTGTGTATATAATGCAGTGTATTTGTGTGCATTGTATACAAACACACACTATACAAACACACACTGCATTATATACACAGTGTGTTTGTGTAGTGTCTGTGTATATAATGGAGTGTGTGAGGGGGAATTTTTTATTAAATTATTTTTTTATATATATATTTAATTATTATTTTTTGTCCCCCCTCCCTGCTTGTTACCTGGCCAGGGAGGGGGGATATGACAGTCCCTGGTGGTCCAGTGGTATTGGCTGAGCTGGGGGGGCGGAGAGCAAGCGCTTACTCACCTCCCAGCAGCTCCTCCAGCTCCCCAGCAACTCTCGCGGCCAGCGTGTCGCGCGGAGCGTTGCCATGGTGATCCATGGCAACGCTCTGACGGCCGCGGGTCTCGCGAGAGTTGCACTGGGGAGCTGCTGGGAGGTGAGTAAGCGCTTGCTCTCCGCCCCCCCAGGACCGCCGGGTTTGTAATGAGCCTGGCAGTCCTAGGAGGTATTATCGGCAATATCGGTATCTGAATTGGCCGATACCGATATTGCCGAGAATACCGAATATCGGCCGATTATATCGGTAAAACCGATAATCGGTCGATCCCTAGTCCTTGTAGAAGCTTTTCATAAATACTGGTTTCCAGTATGTGTCCCTTTCTTGGATATTACCTGTAAGTGATGTTTCCAGTAGAAATTCTTCTATGCTGTAATTTTTTTTCCTGGTTATTTTCTATTGCATCATCATACTCCTTATTGCTTTTCTGACATCTGAGAAGTGGGGATAACTCAAGAACTATGTTGCCAACAGGAATTGAAAATTAGGATAAGTATGACTTTTTTTTTTTTTAAATGTATACAACACAATAAAGCGTTTAAATTCATAGCATGGATTGCTAACTAAGTCTTTAAAAAGCACTTTAGGCAGGCCCGGACTGGCCGTTGAGCAAAACGGGCAAATTCCTGGTGGGCAGAGACCGACGTGGAACATCAGAGGATCTCCTCTGCAGGGCCAGTGCTATCCAGCGCTGGTCCTGCAGTGAACCTTCATGGACCAGTAGGGAGATCAAAGATCTCACTCACAGGCATTGAAGAGGAGAGAGAGGTGGACTGGCTGGCTGCGCGCGCGGCTCCTGCCGCCCATGTGCATTCAGCCGAAGAAGAGGAGGAGGAGGAGGAGAGCTCCCCGCCCGGCGCTGGAGAAAGAGGTAAGTTTAACCCCTTCCTCTCCATCCAGCCCAGTGGGAGGGGGACCCTGAGGGTGGGGGCACCCTCAGGGCTCTATAGTGCCAGGAAATCTAGTATGTTTTCCTGGCACTATAGTGGTCCTTAAAAGACCATGAGAAATGGCATCTAGAGGTATGTGCTGGCGGGAGTATATGCAGTATGGTAACTTGGAGGTACAAACTGCAAAATGTCTGATCGATTCTACAGGAACTGGCTTAATGACCACCAGGCTATGGGAAGAGAGGGGTTAACTACAAAAACACTGGAAATCCTAGTGTTATGGCATGTGCTGGCAGGAGTATCTGCAGTATAGAAACTAGGAGGTGCAAACTGCAAAATGTTGCCTGGTAGATTCTGCAGGAACTGCCTTAATAACCAACAAGCTATGGGTAGAAAGGGGTTAACTGCAAAACACTGGAAATCCTAGTTTTATGGTATGTGAAGGCGGGAGTATCTGCAGTGTAGTAACTAGGAGGTGCAGATTGCAAAGATATTGCAGTAAAACTACAAAAAACACTGGAAATCCTAGTGTTATGGTATGTGCAGGCGGGAGTACCTGCAGTATAGTAACTAGGAGGTACAAACTGCAAGATGTTGCCTGGTAGATTCTGCAGGAACTGGCTTAATAACCAACAAGCTATGGGTAGAGAGGGGTTAACTACCAAAACACTGGAAATCCTCCTATGCTTGTGGTTCCTAAGTACTTGTGCCTTCAAGGGCAGCCCCTTCGCCAAAAGCCTGCAATCTCCTATGGAAAAACAAATAGAAAATTTCCCACCAAACTACAGACCCTATGCACATTATTTCTGAATCACCCCCTAGCC